AGGGAGCTATTAGGGGTATGTGGCAGATCCGCTTGAGTGGGGGTGTCGGAAATGGTGCAATCGGTAACTGCCACATTGTAGCGCTATCGCTATTTCCGCGTATTCCCTCGTCTCCTATCTAACCTCTGTCAATATTGTACTCTTTATGCATTATACTTCTACATCTGACAAAATATAGGAAGGCAACACAGTAAGTGCTGTTCCATATTGTAAGTAATGATAGACAGCCTTCATTTTCCAAGCTCTCCGCTTGTGACCTTTTCAAAAAGCAAGCTGGAATTCACAAAAAACACATTGAAACACTCATGCTTGGTTGAGTAGGATCAATGATTGCTGTTGGGTCATGGATTGTAATAAGAAAGTCTGACTGATGCTCAGATTATTGATATGGAAATATGACTCATGCTAGGAAGTGTGATAAGGATTGAAGCATACTGTGACTCATGGTATTCAGCAGTTTAGCAGTCAGGCATTTACGTGATTGGCCGAAGCCTGGAAGGTTCAGCATTTTAGCCATGAGGCATTTATGTGATTGGCTAGGAAATCCCTCACATACCTTTTATCTAGTACACCTACTTTAGTTTTGAAGGGTATAAACAGATCACATCTCCCCCCTCTCTCTTCAGCAATGCATCTTCATCTTGGAGTTGAACTTCATCTTTGAAAGTCACCTAGTTGGTTCTAACCCAACACCTCAGTACCCTCAGTACCCCAGGCAGTCATGAAACTCTACAAGCCAGAGACTAAATCCCTTAAGTACCCAAGGCAGTACTTTGCTACCGCAGTCTACCTGCAGGTGTGACACTCATACTTGAAGATACTTGAGACTGTGATAAGGAAGGAAGAAAATATGACTATTTGGTGTGATTGGACTTCACAATGCTTTTTGTACAACTACACACACCAGGCAGCATATTGCACACATCACGTCACAAAGACCACACAGCTCACTGATTGTCACAAACCATGTCGTAACATCCCTAAATCCCACCAACAATGACCCTCCTTTGACCATCAAACCTCCATCATTTTTAGACCTCCTCAGTTTACACGTATCCTAGGGCATCTGAGACCAACCATGGCAAAGTTAGGCAAAGTTAGGTAGATAAAGGATGAAGGGAGCGGAAGTATGACAAAGTTAGGTAGGTTAAGGATGAAGGGAGCGGAAGTACGGTGAAGTTCGGCAAAGTTAGTTGAAGTGAGTGGAGTAGGATATCGGGGATATGACGAGGTACGGCAAAGTTGAGCGGAGAGGACTGAGCAGGAGGCTGTGCAGGAGGCTGTGCAGGAGTTGAAGGACGTTCTATGAGACAAGAGGAGAAATATAGATAGTTTACAGATCGCTGAACTTCTTCAGCGATCCTTGTTGTTGTCAGTAGCGAGAGATATATTCAGTAGCTACACCTTCGAGTTAAGGAGAGCTACCACCCAGCAGTTCGACGCATTACGGCAAAGTTAGCCGTAGTTCCCCAACAATCATCTTATTGTTTGCCACTCGACGACCCACTACGGCAAAGTTAGCCGCAGTTCCCCGATGAGTACCCTGTCTGTCACGAAGTGACAAGTCAGTTTGGTTAATGATAAGTCAGTTTGGTTAGAGTTGTCTCCGGGTTGGGTATTTAACCAGCGACCGGCGGTATGCAGTAACCGCCGGTTAATAGGCCTTTTAGCACAGTGGTTTAGACCGCTGCCTCTGAAGGGCACTGTTATATCGTCCCAATGCTGGTTAGTTGGTCTCGTGACACTGTCTCAGTGAGACACCGACGCCCTAGCTCAACGAAGTTAGCCGAGGTTTGTCGACCGTCGGTCAGTAGAAAAGAAGGAACGACGTCTGTGACACTGATCCATGGTAGAACATACACCTGAGATTGAGAAGTACAACTCTTTCCTACACAGGACAACTGTAATGAACCTGCTTCTGAGGATGACCACAAATAAACAAATATAACCTACCTGTAGGGCTGAATACTAAATGGGGCTCTGTTACGTGGATAATACTAATCAAACAATAGGCAAAGGTCAAATCTGATTCTTCATCAGGTTCAATACTCCTAAATATTCCTTGTCCTCTATGACCACAAACCACTTGAGACCATACAGTTTCTCTATCCACAACAACTGTCTCTCGGAGTTCTGCTCAGAGTTGATCTTTGGCTTGATCTTTGTTACCTGAAGTGACGATACAACGGTAGAGAAAAAGTAGATGGGAGATCAGATGGTCTCAATCTCAGTAAGGCTAAGTGGAAGTAGTTCAAGGAGCCAGCAAAGGTCTGAGAGGAAGAGGATTGAAGAAGTGGAAGAGGAATGAAGAAGTGGAAGAGAAAAGAAGAAGAGGAAGAGGATGGATGGAAGACGAAGTGAAGAAACGGAAGGGGAACCCCTCTTTCGGGCCCTTCTTATATGCATATCAGGGTGTCTTAAACTCAATATGAGGTCGAAACATCCTCGATTCAAGTAAAGGAGAAACTATGTAAGAGAAGGAGAAAAAACTATGTATGAGAACCAACAAACTATGTATGTGAACGGAGAATGTATCCACAAACATGTGGTCCAAGTATAAAGGAGGACAAAGGAAATAGTGAAGCATATATTGTGGTCTACACAAACTTATGTTTGTATCATGAGTGAGGGACGGTAATGGACAGGATAAAAGGGTAAGAGGAGAGGAGGGAGGAGATAGCAGAAGATGATCAAAGACGATATGAGTTGAGGGAATGGAGCAAGGAGGGAGGAAGGAATGGAAGGAGAGCTATTAGGACTCTCTTATGTTGGAGGAGGCCTGATCCACTACATCACTGTCACGAGACCAACTAACCAGCATTGGCTCGATATAACAGTGCTCAATGGAACAGTGATTTGAACCACTGCGACAAAAAGGCCTACTAATTGGCGGTTCACTCTACCGCCAATTGCTGGTTAAATACTCTTCCCCAACTTTTGCCCAACTTGTCACACCCTTTGTGACATGTGACATGGAAAAAGAGGAGGGGTTTGAGAGCACAAATGTGAGAGAGGCAGATGTCATGGTGCCCAAGGAGTTTGCTGCAACATCAGCACATGTCACGCACGTCATAATAATTTGGACACAGCAGACCTTTGCAGTTGGTGCAAATCCATCCTTGGCTTTCAGTGGTCCCTCTGGTCCCACATGATATGCAGGCAAAGACCATTCCCTGTACAATCAGAGGATGTCAAAGTTTGGAGACAACCTACACTTGAAAGTGACAATATGAAGAAGCTGTCATCCACAGCTTTGGCTTGTAGTACACATCGCCCACAGATCTTCTCTTTGTGTCTAGGATAGGGTGTGTTGCAAGTTGAACAGAGACTAATGAGGGATCAATAGGTGTTGCAAATGGTGAATGAATGGTAGAGTTTCTCATTGATAGGAGACAGGTATGTAGTTGTGCCACATGGGATTACTTTTTGAAAAACGGAAATCAATCTCCGCAAAGTACATTTGTGAAGAACTAACCGGCCACTGTATATGTACAGTTGTTGCTGTGTTGCTCATTTTCTCAAAGATGTCATACACAGTGGCAAGCTACCAGGACACAAAAAGATTGATTAGTTTGCTATGAAACTGATGGAGCTATTGCAAAGTGACTGTTCTCCGGAAGTTGAGCGGAGTTCCATGATTCTGGTGCTGGAAAAACATCAGGAGTGTTGTGTCACGACTCTGCCAATTGTAATTTAAGTTCACGTGATTTGATTGCATTCCAACTGAATTTATACAACTTCCAAATGAGTTCATAGGAGTTTATACATATTTGTCACAAAGCATGTGACAAGTCGAGCGAAAGTTGGGGAAGGGTATTTAACCAGCAATCGGCGGTAGGGTTAACCGTTAACCGCCGATTAATAGGCCTTTTCGTCACAGTGGTTAACAACACTGTCACGTTGGGCACTGTTATATTGAGCCAATGCTGGTGTCACGCCTGTCGAACAACTATCTTTTAACAGACCGACGGTTGACGAACCTCGGCTAACTTGACGCCTCTAAGTCGATGTCTCACCCAACCAGGAGGGCGCAGACGTCGAAAGGAGTGTAACTACGGCGTACTTTGGCGTAGTTACTCTAACTGGGGTTTTGTCCTACTGATGGCGATGTATCTCGATTGTATATAGCTATCTCTATCTGTCTTTCACTACTGACAACAATCAAGGATCGCTGAAGAAGTTCAGCGATCTGTAAACTATCTATACTTCCCCTCTCTTCTCATAGAACGTCCCTCAACCCCTGTACAGCCTCGCGCTCAGTCCTCTTCGTTCAACTTCGCCGTACCTCGCCATATCCCCAATATCCTACTCCGACTAACTTCGCCTAACTTCGCCTACTGCACTCTCCCTTGGTTTCCTTCCCCTAACTTCGCCGTAGTTCTCCGTTAGGCGGGGTTGTTGTGACTAATAATCCCTAGGTTCTCGTAACTTCGTTGTAGTTGGTCTCAGTGGTTCAGGGTGGTGGTGGATAGTGGTTCGGTGATGGTCAAAGGAGGGTTGTTGATGTTGGGATAATCGAGGTGTCACGACGTAGTTCGTGACACCATACTACTTACATCCAAAGCATCTCTCATCATTGTTACGCCTGTCCACACCATCACACACACTCTCATTGTCATCTCAACCTGTCCGGAACCTTTGCAAGTCACTTTAGTTGTCTGACCACATCACAAGTCTATGGACAACATACTAACTGTTGTTCTCCAAGCTAACCTAACAGTTGCAGTCCACCCATATTGTTCTAATAAGGTCTGTCAAGGACAGGACTGTGACATGTTGGGAGCTATTGGAAAGCCATCTCAAGCAGGTGATTCAAGCTCATGACGTGCCAACTGTATGAAGTAGAATGCATAAAGAGTACAATTCTGACAGAGGTGAGATATGATATGAGGAGAGGTGTAGAAATACCAACAGTGCACCAATGTGGCAGTTACAATTGCACCATTTTTGACAATACTGATAGGATTGAGATGAGTCACCACACACAGCTCTCACAAAGTGCTGGCATTAGAAATTGCATGTAAAACTACCAAAAGAGAAAACAAGAGTAGAGCAGAGCTGTGACTATGGCTATGCTACAAGAAGATGTGTAGATTGTCCGATCGTTAGGTCGTGAAGGCGTGATCTGGTGAGATAGGATACGAGATGCAGAGTTTGAATGTTTGATCGCTATCAATACGGTACAGACGGATGGGAAAATGCAGAAATAGGTAGAAGAATGATTAGTGTGGAAAAATATCGTATGGAGAACGGAGGGGGTGACCACGACGACGAGATCATTACCTCCTTCCTCCTTGAGGATATCCAATGCCAGACGCCCCGTACATGGCATAAGGGTCATACACCATTCCACCCACCATTGGAAGTGTCATAGGCATGGAAGGGTACCCGTACCCTTGATAAATCTGCATGGCAGGATGTCCACTTGTGGATACACCATGGGCTTGCTCGTAGAAGTTGGGATGTCTCGATCTCGGTAGTGAGTGACTGTGTGCATGTCGGTCCGCAGGTCTGATTTCGGAACGGGAATGATAGCTGCCAGTGGCTGAGGCGGCTTTCCCATGGAAAGCTTTGGAGGTTGTACCATACACGTTATGAGGGATGGCCTTCGATGCCGTGTTCTGCGAACTTGTTCCGGACAAGTTTCTCAAGTTGCGTGGTGAAGAGGGCACACTAGAGCTTCCACTATTGCCGGTGAATGGCAGTCGAGGGGGGGCGTAGTCTTCGGAAGAGCGAGTAAGGTGTTTTGGAATGACTCCCGTCTCAGCGCGTCGGTCCGCTTCGCCAGAGAGATTTTTGGCCCGTCGAGCTCGGGCAGCAGCGATCTCGGCAAGGGCTTTTGGATTGGCTGGAGAGCGGAGATCAGCGACGGAAGTCATGCGGACGGCGTGCTTGTAAACGGAAGGACCGGTGACGAGATTGACAAGAGTAGACTCTAAACGGAGGTCTGAAGTGGATGAGGGACGAGAGATGGACATGGGGCGCTTGAGGTCGATCATGGAAGTGGGACGGAAGAGAGACGAAGGTCTGGAGCCGTCGAAGGTGGCAGAGGAAGATTGCACAGGTTGAGATGTCGGAAAAGCGACTGGCGAAGCCGATGAGATACTTTTGAAGGAAGTTCTTTTTTGCGAGTCGGAAATTCGGTGTGCTCCCTGAGATGGACGCTTCTCAGGAGGGCCGACATCTTCCTCGTCCGACTCGACTCCGAACCACTGCTTGTGGATGGGGCAATTTGCGTCGGAAGCTGGACAGAGGTACATCATTGGACGTTGCGGTCCAAATCTTCTGGGGGAAATTATCGACTGATGTCGACGGAGCCTCTTGCTGCGGTCGTCTTTGATCTAAACTGCATTCAGTAACGTCCGGTTGAGGTACTTCAACTGGCTGAATTGACGGATCCGGCACGACTGTAGTGATGGTGGCAGTCGCGGAGCCACTGAGATCTTCAGTGATGGTGATGCTGGGCTGGATGGGCGGAGGACCGATAGGTGGAAGATCGTCGTGAGACTGAAGTGGGACATCAGACTCGAAAGAGCCTCTAAGTACCTCGATCGATTCTTCTGTCACCCAGTGGAGGTCTTCCAACTCAGTGCTTGAGATTTCGTGATCAGAAAGGCCAGGGACAACGAGATTCTGTTGCAGTGGTGTGGACAATGAGTCTCTACCACGAGCCGGAGCGAATCTCGAGACCGTTGAAGCTTCATCTGCGTATGCCCGGATAGCACTAGCTAAATCGTCGCCCATGCCGATACTAGGTCTCGGGATTATTGGCCATCTTTGCGGTGGACATGCGACTTGGGAGAGTGCGCGGATGTACGTTGAAAAGTCCAACTCCCATATCCCATATCCTTGTCTCGCCATCGAAATGGGCGACACCATCCCGTTGGCATAATACACGAGATTTCGGTCTTCGAACGGTGGTCGTTCGACAAAATCGGCTACTCCCTTTGTCCTGCCCAGTTTTGACGATTGTGAAGGAGTGAGACTGCTGGAAGGGAAGAGAGCAGTTTTGGCCGTATGGGAGAGATCGGACCTTGTAGTACTGAGTTGGCTGGGGAGACAGACTACATCTGGTAATTTCCCCGCTTCAATCGATAACAAGGTGGACTTGACCCCCAAGCCCAAACGCAGCGAATCTTGTTGTGGGTAAAGCTCGGAACCTGGCGGCTGTCGAGGGTTCACGGATAGGGGGTAGACACGACCACCAGCGTGAATGGCGAACGCCACTTCGTCGGGAAGGTTGACGTGTTGTTTCCTTAAAGACAGCATGAGAGGATGAGGAGAGGGCTGTCGAAGTTGCAGTAACTTGTCCATACTACATCGCTTGAGTCGCTCGGCTGTTCGCCGTCGCTGAAGATCCAAGTCCGCTTCGGCATCGATTGGAGCGGCGGGAGCGAGATCTCCGAGGATTCTGGAAGGTAGGTCGACGACGCTGGTGTTAGGAGAGGCCGAGATGGAGCTTGGAGTAGAGCTGAAGGGCGAGGCATCTCTGCTGAGCCGACCTTTATTTGACTTCAAACCTCTCTTCCCTCCTAGCCAGCTCTTCCATCCTTTGCTTTTCTTCTCCTCCGCCACGAGGGCGTCGACAAGCTTTGCGCCAGCCACAGAGAGGTCCAATGGGAGGCCATCCGGAGGGGTCTTGGGCTCTTCCGAAGAATTTACCGAAGAGGCAGACGAGTTGTTGCTCATGTCGGAGTTCGAGCGAGAGGACATGGGTGTGGAAGGGCTACTGAAGATATCCAGGGAGGGCAGACTGGTGGGTGATAAGAGTTGACCTTGAGGATCGGTGCCAGAAGTGGTGACCGTGACCGTCTCAGTGGTACTTGACAGACTACTGGTCGATGACATGGCCGATTCGCTGCTGAAGATGCCACGTTTGAGCTTGAAAGCATTTCGGAGGCTGCTTGTGCCGACCATCTTCGAAGGTGAACGGTGGACGTCGCTGGATGGAGGGTGACCGTCGAATTGTGCTTTGCTCAGATCGGGAGAACTGCTGCGTCTTCGAAGTGGCGAGGTCGAATGTTCTGGATCTGCGGCGGAGACGGGAGTTTGTGAGCCGAGCGGACTGGGCCGGCGTAGGAGAAACGAGCCTTTGAGCCCAGAGGCACTCGCTCGCTTCGCCTTGACTGTGCCGCCTTCGGTGGTGGACATCCTGTGTCCAGTGTCTGATGGAGGAGTGGAGGTGGGGGTAGGAGTCATGTGATCCCACAGCGAGTTTTCTGGGTGCAACAAGAATTGGTTGAGCCCGTAAGGATCACGAGCATGTTGCGAGCCAGGAAAAGTGGGAAATGGCGAATACGAGGACGTCTGCACCAGAGGAGGGGTGATGTCTACCCTGTCTGGGACAAAGAGCGAAGCCGGGCGCGAAAAGGCAGGAGGAGGCGTGGTAAGGACTTCAACATCGGACATCGTGTCGACTACTTGGTCAGCTCGAACCAGAAACGTGTTGGACAACATTCAAGAGACGCTGGATGTGGACACTCACGTAGAGCTGCTTCACTCGGAGCGATGAATAACCAAGAGATGACTGAAAATCTCCTTTTGTCGATGAAAAGTCTGGTAAGGGCTGGTTGATCGAGGAATGTGTATCCCTTCGTCGACCGGTACGAGCTACAAAAGGTCAAAGGAAACGCGTCGGGGGTTCGACGAGATTGAGGGGGTCACTGAATGGTATCAGTATGAGATGCATAAAGGAAGAAAAGTTGATTGGTGAATCCAAGGAAGTGGGCGCATGGAGTGGGGGTAGAGGAGAGAGAACAAAGGAGAGGTAGATCAAGATGGCCGGGAGGGTGGGAGAAATACGGTTGCTTCCGATCCGTGTCCGTCATCTCCCGGAGCAGAGTATCCTACATGCTGCACGTCTGCATGCCTGCGTGCGATTGACTCTTTTGCACCGCCCAGAGACATGAGTGTGAATGACAAAGGAAAGGTGGCGGTGATGGAGTAGGGTGCCGAGAAAGACTCACACTAAGAGATGAGAAAGAAGAATGAAAGAGTCGACGTGTGCCCCTTCATTCACCGCAGCCCCAACGTTTGTTCCTCACAGTCTTCGATCTATGTCTCGTCTCCGCTGTCGTTGATGATCGTTCGTTCCCGGCGATCTGAAGACGATGGATGTCCAGTGGGAGGTTATCCCCGAGTTGCCCAGAGGGGGAAAAGAGTGACGATTGCCGGCGGGCGGTGGGAGGTAGGCGGTATGACCAAGGGTCTCGGGGAGGATAGCGAAAGGGACGAGAAAGAAGAAAGGCCGTGGGGTAAAGAGAGAGAGGGTGTGGAGATGTTTATTAGGTTGTATTGTAGGTGTAAGAAAGGTAGGGATGATACGATAGTGACGTCTTTGTGGGATACCTGCGAGGGGAACGAGCGTTAGCATTGTTCATTGCGAGTAAGTTTTCCTCAAGCGTACATGAGGTAGCGCATTGGGACATTTGTTATCCGACAGCATAGCCCCTTTCGTCACTGCTTTCGATCAAGACGACCGACCTTGGTGGTGAGTGGAGGTGAAAAAGTGGGGGATGGGTATAGAAAAGGGCGAGACCCATTGCGAGAATAGCTCACTTTGGTGGAGAAGCGGAACAGGAAGAGGGGTCTGGCTGAGGGGTGTTGAGTTGCGCTGACAGTGCACTTCTATCACACGGCGTTGAGCGACCTAGACTGAGGGTCAGAAAGATGAAGGCTAGGAGATGGTCGAGAAGGGTGAAAGTAGGATGGGGAGCAGAGAGAGAGAAGCAAGGGGCTGGGCAAGGCTGTAAGGAGAAGAGATGAAACTTGAATGTGACAGGAGTAAGGTAGAGAGTATGATGGCTAATCCCTCCTCGCTCATCGTCCGTTTGATGGCCGAGATGGCTCATGGATCATACACATACGACAACAGGTAGGGAAGAAGGAAGAGGGAAGAGGGGAGACAAGGGAAAAGAGGTAAGGCGGGTGATGGGATGGCGTGATAGATAGATGGCGGGTGACAAGTTTGTAGCTCACTCACAAGTAATTAATCATTCACCTTCTGGCCTCTGATACCACAAGACTCTTTCTCTCGCTCACGATCTCCCTACTCGTTTTTGCTACAAGACACAAGCACTATCCCGCATCTCGTTCAAAACTTGAACAGTATCAGCAGTCTTACTGAAATGAAAAGCTGCAAATGTTGAGAAAAGGGCGATGACGCACATGGCACCCACCGTACGTCGAAACAGGGCGTCCACTCTACTGCGCCGATCGGGGGCGTCCAACGGCCAACAGCACAGGCGTGACACCCGAGGCGAAAGAGGAATTTCCGCGACGGTCCAGGGAATCAGGGGTCAAGGTACGATCCGTGCTCCCGTTCGATCGCCTGGTTCCGTGCCTGTATACAACCTCGCTTAGGCGCCTGACGGCGGCCTGACCCTCCCACGTTCCACGATCCACGATCTACGATCTACGACTTACTATCAACTACTGAAAGTATTCCACAGTGAGCACTCACTCGTCAGTCGACAGATGACATGGTCACAGAGTGTTATATGTAGCCAGGCCGGCTGAACTATGAACTCTGAATCTCTTTCACTAGCTCCACAAGGAACCCAGGAGAATTGAGAAGAAATTCCCAGATGGCCCTGACCGAAAGTGCCTTCCTTCATTGCATCACCCCCAGCCAGCAGCCACCGATGACCCCGGTTCAATGGCGGTCTATTGTGTCCCTTCATCCATCAATGAAATTGACGATTGGACCAGTGAGCAGCACACACCCACACGTTGCCGACAAGGTTGTGTGTCATGATACATCCCCATTGACTGATACTACTGCTACTCCTATTACTACTTGATACCTCGCTCATCCCACAGCCCAATCAATGCATCCCCAACCCCCACTTTCGCAACACCCCTCCCACATCCCCCAACCCCTCAACATTTGGCCCCTGGGCCACTACCGTCGCTCTTCCAGACCCTAGGCCATAGTTGAGTGTGGAAAGACCAGAAGAGGGATGAAGTACTCTGTTGGCCGTTCTCCATAGATCATCCATGGTGAGCGAGTCGATCTTGTCACACATTTCCTCCACGGGCACTTTGTGACCATGGATTTGGGTTTGGCGACCAAGGTCTGGTTGATCAGCAGTGAACGGTCTATCTATGCCACGGAATTGAAAGGTTTAGAACACCACAACCCACCTTCCACAGCAGTCATCCTACTCTCCAAGGCCATCACCAAAGTGCTCTTCAGCATATTCTTCGCTCTCGCAAATTCCCTCTTGTCAATTCCACCGGGAACGGGTCCGGTGAGCGTGTGTAATTGGTGCGCGATGACATCGGCTATACTGCCTGCAAAGTCTGGATAGACCGTAGCGGCTATCCCGAACAGACCAGAGTCGGCGTAACAGTGATGGAACGAAGCGCAATAATCGACTTTATGATAGCGATTGAGAACGGATGTGTATAATCGTGTGTACATGCCTTTTCCAGGACCACCTGTCGGTCAGCTCAACCTTCCAATCTAGACTACGTCTAATGATCAGAGAGAAAACATAGACCCACCAGCAGAGAAAGATCCTCCCCCTCCAAGCAACGTCTGCAGTGTTGCAAGCGCATACTATCTTGTCAGCTCACTTCTTCTTATTTGGACCCGAGAACCATAGTTTGTACAGAAGGCATGACATGAGGTATAATCTGCCTTTCCACAACCGTGATCCGTTTCCTCCACGTTTCCGCAATCTCCCTCCGAAGCAATATACTCCTCTCCACCTGTATACACAGCCCTGGCCGTTCTTAGTCTCTCAAACTCACTCTCCTCCCCTGCTGACGAAACCGTAGCATAAGACTTGCTACCTGTCCGTTGTTCCCCTTTCCACAATTTACCCCCAGCTCCTGTAGTAAGGCTGGAATTTGTTGTTCTCCCATCGAAATGCAGTTTGACCAAATCGACCAACTCTTCATGAGCCATGCCCACTCCGGCTACAACCATCCTTTCCGGTCGATACCATCTGTTCAGAAAACCCCGGATCTCTCCTTCACCCAGAGCGGGCAGTTGTTCTTCTGGACAAAGAAGTGGCATGCCCAATGTATTATCCCTGAAAGCCACGGTATGAAGTATCTCGGGTAAAATGAGTTCAGGTTTCTGCCAGATCTCACGGATTTCGTATGCCGCTGCAGCCTTTTGGTTTTCGAGCTCGTCGGGGAGGAGCAGAGGTCGTAGGATGGTAGATGAGAGAAGTTCGACGGCTAAAGGGAGATGTGATGGGAATATGGTAGATTGATACATGATTGTCTCGCGGGAAGATGAGCAAGAGACTTGGGAGCCAAGTTTGTCGATGAGGGATGTCATCTCAGCGTCCGTGTGGGATTCTGTGCTCTAGAACAGTCAATATGCATCTATAACCTCGCCCAATCATCAGAGTCGCAACGTGTATGTAGATAGAGTTGAAAGATCGAGACTCACTTTGAATGCCAAACGATCAACCAAATGACTGACTCCACTCTGCCTAGAAGTTTCGTACCTACTCCCCGCATCCACATAGACTCCAACAGCATGAAAATGGCCAGGAGTGGATTCAGTGACCACCTTGATCTTGTTAGGCAAGGTAGTGATGACAGGCGGAGGGGCGAGTTGGGCGGTATGAGAGAGGGAGGTCGCATTTCTGTTAGGGAGGACATATCGGGAGAGGGTAGAACGGGAGGATGACGCAGCTTGGGATGAGATCCGAAGCATCTTGGACAGATTCGACTGCTTCTCAATACTTGGCGGCTACTGAATGCCAGCGGGTCTTGAGCTTGTAGCCTGTGCTGACCTGTATGACGTGGGCAGATGGCAAGTGTCTGATGGTGATGAGGGGGAAGGAATAAGGGAAGGAAGGAAGGAAGGAAGGAAGGAAGGAAGAAGAAGGGAGGAAAAGTTGATGTTGCCGGACGAAATCGTAAACTTTTCTTCTCATTCCTTCTCTCCATCTGACACCTACTCTTACCATGTTCTCTTCAGGTAGCAGCAAGATGGTCAGGCCACCGAACCGCACTCTCTCTTCTTTGATGTGCAGAGCGAGGCTGTCTTATTCACTTCCTCGTCACACACCTCCGCAACCTTCCTCCTCGACTGCCCACATCATCCCCCTTCCATCCACTGCATCCCCTTCCTCGGACAAAGTCCATTCGAAAGCTCCGGAGAAAAGAAAGGACGAATCACTGCAGCTACCCGTACTTCCACGCCCATTAGGCGTGCCCAATCCACCCACTTCAAGACCAAAAACTTGGGGTGAGAAGAGAGCCGAGTTGTTAGATGAGGATCGACATAAGGCAAAACGAAAGGCATTGTGAGTCTTCCCGATCTCACTGTCACTGTCCTCAAGATCAAGTTCGCATTCGTTTGAAGTGGAGGACTCTTGTCAATGGCCCATTGACCCGGTGACCCACCCTGACATGTAGAATCAAAGAAGCATCTCAGGGCTATTTTCACGATTACAACCGTGCTCGTTCTGCCAACGGAGGGAAACTTTGGACAGCACCTCCAGTCTTGATTCGAGAGGATGTGAGTGGTCTCGAATTCCCTTTTTCTCAGATCATTTTCTCCTCGTCTTCATCTCAATCTTGGCTTCCTCTTCAGTAAGGCCGCCACACCAGAGGTTCACATGAACATCTTTCAACTCTTTTGTCAAATGGAAAACTCGGAGGCATCCTTGTTCATCTGGAAGCAAATGTACGTTACAAAATGAGAGGAACAGCATAGAGAATAGTTTAGTGAAGAGCTCACAGTAGATGGCTCAATATTTTCCTGACATCCAAGGAAAAGCTCTTACAGGCGAGACTGTTCATACCACCGATCTCTTACTTGGCAAAGTGACCCTTTTGGCTATACTGAGTACTCGACTTTCAGAGGTGAGACCTGAAGCTCAATGCTCATACTTTTTTTCCTCTCTCCGCACCTCTATTTGTCCATCTCAGCAAACCTTCATTGCCTCATCCGGACGGTATGAGTCGCCAGTTGAAGAGTTCGAGTCACCACTTGTCCGTCATTCTAATGAAGTGATGACTGCTGACGGAAAGGAACACGTCTCATCTTTTTGTCAACCTGTGTTGGACGATTGGTCCACTTCACCTCTTTTCTCTCACGTTCAGATAAATCATCAGGATAATCTTCTCAAATCCCTTTTACTCAATTTCCTGGTATCATCGTTGAAACGTACCGTCCCTGAGAACAGATGGGGAACGTATATGATTTCCGGAGGTGAATGGTCTTCGTACGATGTGAGTCGTCCACTACTTTCTGTTCTTCGAAAGATAATCTCCTTCCCTATCTCTATACCTCCCCTCCCCAGCTTATTGTCTCGGCTGGTTTGATTGCACGCCCAAAGATATTTTGTGCGAGGTGTCTGTCCTCCCGTATTTTTCCCTCTGCGGCACACGTCATACTCCTCATTCCACCCTGTTTACCAGTGGAAGGTGATATGCTGCGGGAACATACCCCGAGTCATTCGATGCCGAAGAGTCCAGCCATTGCAAATTGTGTCGAGTACGTCTTGAGGATCAAAACAGCAATGATGTAGAACTGCGTGGAGACCAGGCGTGGGAAGTGGCCCGAAGATGAACAGTACCGGGGTCCGTAGCTCATAACACAGATGACATCGCCTTTGGGCATCGAAAATAAGCTGCTGGGATACGTATACCTCATCGATCCCAATGCCAAGATCCGTTGGGCGGGGAACGCGATGGCTTCGGAAGAAGAAGTCGATAATCTTAGAAGAGCCACCGCGGTTCTCATGAGACGTTTAGTGAAAGAGGAAGTGAACTAGTCTATATAGGACATCTACCCCTATCTGATCTCGCATGCCAGGCAATGCAGCAATCTAAGTCACATTCAAAACCTCCCCCTGTTTCTTGACGTCCCGAATGTGGAAGCAGACTTAGGCCGAGTCGAGGTCTGATCATTGTGATCAATTGTGATAGTGTATGTATCCCTATCGTCACCGATGACTTGCGGCAAAGACAGTCATGTTCTCAAACCGCTTGCTATCGACGGAGAGAGACATGAAGACATATGCATGACGCGTCATCTAAATCCAATCTTGCAAACAATGATCTTCCCGCACAGTCGTATATTGTATTGACACCAAACCTTGGGACATGGATAAGTAGAGAAGAAAGACGAAAACACAAGGCTCATAGCTCGTCTGGCTCTGGCTCCCTGTAAGTCAGCGACAGTCCGACAGCCATGGCAAAGATTCCCGATTCAACACAAATGGATCATGAGGGACAATGAGAACGCACCACTCAGAGTGCATCGAATATGCAGAATACAGCGACCCGTCTTCTGCAAACTCGCTGGGCGTGTTGATGTGTTCGTCAAAGTAGTGCTTTGCGACAGAGCGGGGAGCTAGAATATCAGTGGGCGCCCTTCCACATTCACATCACACCAGTACATATCCGTTCCGATTGCCCGATCTGAATGGATGATCGGTGAGACACAACAGGATAGCTGGATCGACACACACGAACTCCGGATAAAGACTGAAGAAGATGACAAGGTTGAAAGAACAGAGTCTAAAGTGTAGACTGTCAGATAAGAAGAGAGACCCACTTCGAGGCGTCTTGGGCAATCGGCAGAATTCTCCAGTCTGCATGATACTCCAAGCGACCAAACCCGTCCATCCGGTCTGATGCGAAGCCCCAAGACCACGACCCTCGTTTCCATGGAAGAACTCAAAGAAATGAACATAATCTCGGAAATGAGGATCGCGATTCAACTTGGGATTGCCGCCGTTGACCGCTCGTCGACCCGCTTCATCCCGGGAGAAGATATGAATGATACGATGTTGAATCTCTTCGGCACATTGAGCCAGGGTCATATACTGGATGATCAACATATCATTCGACTCATTGGAGGCAATATCACTCACATCCCCACTGCCAGTCGGACATTCCACCTGCAAAGTCTCACCGTAATACTGGTGGAACCTCTGCAGACTCTCAATCAACAAAAAGTTGACAGCTAGCCAAATCGGTCCGCGCCAATTCGAGTTACCTCCGAACATCCCGGACTTTGAGTCTCCAGGCCAGTATTGCACTCCAAACTCTTGACCGTTTACGTTCATAGAGAAGGGGTGTTCGTGATGGTACAATGACATCCTATTTGTCAGCGGGCAGGGTATAACATGTCGCGAGTCAAACTCACGAGCGTATTCCATAATCGGACAGAAACTCTTTCTCGTCCAACATCTTTTCAAGAATCTTGACCAAACGTTCCTTCGATGCCAATGCCAGCAGCTTCCGGTCTCCTCTACCTTTTTCGCGAATGTTGGCCATATTTCTGTTCGAGATCTCGGGACGGTTTTCAATAAACCAATCCATGCGTTTCTTAAAACCTGGGAACCTTTTGATGACTTGTGGCTCCAGTACGAGGGTAGCATAGAGTGGCATGAGTCCAACCATGCTTCTGACAGGGAGCTGCTGCGAATGGTCATGGCCCCACTGAATGGCGTCATAGTAGAATCCGTCCTCTTCGTTCCACAATGAGAAAGGCTGGTCGCCAGTGGTGTAGGTCATAGCGTCGGAAATGAACAGGAAATGTTCAAAGAACTTAAAGAGGTCAGCATGAGGGATCCACTGAAGACGAGGTGCGATAGCCTACCTTGGAAGCCATATCTTCATATGTTGGATTGTGCTTGGCTAACTCCAGAGCGATACTCAGCCTGTATAATCAATTACGATCATTATCTGGGCGACAGTGAAGACTGACATGTTGAGACAAAAGAAGGCCATCCACGCCGTGCCATCCGCCTGGAGGAGCTGACCCCCGGTCGGCAATGGTTCAGAACGATTGAACGGTCCGATGTTGTCCAGACCCAAAAAACCACCCTCGAAGACATTGTTGCCATCGGAATCTTTCCTGTTCACCCACCTGATGGTCAGCTAGAGTGAAAACGAATGACAGCTGCAGACGAGACAAAGTCGCTAGCATGCAAAAGCAGATTTGCAATGACTGTGCGTCCTAGAGAGCCCGTCGACTCACCAAGTGAAGTTCAGAAGCAACTTTTGGAAGACTCGCTCCAGAAAGTCCAAGTCCTCCCTACCAAACATCTTTCGTTCAATCTTGAACACTCTAAACGTCGCCCAGGCGTGCACAGGTGGGTTCACATCAGAGAAGTTCCACTCGTAAGCGGGCAAAGCCCCATCAGGCTTCATGTACCATTCTCGCGTCATCAGATCCAGCTGTTTCTTGGCGAAAGACGGATCGACCATGGCAAGAGGAATACAGTGAAAGGCCGTGTCCCAGGTGGCAAACCAAGGATACTCCCACTTGTCGGGCATAGACAAAATGTCGTTGATGTACAAATGACGCCATGCGGTATTCCGCACCCATTTCCTTTCCGGAGGGGGCGCAGGCTGACCTGGATCGCCCTCGATCCAGTCCTTCTGGATATACTGATAATATTGCTTGGTCCATAGCATTCCAGACAAGGCTTGACGCATGATATTTCGTAAGTCGGGAGAGAGAGAGCCTCTGGCGATACACTCGTAGAACTCATCGCAATCTTGTCGGCGTGCTTCGATATTGTCGTCAAACAGCTCCTCGTCGAGAATGCTCGGATCTTCCTCGATGGAATGAGGAGTCATCTTGAGTCGAACCACCACACAACCACCTTTACCAGGCACGGCATTGAAGACGTAATGAGCTCCAGCCTTTGTTCCGGTCTTTTCGGGATTTACAAAGCAGCGTCCGCCGCCAGGGTGAATGGGGCGGGGCGGTGGCTCAACGAGACTCTCGACATGCCCATTTGCGTGGCCATTCACCCCGTTGGCTTTCTCCTCTGCATCGCCATTGCCTACGGATTTCTCGTCGCTTTCAGTCTTGGGAGAGAACGCAGGTGTACCATCAGGAAGTTTCAGGTTCTTGACAGATGTCGGAGACTTTGTCACCAGTCCATTGACTGATCGCTCAGGTTCAGGCTCGGCAGGTCGGTGCGAAGGGATGATGTGGTCGTAGAACGCGTCCTTGACGTAAGGTGTTCTGTTCTTGCCATGGTACAGACGCTATACGGACCTCAGCGATGATCGAGATGGAAATGCGAGACCCACCTCATAATTGGTCTCATTGTCACAGAAGAGAAGGTCAGGAACGATACTGGGCCCATCGACCAATACCACGCCGCCTTTGGCAGGGGCAGCAGGGGCAGGACTAGGCGTGCAGTACAGTTTGGTCATGCCCAGTGTCTCGTGAGTCGCCTCAACAATGCCGTCCGATTCTTGTCGGAGGACTGGCATATTCTCGGGGAGCTCTTTTGGCCAAGACCACGTGTTGCGGAAGAAGAGCTGGGGCAGAATGTGCAGATCTGCTGGGTCGGGTCCGCGGTTGTAAGCAGTAATGCGGATTGACAAGGCGTCGGCGTCTTCTTCATCTTTGGCGTACTGATGATGTTAGTGTGAGATCACATAGTGTCAACGCAAACTTACCTCGACAAACACATCCCAGTATCGATCCTCGTCAAAGACGTCCGTGTCCATGAGTTCAAACTCGTTGACTTCGCGACTACGATTTTGACTTTCTTGTTTGAGTTGTTCGTAGGGATATGGAGCCTGTGGATATTTGTAAAGGTATTTCATGTAAGAATGCGTGGGCGTCGAATCGAGATAGTAGTAGAGTTCCTTGACATCTTCACCGTGATTGCCTTGACCGCCGTTGAGACCGTACAAGCGTTCTTTGAGGATCTCATCTTTGCCGTTCCAGAGTGCGAGGGAGAAGCACAAGCGCTGATGGTTGTCACTGACCAGTCAGTTGATAAACCCGGAGGAGACAAGACCGCTCACGAGATACCGGCTATGCCATCCTCACCCCATCTGTAAGCCCTACTCTTGGACATCTCAAATGGAAAGGAGTTCCAAGCGTCGCCATTGGCTGAGTAGTCCTCTCTCACAGTACCCTGAACATCAGCTCGAGTCATCGGAGCCATGTTGCGCGCTGACCCATTGTCTTTCAGACAGATATGGACCCCATCTCTTCCAATGAACATCGTATCTGTCCGACTGATCCAGTCTGTCATGATCAGCTCTGACGAGTCTGAGGGAGCCAGGACTGACCTATATTCTTCCACCGAGCGGTATCGCGGCCCAAGATTCTGTTGCAGTCGTTCTCGCAGGGGCTGAGATATCAGCTGCAAACTAGGTTGAGATATGATGGAACACGCACTCGGTCCAAGTCGTTTTTCGGAGTCTGCGAGTGAGGTGTGTTCGTGTCACTTCCGTCGTGGGACGGATGGGCTGAGCATGAGCTTTCCTGGTCTGCTGATGGTAGACGCAACCGAGACTCACGAGAGTTAGTCTGAGGCGGTTGGGGTGTCTCCTCAACGGCTTTTTTAGGCAGACTAGGATGTCAGCATCCCTTTGCTGTCACCGAGATGTCATCTGCATGACGACAAAACAGTGTCTCGGAGATTGACAATGATCAACTGCGACAGTATAGCCTAGGAGAGGGATAGATGATAGTAGCATGGGGCGACACTCACTTGTCCTTTTCTCTGACTGGGGCACCAGTTGGTGGGGGTATATCGATCCTCAATTCTGGATTTGAACCAGTGTTAGGGTTTGGAGAGGCAGAAGTCGGAGTTTCATCACCGCCTGTTGATCAGCTTCCTTTGTCCATACTCCAGGTTGATCGAGCTCATGGATAACAGTCCCAGCTGTAAAGTCCCCCCGTAAACTACGTCGGCGTCCATGAATGGGAAGACATATCCCAAACAGTCACCTGGCCACCATACGGGAAGAAGTGATGGGGTAGTGAGTAAATTGGGAAGGTGAGGAGTAGACAGGATGACTGACTGAGAGTAGAAGCGACGGTCCCTGCGGCACCAAACAGTTTACTCTGAAGCATCTTGGCGGTACTCATCTTGTTGACGAGAATGAGTGAAGCTGCACAGATGAGAGTGAAGAATGAAAGGTAGAGGGTGATATATGAAATGAAGGGAAGGAAAGGGATGGGCCGGTTATGGTAGGTTGGGGAGAGTAGTGAAACAAGATACTGATAAATGTGATCGAAGCTGAATCGAGACAGTGTGGATGTTGGAGGGAGAAGGGGAGGGATCGGAGGGGATGCGCGATCTGCGAAGGTGTCTGTAGGGAGAGGAGAGTATATAAGATGGAGAGGCTGGAGGAGAGCAAGTAGTACTTAGTAGTGTTGGAAGGATGACAGGTGATGGGATGATAAAGGATGTGGATGGGTGGAATGAAGCAAAGTGTTACAGTAACACACCCTGTGATACAAGACCTCGACCTTGATGTAGGTCTTACTAGTTACTTAGACCTGATGTATATGTATACGAGTGGACAGATCTGTACGATCTTGAGTTCACTACACATGTACAGTATATACAATCTCAGTAGTACTAAGTGTCGATGACGATGAGGCTTTCCTCGCGATCGGACCTGCTCTCATCATCACCCAACTGGGCAATTTCCCAAATTCTACCACATGTCTCCATCGTGATGGCTCACGCGTCATGCATCACGAGATCGACGTTTTACCAAGTCTACAATCTACCACTCTAGGACGTTGCAAAAGCCGTCATGATCTCTGGTTGAAATACAGGAAAGATGTGTGCTTCAGTGTTGAACACATGTCGGTCCAATGGGATATGATCAGAGTCGTCAAATAATAGATACAGATATTCTGATTGTCAGCTGACCCAGACACTTCCATGGTCTTCACGAGGGTCATCTTCCAAGGAGAACGCTGCTTCAGTCATACAGTTTGAGCATGTGGTAGTCAAGAGATGGGAAGAAGGAGAGGAACCAGTGGACACCCACTCAAAGTCTCCCCTAGCCAAAATGTCTCCATTTTATCCAATTGCTTCGGAGGCATAGCCTGGACGTCCTCCACTCCGGCATAACCTCCCTTCTTCACTCTACAGTACCTTTGGAACGCTTGAAAGATTGACCAGCCATACTCTCTGTACTTTTCCTCGCCCGTCAGACGGTAAGCCAAGAACAAAGATTCGACAGTTTCCGGTCGGAGGATGTTTCGACCGTCAATGAGAATGCCGTTTCTGACTTTAGTTTTCTTCAATATTCTTACACTGTCTGACTGGCCGGTGGAACAGGAACGAGACGTGACATTCAGCGTTAAGGAGCATGTCGAGTCACTCACTGATTAGGCTTGATATACCAATCTATCTCTTTCGCTCTTGGGTCTGATTTCTCCACGAACATGGCGATTTCAGGAGCTAAACCACTGAATATGAGCAGGAGCAACATAGACAAACGTCACCGAACAGGTCAGATAGAGAGAAGACACCTCATGGATGAGTGACAAAGACGACAACTCACGTTGCTGTCTCATGTGTCTTCATACATCCCTCAATGATTCCAGTCCCAACGGCCACATCCTCCAAATCTCTCGGCATGACCAGAGTCTCCTCATTCAACTCCCTCCGACCACCTTCCGTCACGCCTAGAAGGAAAGAACCGCCCAAGAAGCAGACCAGATGGTCTTGTTTGGGGACAATCTTCCAAGCTCTTGCATGTCAACAAACGATCGCATGTGAATTGGACTTGACTCACGGTCCTCCAGTATCAGGATCCCTTTGCGGCATGAGCTCTTGAGTATGTACCACCATCCCATACGGTGTAGTGCCCATGAGATGTGTTTTAATTCCTGACATGGCTTCGTCATACATATCTCTGTACACTGGCTCTTGTCGGTCCTCACAGTCAGCTGAATCTCAGGTGGGTTGAGATCCGTCCTACCGTTTGCAGGTACTGTCTACGCCGTTAGCTTGTTACCGTACTCGAGCGCCGAAAATCGTATATATTACATCACAAGTGAGGGTAGCTGGCATGGAATCGTAGCTGGGAGAACATGATGAACACCTCAGAAGAGAGGTAAACTCACTTGATCAAATACTCGTAGTACGAATCTCCCCTCGACCCCAGACGGATCTCACTAGCTACGAATTGACCAGTCGCAGGCGATATGAAGATAGGAGCGATACCATCATGCATCGAAGCAGCCCTTATGACTTCTGTCACCTGATTGTGAGCTCTTTCCTTAGTCGTCGTCCCAAAGCACACAATATCTACATGCACCGATTATCAGTCCTTAATTGGTGAGAGTGAGGATGATGGGAAGCTGCCAAGTCACAAGCTATATGCATCATCGAGTGAACTCACCTTCTCGGCTTTCTTCCAATACACATGATCTCCCGTCAGATGACTGAGATACTTCAATTCCAATTGCAAACTGGCCGCCTCTGCTAGACTTGCCCAACCATTATTCGCCCTATCTGGTATACCCTGCCGAGTGGCCAGGTTGATACTTGACAATGGTATACCGGAAGATGTGCTGAACGCTCCCAGAAGTCTATCGGCAAGATCAACAGCGCGTTCGAGGTACATAGGAGCGTCAGATTGAATGGTAGGGTTTGAATGTATCGAGGTGAGATAATGAGCTGATAGGAGTCCACCGAGGATACGAATAGTAGTCTACTGTCAGTCTCTTCCTCCTCACGTCACTCAAGGATTCAGCTCTCTCAATCAGCTGTTCAGTCCCGACTTTCTCCCAGGACTGTAAAATGATTGTCTCGTGATCACAAGATTGTTGCAGAGTTATGGACAACGATGAAGAACACACCTCAAAAGTATTGAACTCTGAATTCTTATCGAAACTCAAATCCTCTTTAACCCACTTGGCAGCCCTCTTGTATTCCTCTTCGAACCCCATCACCAACAAACTGTCCAAGGAATCAACAATGGTGAACCCTATTCCACCCGCTCGAGTGAGGTTTGAACCTGTTTGGGATAAAGGATGAAACTCGTCGGCTCCCCAGGCGTGTCGTTCGTATGCCGTCCAACTCCATTGGAAAGCTTCTCTAACTTCTTCTCGTTTTTCGACATCGGCTGGAAGGTGTTGAACACCTCGGATGAAAGGTTTAAGGATAGATCTCCCGGAGGCGGGGAGTATGTCGTGAGTGCGGATCTTATGGGGAGATGGATAGAGGAGCGGTGAAAGCATGGGTCTGAGCAGCTGGTGATTAGTGAAGTCACCGTCTGTTCAACGACTGGCTCTCATTGGGGTTCAGTAAGTAACTGAGTGAGACAGGGTGAGAGACTCACTCTAATGGTGAACCAGCCTAGAGCTATCAAGCCGATTCCAATCAGTGATATCCTCACCCAATCCGTCCCTTTCTTTTTCCTGTCCATCTGCGGTCAGCATGTCCGCAGAAAAACATCGATGACGGAGAGCACGACTGTCACTCACCGGTCTGGGGACCGTAGGGAATTTGGCAGACTTTACATTCTTCCTGCCAGATTGAGCACGAGGACGTAAATCTGACATGCCAGTCACGGTAAGTGAGTCTGTGACTGCGTGACTGTTTTCGAGTGAGCTACTTCTAGCAATGGTAAATGGTGTGAGTCGAGTAGAAAGAGAGAAGGAAAGTGTTGAAACCCACGACGGAATTCAGCGTTTCCCATTTTCATCCCAACATTTAACATTTTCATTCTTTCCCACTTTTTCCACCTTCTCTACTATTCATAACTACCTTAGGCCTACAACACACATACAGAAGATCAGTCCGACACGATTTCTGAACACGAGAAAGATCACCTCAAGGGATTGTGGCTTACAAAGATGGACAACCCCTTGAATCCCGATAAGACCGCAGCGGGTATAGTCATTGACCCAGCAACTTTGGATAGAGTCGTTCCAAGCTCAAAAAGGAAGGATGGAACGTGAGTGTCTCCTGACATCACACACCTTCATGCTGCAGGATAATCTACCTTGTCTGAGGATTACAAAGTCACTCTCAGAGAGACCCTCAGATCGCTCACTCGGAACACCGGTCTGACCCAACCTATCGGAGCGATTCATCCATTCGTACCAACCTCAAGTAGCCCCCTACATGTCATTCATCCCGGAGAAGAACACCCACAAAGGGTCTTTTCTTACATCTATGCGTATTTTCTGAATGGAGTCACTGAAAATCTGAACGCCACTGACCCACAGGGTCCGAAAAGAGCTCAAAATCCGACCAGGTTTCACACCCCAAGAAGACGTAGGAAGGTTTCGTTCTTCTCGTCAAGCCGCATTAGCCGCTCCTACCTATATACCAGGAACCACTCGTCTCCGAGCTTCACCTTCCAAACCTGAAAACCCATTCGCTCAACCAAAACCGCAAACAAAGCCAAAAAGTCAAGCAAAGAATGAGAAGAGGAGAGAAAAAAGGGCTTTGGCAAAATTGAGTGAGAAATTATGGGATGATGAGGATGAAGATGATGTTGGGACTGGTGGTTTGAGAGAGGATTTTGAGGAAGTAGATAGAGAAAGAGCTGCTGCGTCTGGAGAAGTTGTAAAGGTTGAGGATCCGCCCGAAAATGAGGAAAGTCGTGTGGTAGGTGATGAAATTACCAATGGACAAATACCATCAGGTCCATCGCAGGAGAGTGACGATAAGGAGACGCAAGACGTAGGGGCTGTCAGTAGTATCGCAATTGTGACGAAAAACCTATCGGACGACGAAAGTGGAGCAAGTCGTCGAATGGCAGAATTGGAATTATTTGATATCCCTTCAGACGGCTTCCAACCGACCGACTCCAGAATTGCTCATGAATCATCTACCACCACCGCATCGGAGTCAGAATCACGACTACCCTATTCATCACAAAATCCAGACGCCTCAACATCGAAACAAAGTACCTCCCACGTAGACCCCGGAAACGCGAAATCCACTATGGCAAACGACAACACACTGGAAGAGCAACATCATCCTGACAAGTCCTCTCGGTCCCAAACTACCAGAGGACGTGCTGTTCCAGAAAGCCAAACTCCTTCAAGTCGGCCGAATCAAACGATAGGTGCAATCTCTCAACAGGCAAAACAATCAGGTCGAAATGGTCCACCAGGGCGTCAACAAGCCCAGACGAATAAGAAGGGCCCACCAGGATCTTCACATTCGAATCAACCTCCTCGAAAAGGTCCGCCAGGCTCTCGACCACCAAAACCGGATAATCGCCCGGAATCGAAGAAAGACGGTGGAACAGAAGGGAATGGGAAAGGAAGAGAAACACCTCCTTCTCAAAGAGTTCGCAAAGAGGTCCGGGTAAGGGAAGGAGGTGCGAATGATGTATCTTCTTTGGCTGAGAGGGTTAGGGGGTTGGTATTGAGTACTACTCAGCCGAGAGAAAAGAGAGGGGTGGGTACTAAGACAGAGGGTGGGAAGGATCCTTGAGTGGGTAGTAGTCTATTGTCGGAGGTGACGAAGGCAGAAATCTTGGAGATAGGTCTTGGAGCCTTACGGAGAGTTTAGATGATTGGAGTCGATGTGTCTGAATAGTCAAGATGCATACCGTCAACACCAAAGTTACACAAATATGGTAAATGAGTAAATCCAGGTTTGAAAACGAATTGCTGTGATGAAATAGCTGATCGATATGATCCAATGAATGATGCATGCGAAGATGAATAAGGATGATACATTTGGTCACAATCAAGCATCTGATACGACATATTCAAGATAATCCCCTCCTGCCCCTATCGCCAAGGACAGAGCGAAGCATCACCCTATCCCAGTTCTGTTCCCACGTAGACCAGACTTCTTCTGTTGCATCCACCTCTGGCGTCGCGCGGCGTGATGATGGACGGGATTGTTGTGTGAAGTAATTCCTGAGTTGTACGAGTTTTGGAGAGTCTGGGAATCCGGAGAGGATGTCCTATGAGTCAGTACGTAACAGTCACTTTCCCCCCACCCTGCAAGCTTGCAGTGGCATGGAAACGTCGGACGTCAGGACTACAGAGCTGTTAGTGGAGGGAGCTGGGGTGGGTGGAATAGGGAGAGGATCAACACGAAATATATGGCAAAGATGATGAGATGACCGGTTGATAGTGTGAAGTCGATGAGGAGATTCGTAAGGAAGAAAGGCATTGAACTAGACAGAAGGGACAAAACTCACCACTAACAACCCACCCAATTCCTCCCCAGTATCAAACACTCTCCCATTTTGCCCATCTTTCACCAACTCTCCCACGCATGCGAAATCCCTAGAAAGCACAGGTACCCCACACCCAAACATATCCACAATCTTCATAGGTAGATCTCTCCCTGAACTACTACTATGCATCGACACACCCAGATCCGCACATCCCAATAGAGTAGGGTAATCTCGAGCAGGTAGGAACACACATCTGACACAAACATCTGTCCATCGAACAGTTTTTCCATTTACAGAACCATGCTGTTTATCATCATACTGTGAGGAATCACCTTTCTCACGTGCCTGTACTTGTTTTTCGAAAGCGGCTCGTAAGGCACCTTTCCCGGTGATGAGCACCACCAGACGAGGGAGATGTCGAGAGGGCAGGGATGAAAGAGCAATTTGGTAATTGTCCAAGGCGGTAAGGAGAGGGTTGAAATCTTCATCGGCCGTCCAAGATGTAGCAGATACGAGAAGAGCAGGTCGGGAAGGGAGGGGACAGATGAGGTTGGAGCTTGATAAATGGGTGAGAATGGTGTGAGATGAAGGGTGTGAGAGCCAGGAAGGAAGACGAGGGGACAGATGAGGTTCAAGCCTGTGGAATAGCTGGGAATCAGTCATTGAAAGCTTTCCATCGTCGATTTGACGCACCTCATGAGCGGTCATCGGTCCTGTCGGCCGGAAATGTGCTGGTGGGCGATCATGCAAGACGATGAGTTTCCCTCTGGGTTCTCAGCTCAGCCGCGGGAATAATGAGCCAACTGACTGCAATCCCCACTCATCTGACAAGAAATCTCTCAAGGCTTTCGTGACGAACAAATGTGCATATGCTCGTTGTCCAAATTTTCTCTCAAACCTGACGTCAACTGAGAGCTTTCTACATCTGAACCAGTACAACTATGGGCAGGAAAGATCGAAAGTCAAGGTCATGAACGGGTAGCGTCGACTCACCATGTAGCAGCTTTGACCAAGGGAGATCTATCTCCCACTCTCATTGCCAATATACTGTACCCTGTATTGTGCCAGTCGATCACCAATCTCGCTCCTGTCACCCTCGCAAGGACCTGGGCCAATAATAGAGTTGGAATGCTAGGTGGGTTTTGCACAAGTAGCACCTCGTTGTGCACTGGAATGAACACGAGGCAATTGAATATGACTGAGATAACTTGATAAAGGATTCGTATAGGTGCCCTTAGAACCCAAGGGAGGCGAAGAAGGAGTGAAGGGGGGTTGAGAATGGGAAAGGGGTGAACGTGGGGGGTGGAGATGAGAGAAGGAATCGGAGGGGTATCTAAGAGTCAGCATCAGCCAGAATCAACCACACACCTGATCATGAATGGCCTTGTCAGTGATCGTACCGTTCCACCGTCGCTGAATGATGCAGAGGAAGGCATGTCAGTGATGGGTGATGAGGTGTTGAGGCAGGAGGACGCACCAAAGTAAGCCACCACGGCAGTCTCCCAGCCATGTTTAGCAAAAGATTCTGAATGGTACATCATCCGAGGTGACCTGCCTATATCTCCCAGGACGAGAACGGTGACCGTCTTGAGCCTCGTGGGTTTGGTGATGACATGACGTCGTATCCACAGCAGGAGGAGTAAGGTAGAGGCGAGGGCGGTGGAAGTCGTCAGTAGAGCGATGTGTCTCCAGTGACTGTAGCAGTATAGGACTCGTTGCAGTACCCAATGTGAGACTGTCATGATAGGGGCATTGAGAGACGTGCTATTGTATGAATTACTACTGTAGAGAGAGAGATGGGGGTCGAGGTAGAGATGGTGCCTGAGAGTGAGTGGGGGAAGGAAAGGGAAGGGAGCGGAATCAAATTCATTGGCCACCCGCCCACCAAAATTCTGTCAGCCGCAACTACTACTACTACTCTACTTACTATATCTATACAACCATCACCCCATGTCGACATAGCACACCATGAGCGCGAGCAGCAAAGAGGCTGTTCGTCTCTGCCAACATCTGGTCAGGCAGGCGTTTGGTACCGTCGTTTCGGTGAGTGATATCATCTGGGGTTACTCCGTCCCCACCTGCTACCGAGCTCATCCTCAGCGAATCGCTTCCACTTTGATGAACAGGGGTAGACTCACTTGTCCAACTCTCGCAAGGCTATCAGCTCTATCCCGCTCAACCACAATGGCCGCTCTACTGATTCTGATGCAACATCATCTCGTTCAGAGCTCTGGTGAACCCCCAGACTCAGACAAGGAAGAGGCCTACGAGTTCAACATGGACGAATGTCTCTTGCGTCTCCGGTGGGGCAGGATACTCGCCATGACCCTGGACAAGCTTGGTCCAAGCGTACGTCTATACTACCAATACAAGTGAGGGAAAATCTAGTGCTAATACTCAGGCCACAGAGGTGATCAGGAGCTTGATGTTATATGGCAGGTTGGCAAAGGATGAGATTATCCATGCTTGTGGAGGTGGGCACGGGGCATCGAGTGAGTTGTCTCATCTTCCAATTGGGATTCTACTCAAGTAACAGATATCATGGCCATAGAAGAAGCTACCCTGCTGCTCGTCCGACATCACTTCATACAACCCACTCACCCCGAGATGGGTATAATCCGTGCCGACGCTGAAGAACGGCGATTCCTTGTATGTCATGCTTCTTCCCCCTCCTTCTCTACCTTCTACCGTATACCGCCTACTTCTATGCTTCATTGTGGACGGACCGTTTGCTTATAGTCCAGACACATCGTCGACGCCTCTACTCTACGAAAGGCTTGGCGTATACCACAGCAAACGATCTTGCTAACGCTCGCTCACAAGCTGGCTGGGAAGAATCCGAACGTCGAGCCGCTCTCGTTTCCTCAAATAATATCATCGTACTCCCTGAACCCCATCCGAAGAAAAAAAGAAAACTCGTGGAACCTGAATTATCCCTTCGTCCCAACATTGCCCTTCGGATCAATTACGACCGCTACGGCGTCCTCATTCGAGACGAGTTGATAGTCCGAGCCGTCCGTGATCGTTTGAATGTCGGTGCCGCAGAAGTCATGCGTGCCGTTCTCACCTCTTGTCTGAATGACGAATCTGCCCTTGCGGATCCACGGACATTGGTCCATGTTTCAGCCAATGATGTGATCGATAAAATACCAGAACAGGCTTGTCCATTCATTTTTGCAGGGATGGCAGGATCGTCCAAAAGCAGTCTGGCGGATGTGGTCAAACAATATCTCAGAGTGCTCAGTGGAGAAGATCAAGTGGCAAGTGGGGGAAGCTTTTTGAGTACGGAAGGGACGTCATTGAACCCAATGTACAAAGTCGAATTAGAGGGGATATGTTCAAAATTGCGTGCGGCATTGATGAATGAGTTGGTAGTGCAAAAGCTGGGTGACGAGGGGTCAAGAGTATTGGCAGTGGTGGTGACGGCGAACAAGGTCTCAGAAACAACCGTGAGTGTTGAATCACCGAGATCATCCTTTTGCAGTATACATGGTGGTCAACGGAACTGTGCTGATAATAGGTTCGAGATTGCGCCATGATTCCCCTCCGTTCTGCCAGATTCTACCTTTCCGAACTGCAGAAACTTTCTCTCGTCGAAACGCAGGAAATGCCGAGGGTGATGGGCAAAGGCGCAATGTCCAAAGATGCTCACTTATGGTCCATCGATCTCGCAAGGGCATACACATATATCCTTTCTTCGGTGTATAAAACACTTGGTAATATCGAATTACGGAAACAAACAGAAGTGGACAGAAAAAAAGTCGTTTTGGCTAAAGAAGAGAAAGCGGGGGCTGCGGGAAGAGAACGATTACAGTTGAAAGATCAACAGGATCTGGCTGAGCTGGATGACACGTTGAAAAAATTGACTTTGGCGGAGGGGAGGAGTGAGGAGGTGGTCTTCATCTTGAGGGATCTTCCGGGATGGCCTGGCCGGTGAGTTTGGTCATGAGTGATTGCTTCCAACGATTTTCCTTCGCTTCCTTCGTCTTCCCCTTCAAGCCCGACCTCGACTCTCTTCCTCACCACAATATAGGCCCCGCAAAAGCATGTCAGACACCCTACCTCTCTTCCGTGCGGCTTCGCTCACTCAATGTGATTGGACAAGAAACATGACTGATCTGCAGGGTATGAAATATCATGCATGTTACTGACGATTACCAATACGAATACATCATCTCATTTTCTGACCTATTCCATCAGCGAATTTATCCGAATCACCAATTATATTGTCTGCCGAGGTCCATCCACCTGTGATCAGCCTAAGACCTCTGGTCTCTACGAGTAAGACGGTAGGGGTGACAAGATCTACTCACTCACCACCAATCCGCATCCCTCGCGGTCGCACTAGCATGTACGACGCAATACCATATCCTCCTTCTTGATCTCCATGCATCGCTGTAAGCCCACCAATTCCACACATCTTCGAGATCATATCCACTATTATCACTCTTCCCATCGAACTGGTTCAGCGAGTCTTTCGACCCCTTATCAGTCCATGTCATGACGGATTTGACTCCCGTCCCGCTTGTCCTTGACTCCAGTATGATCTTTTCTTCATTCTGCACTCGGATCACATTCGTTTCATCGCCAGCTGGGCTGTCCGGAACGTAACTGACTTGATCACTTCTCTTACTCCATTCAACCGAAGCTAAACCAACCTTGACAGGCTGCTCGATCTCCTCCTCTAAAGCAATCCATAATTGAGTAGCACTCCCCACCCCACTAGGATTCGCTTTCCATCGTCTTAACAAACCCAAAGTCCATTGTCTCACATCGTCCAGGATGATCATTTCCCACATCGCTCTCGGAAGTGGGAGATACCTCATTGCGGAGCAAGTACGTCGGAGGGAAAGAAGATCGTTCAGACATTGTGGAGATAGAAGATGAGAAGGTTGATCTCTCTTCAACTTCTTCTCTGTACTGACGTTCGAATCAGTCGTCACACGATCTAATATTGTGTCGTGTTTCTGGGGAAGACGGAGATTGTCGTGCTCTTCGGAGGAAGTAGGGGAAGGGAGGAGATAGGAGATGATTTCGAGGAGTATGGTTTGAGGGAGAAGGGCGAAGGAGGAAGATTGTGAAGGACGTTTGGATGATGGTGAGGGTCGATGGGACGGAAGGTTGAGGGAGAGGGGTGATTGAAGATCCGCCTGGAGATAAGCTACATATTCCACACGGAAGCCTTCTTTTCAGACCAATGTAAGTTCTCTTGCTCGGTGATTGGTGGACGTCACAGTTTCAAGCAACCTGATCCTTGTAATCACTATCCTCCTCTCGTCCGCTAAATCGCACTGAGACTTCGCCCTCGATCAACAACCGTTCCTACTACCCAAATCCTGATACCGAGTCCATCCAGGGAAGGGTTCAAAAGTCCTGCTACAAAAACATAACATCATACTGTATCATTGTCAAAAAGACCAAGGTGTGATATCATGAATCAACAAGCCATCATCAGTAGGTCAAATAATCACTCACGTTTACCAAATGTCCTCCTTCTTTTCCATCATTCTTCTTCCATCTCTCCCTCTGACTTTTCGTCCCACACCAATACCCGACGCCCAAACCTTTCTCTCCTCCAAACACATTCGGATCGACTTGCCCCACCCAGGATCCATGTCCTGTCCATTTAGGTAAACTCCATCCTAACATCATCCTCTCTTCATGAGAATATCCACCATACATTGTCTTGCGTACTGTACGAAGTACGCACATGAGACAATACGCATGTATGGGGACAGTACGTCGATGTGCGTCGTAAGGTGTTCTTGTGGGAGGTGAGGGTGATGCTGCTCGGGAAGGGAAATCGTTAACGTCAGCTACTCTCGATCCTGTACGTGTACGTCCCTCTTGCTCCAATCCTGCTTCCCGACTAGGCAGATCGCTTCCGGTATCCTGCTCCTCTTGATCTGATAGTTCTTGAAGGACGTTTAGAGCAGTTCGTGTGTTTGACACTACTGACTGAGAATTGGGAACATTGACGATTTGTTGCGTTTCAGATGTAAGAGGAGGTAAGGGAGAACGAGGAGTTGATAATCTCAAATTGTTCATTCCCACCACAGGAGAAGATAGAGTGACGGGAGGCTGGATCAGTCCTGATGAAACTTGAAGATAATGCCAATCTCTCAACCAGTCAGGATGAAGAGGGGTTGATGTGGTAGTATCTGTAGACACGGCTTGATCTTGAGGAAGAGGGGTGTTGTACCTAGGTAAAAGACACGGTGAGGCGCAGAGACAACAGTATAGTGGACCTAGTGTGAGGGTCATTATGATTTTTTCAATTGGTTCACTTATGCTACGATGTATTAGATTTGATAGGCTCTTCAAGTTATTGTGCCAAGTTTTCTCTTTGGTGTGGTGAGAATTTAGCTTTTGTTCAACGGTCAATCAGTAGAATGGTGATTAGTCCACCAGGGAGCTCGGAAATCCAGGATGTTGTCTTTCCGCACTTATGAACGCTCACACTCACATATAGATACCCCCCAAATCGAAATGAGAAGAAGAGACTATGAATGGTTTCCCTCATCATCCCTCGAGATCTTTTCAATGCCCGCTCCTTGTCCCCTTGACACATCTTAGGTCCTTTGTCATTTCAACCTTCCTTACTGGGCTCACTCGCTACAGGCTGTTGTTTCTACGTAACCCTTCTTCCCTTTCACACATCCCCGGACATTCTCCGATCCCGTCTACCATCTAACGACGACGGGTGTGTCTAAGTGGTCGTACCGTCGTGCGTTCTAGGGAAAGATTCAAAACATTTGAAAGTGCCACACGGATTCACCGCCACAATGACGTTCCTCCCACCCAACCCACACTCTTCTTCTCCTCCTCTCCCACCTTGGCTCAACTCGTCTGTCTACGAGTACTTTACACCGCACTCAGTATCGAGGTAGGCTAGGAAACGAGACGAGATAAGATGGCACCTACCCCTCTGCTCTCAGCGGACGACAAGGTCAAAGTCAAGAAAGCGATACCTACTTCTGGGTCAAGTAACAAGATCGTCACTGCCGCAGTGGCCAGGGTGTATACCGCCAAGGAAGGAGCTAGGACGTGAGTTTCTCTTTGGCTATCACAATGGTCTCTCGTCCTCCCCGAATTCCCATCCCTCATTTCAAACTGTTTGATATCGTCTTTCCGTCCTGGCTCGAAGTTTAGTCCAGATCCTGGCTTGTCATTGTAAACACCTTTCTGTGACCTCCCTGGGTCCCTTTGTGGGGTAAGGCAAGTTCGACCATGATTCATAGACGTGTGACACAGGGAACCAAACAAATTTTCGGACGATTAGCTGATGACAGATGGACATACGCCAATGCGGAAGGAGCTTTGGTGTTCTGTGCTGATAAGTCGAAAGGGGGATTATGGTTTCGAGTGGTGGATCTTTCGGTACGTTTTTCTCGTTTGGATCCATCCCACTAGCCATCTCCTTCGTTGGGTATGCGCTTATGAGCTCTGGATGACTCTGCCGGAAATCACGTAGAACTCCAGTCTCTCCTCTCAAGGGGACCGAGTCATGGGAGCCTGAATCGGTGAATGGACTCCGAGTGTAGCAGCTGACGGCCAGAGCTCCAGAGGGGTGATATGGGAACACGAATTACCCAACGAGATCGAATACAATCAAGAAAAACCTTTCTTCCATTCATGGCAAGGAGATGTGAGTGGGACTTAATCTTCTTCAGTGTCCTTCTGCCCCTTTTTGATTCTCCCACTTTTTGCTTGTCACTCTTCACAGTTGAAACCTCTCAAGTCTCTGCAGAGATGGTCTTCCCTGGGTCACTTTGGAGAAAAGCTGTATGGCACTCGATGAAGGCTTCTTCCTCCCTCTTGGACTGCGGCGGCTCTGCTTCGAAAGCTCGAAGCGACATATCCCTCCTATTACTTATATCATGCAAATGAAAGTTGAGCTTGACACTGACTCGCAGTCCACCAGTATAGCCTTCGTCTTTGCTTCTGAAGCTGAAGCTGGGGACTTTTACAAGAAAGTCGCCAATAGGTCAAAATACGCCAGTATGTCAGCCGGACTGGGTGTCATGTGATTGCTGACTTGTCAAGCAAAGGTGAAAGAAGAGAAGAAGGAGAAAGAGAAAACGCCCACAAAGAAGAAGAAGGGCGGTAAAATCGACAAATCGCAGATCTCTGGACCGGTACGTAGCTAGCTTTCTTTCTTTCTGCTTCTCTATTTCAGGTAGCAAAGTAGACCATGTCTCTGAAAAATGCTAATGAAGTATGCGCTGGTTGTACGACCACTGACTCCCAGTCCGCTGGCTCATTCAAACATCTCGCTCATATGGGATATGACGCCGAAAAGGGATTCTCATCCGTTGGCGTTGACCCATCATGGCAAGCGCTCCTAGAACAGCTTTCGGCAAAGGGGATCAGTGCCAAGGATATACAGAAGAATGAGAAGTTTATCAAAGATTTTGTCGAGCAACAAGGAGGTATACAAAAGGTGCGTTTGACAATCCCCGGAATTCGTATTGTTTCTTCTCGCCCGGCAGCTTCCCATCCACGTTCTGACATCCTTATCGGTGTTCTTGCGATGTGTCACGGGAATTCACGTCTGATCTCAGGCCACCGCCACGGCTCGTAAGCCTCCTCCACCGCCTGCACCTACGTCCCGACGCAAAGCTGCTCCACCTCCTCCAGCCTCCAGAGCTCGTCCGACTTCGGTCGTAACTTCTCCTCCGCCCCCTCCGCCTCCACCCCCACCCCCGTCATTACCACCCTCTCGATCCCATCCGTCTTCCACTCCCTCTGCGCCCCCACCACCACCCTCCGCACCCCCCCGCGCGACGCCGAGTGCTCCTCCACCTCCCGCTCCACCCCGCGCGACACCCGGTCCACCTCCGCCTCCGCCTCCACCGCCACCTCCCTCCGGTGGTCGTATACCCCCTCCTCCCCCTAGAGCCCCTCCTGTCGCTTCTGGACCTCCCCCTCCCCCTCCCCCATCTCCACCACAAGCCTCGTCACCCTCAGCACCGGCGGGGAGATCTGCACTTCTGGCCAGTATCCAAGGTCAAGGCATTCACGCTCTCAGGAAGGTCGATCCGGACCAACAACACGTCTCTCCTCTCGCTGGAGGATCAGCCGTCGCGGCAGGAGCAGGTGCGGCCGTGGTAGGTGCCGGAGCGGCTGCGGCGGTGGCTTCTGCTGCTGGACCCGAAGATGGACCCGATCTAGCTAGTAGTCTGGCTGCCGCTCTGGCACGGAGGAAGGGTGATTTAGGGGATAGTGATGAAGAAGAGGAGAGCGAAGGGGAATGGGATTGAGCTGTTGGGTTTCTTCGAGTTATCATATCTTTGAGTGGTATGAATAGGATCTGTCACCACTCACTTGACTTGTTTAGACCACTCGTACCATATAACGTTAGCTGAGTGCCACGGCGATGATTATGCCCGACATTAAAATGATGACGAGTCATCGATCTTTGTTTTCCATCGCCATATCTTTCCCCCTTGACCCACCACGTCCCCACCTCTTCTTTCCTCTTCTCTTCTCTCACCGTTTACTCTGTAATCTTTCACAGCCGTAATCTCTCTGGCCCATTTCCCTCCCTCCACTCGCGTTCCTTCCAGCGTCCCGTTCCCTCCCTGAGACCTCCAATTCCATGTCCGATCCTCACCCTTCAACAACGGAGACCGATCTTCTCCTGCCCACTGTGAATCGACCCTCACGCTCACTGAAGTTCCTTCCCCATCTCGAGATGTTTCCTCAACCTCGAGATAAATTCTCCATGTCTCTAGTCTATGTGAGTGTATCTATCACCTTTCTATGTGAAAAGCACCTGATCGAGAAGACATCATTGGTAGTGTTCGTCCCGCTCACTTGGTATTTAGTCTTTTCGGGTGATATATCAGCTATGGGTTGGTTCGCCTTACATCCTCCTATGCAATCTTTGGCCATAGCTGGGTTTGTGTTAGGTAAGTCTTTTTCATCCTTCTTCTCATCATACCTTTTTCACCTGATCAAGCAGTCTAGTCACTCATAGTTACTTTTTATACTTACACAACTGACCAACATCACTTCAAACTTCAATTGATAAACCCTCTTATCTGATATCGTGAAGAATACACTATCCCCTCCGCATCAATCGGGGTTTTTCTTTTTTGTTTTCATACTGGCGAAGAATGGAGTTACACATTGTTGGTTCATCCTGACTCTCAGGCATAACACCTCTTCAACCTTATCCCTCATCCACTCACATCCGTCAAACACGTTTAATAACTCATCAAACATTCATCTATCTATCTTCCCTCTTTCTCCTTTTGGGTACATCGGCAATGTGGTATAACAAACATCTACATTCTGCGAAACATTATACAACTTGGCATGGACGATTTGGATTGTTATTCGTTTGTTGGATTATATTACAGGGTTTAATAGGTGGTTTAAGTATCTGGAAAGGGGGGGAAATGTTGGGTGGAGGTGAGAAAGCTAAGAGGGTTTATAAGTATCATCGGTTGGTTATATTTATTCTCGACTATCATCCATTTCCATTTACTTACATGTGACGCAAGCTCCGACATTAAAATATTCACTGCGATTGAGTCATTAGAACGTCTTCTCTCATTTGTTCAAACACCCATGTTGGTCGTTACGTCGTGATGGAGTTGAAATCTTGTATCATATCAAGTCTTCACATAAATTCAGTCAGATCAACGAAGGAAGGTCAGGTTCACATCCGGAATGAGGTCTGAAATCTGAAGAATGATAGATGAAACTTCATGGACATCAGTGGAACATCTGAAAGTTATTTTGAATTGATTATCTCAGATGAGAGACTGGTGACAAACAGAGAGCAGAGAGAGTGAAACTAATCTTCAGTCTATCGGGATACCTATTACTCACTCTGGCACTTTTCACTGCTCATCTAGGTGGAGCTCATTCAGACTGGGCGTTTTCACGAAATGGTTTTCGTTGGTTACGCCTGATAGTGTTTTGGATCACATTGCCTTTATTATGGATAGGAATCTTTAGTCGATTACGGTGAGTGAAATTGTGTCACTTTCCCTTGGAAGTCCTCCTTCCTCTCTTCTCCTGGAACACCAATTTCTTTAGTATCGATCTTGGAGATAAAGATGAAGATATGATCATGATTAACAGCGGCTGTTTACGTATGTGAGAGAAAATAAGCTCATGACAGACCCAGCAAAATGAAATTCATTTGATTGACTTCGTCATGAACCGTTCAATACCTTCATCTCATATTTACCATTGTCCACCTGTCGCCCATTCTATGTCATCTTCAACGGCATCTCTGTATAATCTGACTTTCATCTATGTTTAATCGTTCACTCGAATCATGTTCCCTCTCTCTACGATATCAATCCATCACTAGAAAAAGAAAAAGTCCCAATTGTAGCTGACAATCCCAATCTGTATATCATATCCTCTACCTCGATGCATGTTTTCATTTATGGGTTCTCATTCCATTTTTTGCTCAGCATTCGGACTTCCTCCCGTGATACAGATGTCTTCATATCAGTAAGCAGTGGACGACTAAGATGCAATGCAAGATATCATCTCATTTCAAATCCTCATTCTAATTGACTCTGGTTGAAACGTTACTATCTGACGCTCGAAGGAGAATATGGACTGTTAGGATTAATCTTATTTTCTATACCCAACATTCGACAAAAAGCTTCTGTTTGAGGGTTGGTATACCAAGCATCTGAACGTCAGTCTGGATTCATTCCACTTGTCATTTCTTTATTCCTTTTCAACCACATTTTCTTCCAACTTGTGTCAGAGTCAAAGAAATTCCGGTAATGGAGGGGTGGAGGTGTGATCATGTAAATTGTGCCGTCCCAGAAATTACGTTGAGAATGACCAGTTGAACACCAAAGATCCCAACTCCACGACATGCACAGATACCATAAAACAACCTAAACGGACGAAGGAGGGGAAAAAAAGGGTATTGAAACACTCACCATCTGACCCTCCTGCTTCACCTTGCGCAGGAGCAGTCTTTTGGAATTTCTGAACTTTACTAATCTCCACCAACCCTTTTGCCCAAAACTCTTTCTTGGCCATTCCTCTTTCATCCATATCCGCCTCCTGATGTTCCTTTGGCATTTCCTCATTCTCAGTATTTCCATCCATCTGCCTATCTCTCTCATTTTGGGTTGACTCGAAATGTTTTTCATTCACCGAGAATCTGACAATTCCTTCCACTTTCGAATCTTGAGCAGGGGAAGGGGGAATTAAGACACCTTGTATATCCAGCTTTTGCTTCTCGTTTCGTACCATATCCTCGATTTCTAACATGTTCGGTAACGTTTGACGGATTGCGGTAGAGAGGTAAGGATGGAAAGCGCGGGTTATAGCGAGCCAATCGGGATCGTATTGTAATACCGGAGGACCGGAAGAGGGAGTAGGGATGTCTAGGAACTGGACAATGAGCTATTGACTCGAACAGAGATTAAAGTGTAGCTAGTATCAATTAGGCATTTGTGAAGATGGTGATTCGATGTGATGGACATCCGAACACGAATGGACATGTGATTGAACATCAAAGAGGCAGGTCACAGAGATCACAGCCGGGACGAGGCGCAAGAAAAGGATTGACAACTCTGACTGCGGGATGTGGACGGTCAGAAAAGGAAGACTAGTCTGATTGTGAAACAAGACAGGACATCATCGGGTTGAGACGGAAGAAAGAAAGCCTGGACTCACTTGAAGATGATCCTTCCCAGGTCCACATTTATCCAAAGCTAAAAACCTAGTCTGTGAACTTCCTCCTTCTTCTCCTCCATCCCCAATCACTGTCCCGCCGCCTTCAATCCTGACGACCCCGTCCTCAGGAAGCTCTGAAGGCACGGGACCTAACGCTCCTGACAAAGACCCAGCCCGTCTGGTAGCTTCAACGATATCCACACTTTCGTCCAATCGTTCTGAGCCAGGACTTGGGATTTGAGATCCTTGTCCGACCTCTACGTCTTTTTTCGGCTCTGAGACTATGTTGGGGAGATCAGAAGGTTCATTATGAATCTCATCCTCAGAAAGAAGGATCTCATCTGGATTTTCATTCCCCGTATATCTTATTTCACCACTGGTAGGCATCTCCAGTGGTGAAACTTCTATAGAGGCTGGATTGGAGTGCTTTGGACCAGAGAAGTCCTCGTCCATATCTATCTCGATCTCATCGGGATTGCCCCCTTCCAAAGGGGTGTCTTCGCCGTCTAGATCTTCATCTATGGTAATCTCATCCGGATTCACTCCTCCACCTGGTAAACCCCCATTGACGGATCCTTGGGCCACTAGCGCTGGGGCCAGTGGTATGGGAACATTGATGGATGGTGGCACGGGATGAGAGGCCTTAATGGAATGAGGGGATACAGGGACGGTAGTGTTATTTGAGGGAGACTTATGATCGTAGACCGCGGCGAATTTGACATGCAGATGCGCCGAAAACCAGTATTCAGGTTTGAGACGTTTCAGAAGTCCTAATAATGGTGGGGAACCTAATGTGTCTGTTCGGATCTCATCGGCGAAAAATGGTTTGCGGCGGAGTAAAGCGGGGAGATTACCGTGGTGGGGAATGGTGAGGGGCCAATCGTGTGACAGGACTATGGTGTTTGAACGAGGGGGGAGCTAGGGTTAGTGATGTTTCTGAGCATACGACAGGTATTGAGAGTGGAAGGGGATGCTGATGAGATACGTAAAGACAACTGTAGGATATGTTGTAATATGGGAGAAGCAAATCTTGAAACACGATCTGGAGACAGGAGGAATGCTAGGGAGAGGAATTCAGGTAGACGTGGGGGCAAGTGAAAGTATAGATGAAGACAGATGAACAGGGAAACAGATTGTGAGGGAGAAGATCACACACCTGCATGAGCTTGAGAATATCGTATTGCCGTGTATGATACACGCTCCGCAGAGTGTTCTTGTCGTAGGGGACTTTCTCAAAATGACCTCTGCGTCAGCCACTATCATGTCCATCCCTCGCAGCCGGTTGAAACAAGGCTGAGACGTGGGCGTGAGTCAAAAGGATGGACAAGAGTGGTCATTCAACCGGTGAGAGAGATACCACTCAAATTTGGGCATCCATCGCGGTACAAAGGGATGAATGATGAAAGCCGACGCCAAAGCGAACGGTGTCTGTCATAGAGAGACAGTGAGGAGGTGAGGGGGTGGTAGACAAAGATGAAACAGACATGAGGGTCTCTCACTCAACTCACCCTTGTTATAATCATGTTTTTTATAAATTCCACTTGCCCCAACTATTCTCAAACCATTCACAAGGACACTTCCTCCCGCTCCGAGGTAATAAATCCCCTCTGCCAGCCATCCGCCGTGATATAATTCCCACATATAATTACTGGCTTCGTGATTACCACCTTGAATCAGTACATTCCCATATATAGTGACACAGAAACCACCAAGTCATCCTGGTGAGTAGGAGGTAAAGATTTTCGCGTATATGGACAGAGTAAAAGACTGAATATGACATACCAATGACAATAGTCAAAACAGGCGCTTTCCTCTTCCCACTGTAATACTCATGAAAAGTCCCCAACGCATGGTATTTCGGTGGAACCGCCAAGCTTGCAAAATCATGTGTAGACCTAAGCGCTTGAAAGTCTCCACAGAGGAGTAACAAGTCGACCGGACGACCATGTGACCGGGTGTAGGAAGCGAGGGAAGCGTAGATGGACGAGAGGGAACCGTGAGAGCAACCTTGGACAGCGACCTGTGTGTGAATTTTGGTATTGATTGCTACTCGGATTGAAGGTTGTGAGAGTGGTCGAGGAGGAGTGAAGACTTACTAGCATGATTTGTCTTTGTACCTACCACCTCGCCGATGGTCAACACTGCAGGATATCCAGTGGCCAATGTATGACGAGGAATTTGGTGTGAGTGGGGACAGGTGGGGAGGGGAGGGGGGGGAAGAGATAGGCTCGTGGGAAGGAGTGAAGATTAGGCATGCACGCTATAGTCCCTTGTGCCTGTCGGTTCTCCGATGCTTTGATTTGCCGATGCCGTGCCGCGGGTCAAACAACAAGATGACTGCGAGTTGTTCCTATTTGTGTACTGGGGCAGTACTGCAACACTAGTACAGTAAAAGTTCTGTAGAAGGGAGGATGAGAGAGAGGCAGGTGGGAGAGGGAAAGTGAACACTGGACACGTGGTGACATCGCCACCTCGATGACGCATGACGCAGATATATGGAACGCGGAAAGGGCCATTCGATTTTTTTATTTTTTTCATCTGCACGCTTTTTTTTCTTCAGGAAGAGCATGCATGATGATCTTCTTCTCCCTCTATCTCAGTCAATATTGCAGGTATTGAGGAGATCTCTTTTGAACATAGCTCAGTGCCCCTAGATGTATCTTTTGGTGCTATCTAGATGCATGCAAACAGCCTACATCAGACGCTTCAAATTATAGGTTCTCTATAAGGAGGAAAACAGCCTTTCTCCATCTCCTGTTTCACAGGAGGTAGCTGAATGCATCAAATTCCTACTGTAAGAGAAGGAAACCTATCCAGAGCCTTCTCGGGCGTCTGCATGCCTCAAAGAAGACCATGGAGATGGTAAGTGATGACAGAATGATATTTTAGTGATATTTGGGGGTGGTGAGAAGGAAGTGCCACATTGGGTCGATCCCCCTTGGGGCCCCACATCAAAATATCGAATCAAGTGATCTACTCTCTTGGGTCACTTGAGAGCTTCATATTGTGACAGATGATGCATCAAGGTGTCAGGAGTACACCCTTCAATTTTCAAGGCTGTAGCTGCATGCATTGTGGAGTTGTAGGGAGGAGAAGTTTTGGATTATACCATCTGAAAAAAAAATCCGGGTGAGGAAAAAAAAAATCGAATGGCCCTTCGCGCGCGCCATACAGATATCCGTGTAACGTGCGACGCCGCCCGACGCTTATTCGTGAGTCGGAACAACTGACAGGGTGAAAGACCCTGAGCGGGAAAGAAATAGAAAGGAAAAACGTCGGAGGCGGAGGCGGAAAAGTAGAGAAAAGTAGAAGAAAAGCATCGCCTCGTACAAGGAAATACATACATCGTTACATCTCTCCTCTTCTTTGATCGTCTCTTTCTCGTTCCCTTTCCTATTCCTTGCATTCCCCCTTTGTGTCGATCATTCACGGTGGCGATTGACTAGACTAGTGGATAGTGCCATAGTGGTGACTAGACCGCAGTAGACTATCGCTAAAGATCCCCAACCGATCTCTTCCTTGGTGAACGCTTGGACCTCTTTTTTTCTTCCCCATCGATATCCCTCATTGACTGATTCTTCCTCGCCGGTTCCCCAACTGTAGCCAATAGCATAGAGAAACATCCTTATAATCACATTGTTCAACGAGAAAGAGGTGAGCACTTACTCGACCCTCGTTGCCCCACTACCACCATCAATCATCACTCGCACCTTCCTTTGTCACAATCGTCCTGTCTTTGTTTCCCCTCTGCTCCTTTGCCTATGTCCCCTCGTTTGCGTTTGGCCCTCTGACACTGTGCGCGATCAATGACGACCTCTAGGCTGACAACGTGGTTTTCTTTTTTCCATTCCACTCCACCGCTCCACTACTTTACTTGTCCATCCCCTCATCTTTCTCCTCTAAACCTCATCTCTCTACCACTCCCTCTCCAATCCTTCCACCCTTCCTTCTCAACACACAGGCTCGGCACGTATTATTCCTCAAGCATTCCTCCATAGATAATAAACTTGTCGGACACTCCCCATTCCGCTTCCTTTCAACCCCTCCCCCGACAGTCGTTTCAACTTCCCCTCCATCCCGTCACTTTCTCACCCTTCCACATCTCCACTTTCACTTTTGACATTTCACCATGTCCCTCACATCTCTCCTCTCCCTCTTGCCTTACCTCGTTTTCATCGCCGCTAGCCCATTCACCTTGGACGATCGGATATGGGACAGAGCAAACACCCCTACCCCGCTCAGCTTCTCACCCTCTGGTGATGCCGGTATCTCGGCTCAACAAGTAAGCACCCCGTCCACATATGAATGCCCCTTCTGACTGTCAGATGTTTCTTGGAACCAACAAAAAGGTGTACATCCTCGACAAGACGGAGAATAACCCTGTCAATGTGACTGGAAAATATGGTACACACCCCGCTTGGGCCGTCGAATATGACCTCGCCACAAACACATGTGAGCGACAAACATTCGAGAAATTAGACAACATGCTGAAGAGACAGATCGAACTATGGATGTCGATTCCAATACGTTCTGCGCTTGTGGTGGTGTCTTGGCCAATGGTACTTGGGCCATTTTCGGTGGGAATCAACGTGAGTCGACTCAGATTGCTTGGACCTGATTCACTTCGGCGAGACATCCTTGGCTGATCATTCTAGCCATCACAACCGGAGGAGTTGCCACCACCGACCAGGGTGCTTATCACGATACGGACGGAGGTACTGCCATTCGATTGATAAACCCCTGCAATGACCAATCATGTGAATACATCCAAGGCGATCAACCATTCCAGGTTAGCGAGGGCGACACCGGCGGCTATCTCCAGATGACCGGTCGACGATGGTACCCTACGGTAGAAGCTCTTCCCGATGGATCACTCATCATTATCGGCGGAGACAAAAATGGCGGTTATGTCAACACTCCCGCCCAAGACAACCCAACCTACGAATTCTTTCCCCCCAAAGGCGACGGAAACGCTGTCAACCTTCAATTCCTCTCTGACACACTTCCTATCAACCTATACGCTTTGACGTGGCTCATGCCTTCTGGTCGACTATTCATGCAAGCCAACCGAAAGTCAATCTTGTACGACTACGAATCTCAGGAAACAACCAATCTCCCCGACATGCCCTTTGCCGCTCGAGTGTATCCAGCCTCAGCAGCCACCGCTCTCCTTCCCTTGACTCCAGATAACAATTACACTGCCACTGTCCTCTTCTGTGGCGGGTCTGCAAACGAACAATGGGGTAACGATGGTGGTCCTGGATTCAACATCACCGCCGTCCAAGCTGACAACACTTGTGTCCGTATCAGTCCAGACGATGACAATCCGCAATACGAACAGGATGATTACATGTTTGAATCCAGGTCCATGGGACAGTTCGTCATACTACCTGATGGTACATTCTGGTTTGGAAATGGCGTCGAATACGGCACTGCCGGATATGGACCACCTTACTATTCCACCGGTCAATCCTACGGACAAGCTCCTGTCTACTGGCCTGCCATTTACAACCCTTCGGCTCCAAAAGGTGGAAGATGGAATCGAACCGGCCTTTCACCGTCCCAAAACGAGAGGATGTATCACTCCACCGCCATCCTGCTCCCCGATGGTTCCGTCTTCATTTCAGGAAGCAATGCAAACGCCGATTTCACAAACGATCAATGGCGATCAAGGACAGACACGGAACGTTGGTACCCTTGGTATTTCAACCTTGCCCGACCGACCTACAGCGGAATGCCGAGTACGATATCCTATGGCGGTGAATCGTTCGACCTCGTCATCGCCGGTTTGACAGACGAGAATACAGTCAAGAATACCAAAGTCGTTTTGATAAGAGGAGGTTTCAACACCCATGCAATTGGATTCGGTCAGAGATATCTTCAGTTGGAGAATTCGTACACGATAGATATGGAAAGTGGTAACACGACCCTGCATGTTTCTCAGATCCGAGGGAATCCAGGACCGACGCTGTTCCAACCCGGTCCAGCATTGTTCTTCTTGGTGGTAGATGGCGTTCCTTCAGAAGGAGACTTTGTAATGATTGGTTCTGGGGAGATCGGAACTCAACCCACTACGACTAACGCTCCTTTGCCTAGTTCTCAGGTGAAGGCGGTGCAGACGAATACGACAGATGACACGGGTTCAGGATCAGGATCAGGGTCTGGGTCTGGATCTGGGTCGAGTGCGGGGATGAGACTCGAGGTGGGTGGTTTGGTATGGGGAACCGGGTGCATGGTGGTGCTGGGCTTGATGGTGATGGTTTAGGTGGAGTGTGTGTGGCTTGAGAGTATCCTCTGTGGATTTGTGGGTGGAGGGAGGCAGTGGGTAGAGTTGTAGGGATACAAGAGTCAGGTTGACCCGATTCACACGATGTGACCACGAGTCACCGGGTTGATGATGAACGTTCGGATGTGGTCAGGGGACACGAAAGAGGCGGGATATGTGTGGGAGCGTGATGGTTGGTGGGACTCACGGACAATTTGTCGACAACTTTGCATTACACCTTTTTTATAGTTTTTCTTTTTAACGACCGAAACGGAAAAGACGAATGAATGGACACTTCTGCATTGATGTTTTACGCGGTGATAGTTGTGATAGGTGTTGCATGTCGCACTCGTACTCTACAATATGTCGGCGCACCCAGCACCTAGCATCTCCATGAGGGTGCGGAACGTAATCATTCATCCATGTTCCAGGATGGATGGATGGATGGTTCAAAGTCACCCACCCTCTCGCGATCGCTTTCGTTTGGCTTCTAATACCTCAGACACACCCCATGGCCCACTTCCACCTCCGAATCTCCCATATATCATATACCATAACGATCGACCATTCTGTGGGAAAAGATGAGACTATGATTCACATCATCTTAGAAATTGTCTCATCACGTCGATCGTTTCAAAGTGATCTTATCCTTGACATAATAAAATGATCTGTACCATACATCGTTTTTTGGAACAAGACATTAATGGGAAAAAAAACCTTTCTATACTTCCTCAATCATCATCCTCCTCCATATAATGATAAGCGACTTTCATATTTGTCATATAAACAGCTCCAAGTTCAGATAAAGCTCCCCAAAAAGGATTCCTTTGATATAAATTACGCATATGTTCGTTCTACTTATCAGCTATATCATATTTAACAAAGAGATCCCCTTGTGGGATTCTCATTTACATCGTATTGGTAACGACACAAGAGATTGAAAATCATATTGTCGTGATAGAAAGAGCATAAGAGATTAAAGATCATATCATTCTGATGAAGATGACACAAGAGATTGAAACTTATATCATGTTGATAAAAACAGCATAAGCAATGAAAAGGGAGAGAGAGAATTTATGAATATGTAGAAAGGGTTTTTAACTCACAGGGAATAAAAATGTACCCCAACATACTAAACTTGAATAACAAACGAATCTTACACCTAATACACCATCATCGTCATTTCTAAAGAATCCAAGTTGTAATGTTGCCCATGCTATACTGATTTATCAGACACCATCATCATATCATGAAATACCTGAGGAAGTATTGGAAAAGGTTTGATTCCGTTTGAGAGGATACTTGATAGAGAAACATTTGTCAAAAAAAATGAAGTGAATGAGGATGATGGGGTTCGTATCGAAGGGTGAGAAGAAGTAATGAGGATCGTCGAAGTGTGCGGAAAAGAGGTCAGAGTGAGATGATGTCAAGTTAGGGGAGAGAAGAAGAGAAAGGAAACAAAACTCACAAACCTAATGTCCATCCCATCGAATTCGAACTTAACCTCGGTCCAATGAGCGTTATAGGCGGGAAAGGAAGATGCATCCCGAATGTTCTTCACATCAATAATGAACTTCCTCTACGGGCTTCCAGTGCTCCAGTGAATACTGTTCATCTTGGAATCAAGAGAAACGTCGTCAGGATGATCATGTAGTAGGGAAGTGAAAGTGACCCTCGCTTAGGGGTATTGTCCGCAGGTAACAGAGCAACAATTGCGAGTTCAAAGAAACTGTCGGAGAATGGGCCATTGCCAAATCACTCACCGGTTGTTAGACCACGCAACGAGGAAAACTCCAACACACATTCCCATGATAAAAGCATGCCACATACCTTGCCAAGCTAATAGACTAGTGACTGTTCATCAGCCAATGTTCTTTTCTCTTCCCAACCTGGTGGATTTCGCCTCTCCACTGTCCGGACACGTATTGTTCATTGATCAACCATCTATCACATGTTCAACTATGTCCTTCATTGAATTTGTCTCTCGGGGATCACTGACGCCTTTCTAGATGAAGTTCGATCAAACTACAGTATGATCACCAAATCTCCTACCTCATCTGCATAGACAACCGCGACGTTCATGAGATATCGAGGAGAAGTATAGTAAATCACTCACCCATTCGATAAGTACTCGTTCCTGGATATACCCAGATAGACACCGTTGAATCGGCAAAATATTGACATTGACTTGGATCAGGTCCGCCATTCGATTTCCAAGAAGACACAGCTTGAGCGTAGGCGTCGTTGTATGCTGGTAAACTTGAAAATCCCAGATCGCTATTGGTCAGCTATTGACTATCACCTCTCCTTCATGGTAGACTGTCCCCTCGATGATCCTTCCAATACCTCGCTCTATTCTCGCAGTAATAACCTAGCGTGTAGTCCAGGAGACGACGTTCATGAACAAAGCGGAGGGACCGGGAATGACAGGCGTCTTGAGTGTGGTTATGACTTAGGAGCAGTGAGTCAGGAGGAAACAAACCATGACTTTGAGACCAGGGAAGAGAGAGCGAACGGGGATGCCCAGAATATGGATCAAGAAGTGATTATTTCAAGAAGAGAAGCCAGCTGCAAACTCACCTCACACAAATAGCCACGTGAATACCGAATAATCCCACAGCGCAAAGAGCCGCCATAGCACGACGAATGTCAAACCACAGGAAATAATATTTATATCTGTAATGCTCCGCTTTGAGATGAGGTTGATAATCTGGTAATCCTTGCTTGTCAGCTACGTTCTTCGCTAGGGCTTGTCAGAAAATGACAACAGTTTCATTTCGCCGGAAGAGTATTGCAAAAGACTGGTCTGTCAAGAAGCAATGGAAGGACTGAGAAATATGTACCACTCACCTACGACATTCTGTCCGTAATTGTACTTTGAACGTCGGAGTGCATCATTTTTCTGCCGAGGTGTCAAATCAACTGATTTTATCGGCCACCCATGGATCAATCTTTCACGTCAGTGAACGGCGCAATACCTACTACTCATCCCAAACGTCACAAGTTCGCTTCATCCTTCAGTCATCCAAACAACTGCTAGGGCTTCTCACACAGCTCTATATCACCATCTTCACAACCTCTCCCTTATGCTCTCCTGATTCTGACAAACTTCACCACTTGTGTAGTTGACGGAATTTTTGTAAGTGGGGGAAGGGGAAACTATACCCACGTTCTATCCACTTGACCCTTTTCCCTCTGTCTCTGTAAATCGGTCTTTGCATACACAGTCTGATGTTCGGCAGCATGTATCACATCCTCCAGATATCTCTCAAATTGCTCCACCTGATTCGGGTGCAAACGTCTACGTCCCACATGTATCGCCCACTCCAACGCCTTGATCTGAACTCTTTTTAACGGAGTCGCCCAATCACCTATCCAAGATTGTAGCCTGAAGGGCCACGGGATGTATTCGTCTGAGGGTCTCAATCCCCCGGTAGGATCTCGCGTGTCCCAAACGGCTTGATTTTGCGCGAATTGATGATGTAGAGTCGGATCGGCCCATTCTTCGGCGGTCCATGTACGTAAGGGACAACGACCATATCGTTGAACACTATCTTGTTCTTCATGGCCGAAACATCCGTTTAGCGCTATCATGGTGTGAACAACGTTGTATAAACCGACTAAGAAAATGGCGACGAGAGAAACGTAGCGAAGACGGATAAAGCTGATATTAGCACGCCCAGATTTGTTCACGCGTCACATAGCTTGGAATGATCTATGATGACAGAATTGAAGGTGTATGAGCATCGGCGACGGTTCTGCGTCAATGTAGGAAGATTGTTATGGATACGAAGTTCGAGTGATGATTACTGGGAGACAAACTCCCAACTCACACTCTGATACCCCAATTTGAAGAAGTAGCCAGCGTGGCGCATGCAAGACTAAAGTCAGCGAGAGAGGTCTTCTTTTCCAACGTAGATAATACTGACAACATGATTGTATAACCCGTGCCTATACGATTCCACTGTGGAGCGAAAAGACCAAGTCGAACATTGATGAACTCTTCCATGACGAGCATGAGACATAATATGGCTGCTGTCAGTCTCTAGTGTAAGATGAGTGTCCAATCCGAACCCACAGAGCATGATGTGGTAGAATCCGTACCAGACTAATTTAGTCAGCGTTTGGACTTTGCACCAGGAGCCAATTGTCATGGATCAACGTACCCAAATTCTCCAATCCACTACCCCAGTTGGCTACGCCGAGCCCGGTGGCGTAGGCGCAAGTATCGTCTCCATCCAATCTGTCGGACGATTTCTTCATCCCACTGGTAAGATCGTTATAGTATTTTACCACCTGGTCATATCATTCATCATCCTGGCCGACATATGACATGAGAAGCAGACACGGGACAAACGTACCGTATCCGAGCTCAGGTCATGACCAATCATCTCAATCTGCATGACAAGCAAGACAAGTCCACAAATCACCCCTGCGACTTGCTGTCCCTGTCTGTCCAAAGTCCTCCACAAATCGCTGAATACCTCAAAAGCGTCCCAAGTCCTTTCGATGTACCCACTACTTCTACGATACTTTGGTTTTTCATCATCGCCATCCAAATGCAATGGTTTTGGTTTACCGAAGATATCCCATGATCGAAGGAAATCTCTTTTCACCAAAACCTCGATCCATCGTTCGGGCATTTCCTCCGACGTCTTGGCGTGCATGTAATCACTCCTGCGTAACTTGTATTTATGCAACCATTTCACCCATTCGGGATCTTCGATTTGTCGGATTTGTACATATACTTTGGGCTGTGGAGGTTTTTTCTCCTTTTTGGGAGTAGATTTAGGGTTAAATCTGGGTTCCCAGTAAGCCGTTGAAGTACCTTCAGGATCTTTCCTGACTCGAGCTTCGGAATACTTTCGAGGTCGAGTGAATGCGAAGAAAGTCCATGGAAGCCAGCATATGGCAAGCATAGGTAGGATGGCAACAAAAGTGATGCCCCATGGACAAATGCAATGAAAGAGGAATTTGAAGAGGGAATAGAAGATGGCAAAGATGAAGATGATCCTGCGGCGAATCCATTTGAAAAAGTAACGGGTCTTGCCTCTAAGATTGATCAGCTAGAGTAGTAAGTGGTGATGCGTATGGAAAGCTTACACCGTCCCCTCGGCTGGCTCAGCCATTGCGGGGAAATCTTCAGAGGTAGGAGGGTGGTGTTCGAGTCAGCGAATAGTAAGAAGTGAGTCTTCGATGCTAGTGAGTGGTCGAAATCCTATCAATGAGCGAGACGACTGTGAGATATCCTTTGTCGTGTCGTCTGACCTCTGGAGTGAAGACAGGGGTTGGGAGACAAAGGAATGCGAAGGGTACTTACATGATGCTTTCCTAAATGGGTATATCCGCGCGGGTTCGTGGGATGGTGAAGAAGGAGAGACATGTCTCAGCGAGGCCAAAGTATAAGGACGAGAGAGTGACGTCGTTGTAGTGAATGTATCACGAGTAATCTAAGTAGCTAAGTAAGTAAACAGTAGACATGGTAAACCAGGCTGAAGCGAGTCATCGGAGAGGGGGGAGTGAAGAGAGAGAACTACTTCCGTCGGAAACTGTGCACTTCCGGCGGAAAGGAATTGATCCCGCCTTCCCCCCCCCCTTGTTGACGCGCCTGTCTTCACTTCCTCGCTTGATCGCTATCATATCTCTTACTCTTACTTTCTTGACCTGCTTGTACAACTGCTGTCATAACGACGACGGTCACCATGCCACCCATAGATCCGGAAGGGAAGATACCAGTGAGTGAACCCTCCATACTCTCACCTTGACATGCTGATTCCTCAGTGTCCCACCCCGCACAACCTACAAGCCGAACTCGATGCCCTCGCAGCTGTCTTGGACCTGGGCGAGAAAGAAGATACCTGGGAGAAGATGGAACGTGCCATCATACGTTTCGCCTGTGTGACCCGTGGTGGAGGATACAAACACCTCACCGTCTTCGTCGATGGATTAGGAAGGAAAGGTCTCGGTCTCAAACTCGCCGCTTGTGTAAGTTTTCCTCCATATCACTCAACTTACATTTCCTCTCAGAATACTGATCATCCAGATGCTATCAGATCGAGGCAGATTATCAGGAGTATCCACAGATCTCTTACAAACCCTCGCACCTAGGCTCGCCACCGCCTTCGCCCCTCTGGTCACCCTCTACCTCGAACCTCTGAGACAACTCCTCGGAAGACCCAATAAAGTATTTCTCAAACGTGCCGAGAAATGTCTCGCCACCGTCATTTCTCATTGTCCACTTCCGTCCATTCTCCCGGAGCTATTCCGAGGTCTTGCCGATGAAGCCGCCACTTGTCGTCGAGGATGTGCCAGTGGGATAGAACGGGCGATGACGGAATGGGACAATGATCTTTTTGGGGGGAAATCGCTCACAATCCTGGAAGATGCAGTGAAGAGGATGGCAACGGACAAAGATCCAGAAGTACGACAAATAGGAAAAAGAGTATGGGCGTTGTACACTGCTTCATGGCCTGACAGGGCTGATGAGTGAGTTTATACTTCCTAATGTCAAGATGCTGGTTGACAACTCAGCTTCTCGGCTCCATTAACCCCAACCGTCAGACGATATCTCGGTATACCTGCAGCTGGAGCAGGTGCCATTCCTAGTAAGGCAAAGATCCCTCCCGCCGCCAGAGGACCAGCTTTGAACAAGTCTCTCCCACTAGGGGCATCAGCCAGCTCAGTCACTGCCCCTCTACCCGCAAGTCGACCTCAACCACAACGTGTCCAAGCTTTAGCTGCAAAGCCCATTCGGACCAAACAGCCTGCTACTACCAACCCTGATGTCCAAGCGCACCCACCTCTGGTGGGTCCCTCCAGGAGACCTCTGGATCGACGACCCGAACCGGTGACTTCCTCCTCGGCACCATCCATCGCAACCTTGACCCATCCAGCTCGTAGCACAGTGGAAGTCACCTCCAGTCCTACTCGAGCTGATCCGCTTTCCTTCAAATCCCACGGTCGATCAATCTCCCATACCATCTTACAACAGTCAGCATCAGCAAACACGTCTCCTGCTCGCGACCCTGCGTCGCTTGTCTCCTACCCCTTGGCCGGTCCTGCACGTCCACCTCTTGTGACTTCGGCTTCCTGCATCACCCTGGGATCATCTTCCAGTCCGGACGTCCCTCTCCCTCCTAGACGCTTTGCCCCACCCGCGAGGATCCTCCGTCCTATGCCGACCGAAGAAGAAGGCTACACGGAAACTCCAGACGGAATGTTGATCACCCCCAGCGGTGCGACCGTCTTGCGAAATCCTCAACGACCACAGCAACAAGAACGCTGGGTTGGTCTGGGCAAGCGCCCATTGGGTCATGCGCAACGAAGGGTGGCAACTGCACCAGGCACCGTGGGCGACGTGGTCGTGGTGGACGTGGCTTCAATGGCCAAAACACCTGGGCTGGGAAATAGAGTGCTTTCGAGGAGAGAGAAAGCTCTTCAGGAGATTGAGGTGGATGAAGGAAAGATGCTCATTGCGTCTCCTGTAAGGCTAGCAGTGGAAATACCCCTCCCATCTTCGCCGTTACTGGTATCTACCATCAACTTGCCGCCAAAGACGACAAATGAAGTCCCGAGTCAGCAAAGCGACGAGGTCACTCTAGTTGCCTCCCATCCCTCTCCTACGACCGACGCTGACAGAGTATCCGCACAGAATGTAGACATCGCTTCGTCTACAGTCACCTTCCCCGACACATATTTCAACAAAGTAATCGCGATTCCACCAGCTGACTCAACTATCCAAAATGATCCTGACTTGGCTGTCGAACAAGCAACTCATGGGGGTGAAGCGCATGTCAAGACGAAGCCCGTAGAAGCGACTTTAATGCCTTCAGCCGATCCCCCTTCCCTCGCTTCGAGTACATCAACAAAGGTCTCTTCGAAATTGGCAGAAGTCAAATCCGAGCCCAACAGATCAGCTGCCCCTAGTAAACCTCAGGTTTCCAAGACGACTCATGGGACAAATACCAAAACGATGACCATCGAACGTAAAACCTTCAAACCTACATCTCAAAGCTCATCGAAATCCACCAACCCTCCGCCTCCTCCTTCCCGAGCTGCTCCAGTAGCGACGTTAAAACCCCTGTCTTCCAAACTCTCTTCATCCACATCTTCTACCAAGCCTTCCTTACCTACTATATCATCTGTGCAGGTCATAAAATCCAATCAACAACAAACGTCAATTCTCAAAACCTCCACATCGGCACCAATCAAGCCCCTTGAGAAGACAAGACCTCCTCATAGTCTGACCGCACCAACGAAAGCATCTCAACAACGGGCCGCAGCGGCCACTCATAGATTACCTCCATCTGCCGTCCCGAAAGCACCCATTCCCGCGAAAGAGGTGGGTGAGAGGAAAGAGAAGATCCGGTTGAAAGCTCCTTTACCAAGTTTCAGACCGCAAAGAGGAACGGCATTCTCGAAGACTGCAGGGGCGAGATCGATCTCTTCCTCCACGTCTGGTGGGGTGAAACCGGAGAGTGTACCATTACCTTCCAGTCCGATTGTCAAATCATCTGAACTCAAGACTAGTCCGAAGACAACATTCAAAAGTCTATCTTCCAGTCCACTTGCCAAATCAGTGGATCTACCTTCCATTCCAATGATCGACCAAGCTTCACCTACGGCTCCCTTGCATATTCCTCTCCCATTGAGTCCACAAGATACAACGCGTCAGGCCCATCCGATAAAAAGTCCCTTGTCCCGTCTGACCAATCCTACGTTGAGCGGTCGAAGGTCTTTAGGTCACATGGGATCAATAGAACAGAGTATAGAATCCGTCCCATCTTCTCTTTCCAGACCAAGGGTGAGGAGAGAGTCTTTCCCTCCTCCACAAGTGACGAACGACGTGGCGTCTTTCTCTTCCCCTCAAAGACATAGAATAGTGGACATCGATTCTCCCAGCGCAAGTAGGCGACATATCGGTAACCTCACTTTGTCAACAGGCAAAATCGGTCTATCACTTGGTGGTTCGCCCAAAGGAAGCCCAAGCTTGGTAGATGGATCGGCAGCGAACGTATCACCGAGTTGGAAAGGACGCGAGAGTATAGGTCAACGTCTGGAAATGCGTAAAAGGATAAGTATGGGAGATGGAATCGTAACACGGGGAATGATGGGGGAACATACGGGAAGAGTGAGGGTGAAGGTTTTGTCGGAGATTGATAGAGAGGAACTTGACGCTTCCGGAATGTCGAAAGAAATGGATGGGGACCAGGACTCGATGGTGGCGGTGGATACTCCACGTGTCCAGATTGAAGACAATCAACTTGTTGCACTTTCGAACGGATCTGAATACAAGGGAGTCATTGCCTCCGAATTGCTAGAGGCAGGAGTCGCCCAAACCCCTACTCAGGTGATAGAAGCGGGCGAGTCCATTGAAGTTAAGGAGAAGGACTTGATCGAGTTTTCAGCACCTACCCGTAATCATTTGGCAAACTCAGAGCAACACATCGCCGTGTCTTCTCCAGAGGAAGCCATCTCAGATTCAAACTCGGTGATCAGATCCGTCTCCTCTCAGCCCGATTTCGACACAGACTTTGAGGCCTACGAAACAAACCCTGTCTCTCCCACAGAAGTCACTGGTATTGTGAATACGAACCTCTTACCTCTATCACCACCTGCCAAACTCTTCCACTCCGACAACCTCTTACTCAACGAAGACATCCCTATCCCAATCGTCAAGACCGAGATAACGTTCCCTATGCTCAAATCTGACTCGACGTTTCCGAACAAAATCATCGAAGGGAATCATCAGACACCGATAAAAGTGGATGCGGTGGGAAAAGGAACTACACCTAGAGTAGTGTTGATGGTTCGGGATGCGAATTCTTTAGGACCGATAGGGTTGAATGTTGGTGTGGAGAGGGATTGAGGTTTCAGAGATTCTCGTGGTCCATCCTCTCAAAACTTTCCTAGCAATTCGGTCTGCGCCGTTCTGATGACAAGCATATCGCACTTTTCCGACCATACTAGGCTTCAAACACTGGTCAATCTCCTGGTGGTCACTGCTTATCTAGATTCTTGCCTGTATCGCTATCACCGATATCTAGGGTCGGTCCCTCGATTAACGCATGATCATCAAACCTCTCGTCGTCATCTTCTCCTGAGCGGTCTCGAATGCTGCCCACCGCGCTCGCTTACGATATTGATAGGGACCTCGTACCTAGTTGGTGTCCATGCTGAAAAGAGGATGGATCGTCTGGGGTATGCGTGATACAGACAAATGCTCTAGGTCAAGCCCACGGTCCATCGGCACATCGATACATCAGCTCGCTACAACCCCAAAATGCCAAATTGTCGTCAAACTTATACTCGTCGGACGTGAAAGAGATAAAAATCATCCGACCTCATCCTCCAAATTCTCCTCTCATAGATTTCATGATCGGTAAGCTATGCATCGCATTTACGAAATCCCTTCCCTTTCTTCCTGTATCTCGTAACCCCTTTGTACTCTTGATACCCCTCAGCTCAGATCTACGTATCCCTTTGAGGTAGACATCATTACACACGAGGACAAAGGTTGTCACTTACATGACTACCTCCGTCCTTTCTCTCTCAAAACCCCAACAAAATGTCCTCTCATCTACTCATGCCATATCCCTTCTTGTTGATGAGACACAGGAGAACGATCAGTGACTTCCCCATGCCGATCTTTTCATTTCCCTTCCTTGCCTCCCTCTCTGACTCGGAGATCCCTGAGAAAAACACGGGGAATACTGAATGTTATCACTGATCTGCGATCATTATCGATAGTGAAAATACCAAATTCCTTTTCTCTCTCGACTCCTGGATCGCCGAGTGGCGTGGGAGTTGCGGAGGGGGGAGGGGGAGGAGGGACTAAACGGTGGGAAAATGGGTTACGGGTGAATAAGATGAGTAACAAGAGAGTTTTGACCATGTCAGTGTTTCCATTGTATCTTCACTCATCATCGACCTCAAGGAAACATCTTTCCTCCTCTTCAAGTGTTCGAATAATCATCAGATTTGATCATCTCCATTCCTCCGAATCATCCGATTATCAATTATCGTGGGCTATCAGAGAGAAGAGAGAACGAATACTTGATTTGATCCGTCAAGCTTGAGTTCTGTGTTGAAATTAGGACAAACGGCTTGAACGTTTATCCTCTGAAAATTTCTCCTTACCACAAAGAAAAGAGTTAGTAGTCAACGATTGAATCTTCAGACAAAGCTGAAGAATCGAGAATCAAGACGGTCGTATCGAATATCGAACATCCAGTGTCAAAGAACAAGAAACAAGATTCGTGTAGAAGACAGAGATAGTGAAAAATGTTCAACGTCAATTCAAAACGATCTTATGTCCCTCTTCCCTCATCATTTGCTTCTACTTCATCTTTCCCTAACCAAAGTATTCTTCCTTTAATTCAAATCACTGAAAAACCTGATCCAGAGTCAGATCCTCCACTGTTGACAGAAGAACGACCTCAATGGCTTCGATGGATATTGAATTTTCTTAGACAAATCAAAACTTCCATCTCTAGAATATCCCCTAGAATCAGACTTTTGTTATTTTCCATGATTATCTTTTCTATCATTTTATCCAGCCAACATAGAATATCTTCTTCCAAAATTGGTCTACGTCCTTCCAAACCAACCTCATATTCGGGATCAAGCACAAGCTCAAGCTCAAGCTCGATGTTAGGAATAGAAAATGAATCAGAAGTTAAAGAAGCTTATGTGACATTTCTCTCACCTGGGGATGATAATTATTTCACTTCTGTTAGACTTATAGTTTTCGCTTTGTTACATGATCCAATAACACTTGATCCTGCTACTTCTTCTTGTCCACCTCTTCCTTCTTCTTCAATATCCTCAGCTACCACGGCCATTTCTGAAAATTCTCTTACTTCAGATGATAAAATCGAACTTGCCCCAATCCCTCGTTCTTCCACTTCAAACTCAGAAGTAGATATGTCCCGACGTAGATATATTCCAGAACTAGATCCTACATCTCATTCAGCACCACTAGAACCACCCACAAAACGCTCTTGGTGGCCTTTTTCATCTTCATCATCACATCAACCGAAATGTGGTCCAAGACGCGATATAGTAGTCCTCACTTCACCTAATGTACCAAAACATCAAATTTCCACATTACAAAATGAAGGTGCTATTATAATCCCTTCTCAAGATCTTGAAAAAGGTTCAATAGAACATATGCCAGAACATTGGAAACATGCTTTAACAAAATTAGCTGTATTCAATATGACTCAATATGATCGTCTACTCTTACTTGACGGTGATATTTTTCTCAATCTCGATTTGAGAGGAGTATGGGAAGATGAACATTCTTGGCCTAAATCAGGTTTAGCTGCTACTGGTGATGGTGGAGCTGGATTTGGTGGTTGGCATGAAGTACCACAAAGTAATGAAGGTGATTTCAATAGTGGTTTCATGATTGTCATACCTAATCGAACGACTTTTGAGGAATTGTTAAAGGTGGAGGATTATGATCATGGTTGGGCTGATCAGGTGAGTGCATATAGATCAAGTATGAACAATTCTCAGAGAAACACAGGGGAAGGGATGGGGAGAGTAAGCAAGTAAGAATGGGGGATTTGACAGGGATTGGGGGAAGGAAAGAAGAGGGAAGGAGGTTGGCTGATTATTTAGGGTTTACTTAACGTTTATTTCCACCCGGAAGGTCCTCATCCATGGGAACAATTAGATCACAAGTGAGTCTATCCACACTCATCCATCCTTTTCCTTATCATTCCTTTCTTCCTGATTTCAATTTACCTCAATTGGGGATCTAATCTATTTATCGTTTCACTACTTGATGGCGATGATGCCTTTGTTAGAGAATTTGTATTTTGTATTTCTTACCATGCCACACAAGAATCAACCATGTTTTTCTTGTCCTCTTGTCATCTAAATCAGAGGGGCGAAAGGGATTGTTCAGAAAAGAGAGAGAATCGTAAGACTGACCTAACAGGTGGGTAGGAAATTATCCCGGGGTACGGGAATTAGAATATGGCATTAACGCGTGAGTCCCATCTCTTCTCGTCCATATCCCCTTACACCACAACTCTGTTACAATAAATCCACATAGAACCTCTTCCGTCCTTCTGACATCTCAATCTCCATCTCTTGATTCAAATCATCAGTTGTAAAAAGGACAAATGAGTGTAAGACATCTTCAAGGATGACGACCTCCCATGAAGACTATAGTATCATGTCAATCTTCAAACGGAGAATAGAAAGTATCTGGGTTTAAATCGAAGAGTTGATCATAATGATGACTGACCAAAAAGGTTACATGAGAAATTATGGAGAGGATCAGATAGGAATGATTTACCTGAAGAACTTAGAAGTCTTTGGGAAAGAAGAGTAGGTAGAATGGAAGGATATTGGTTATCCCATAGGCCTATTGGTCTTTAAAGTCGAGTTTTGTGAATAATCACACCAATCCCACCGATTCGATCCAGGTTAGGGTCTGCTCTGACATGATTTGATTCGATTTGTCTTCATTTTTTGAATTATGGACAAAAATCATATTTTGATTGATCGGCCAATGTCGAGTTGAAGGAATCTCACAAGTTACATGTTGATATGCATTTTTGTAACTTGATAAGATGTTTCATGGGTTTGTTTGATCGTTTGTGGTCGTATACACGGAATGAGATCATTTTCGAATAACGTGCAATGTCAAAGATTCTTCTTGTTACTTATTGGGTCATCGTCCTGTCATCTCAATCAGCATGTAACATATCAGAGTATGAATCAGTTCAACTACACAATAGTTGATTATTTGGTGTCAAGTAAAGGGTAATTGTATTCTAAGTGAAACGGGACAATCAAAGATCGAACGTTAAGCGTCAGATACATTGTTAGATATACATATATAATCGTTCTAACTTCTAATCTGTTTTATGCGACCGACTCCATATGTCCATTTCTCTTCAAGCCACACACACTGCACCAGGACAAGGTTCTTCGGTATTCAAAAAAGATCCACATTATCTTTCCCTTCACCTCTCACAGCTCTGACCCGCCTTTGGAAAGTAAACATATCTCCTTCGAAAGCCACCCAACTTCTATTTCTTCTCAACTGTCTCCAAATTTCTTCAGACTGACCCTCGGATCGTTCCACATGGGGGATGGTCGAGCGGGAAGAACTCTGGAGGTGGTCTGGACTGTTGTATTCGGATAAAATCTGGTTGGAAGAAGTGAAAATGTCATAATTCGCGCCATGAAAAGAAGGGTCGGAAGAAGAAGGTAAGAAGACATCACCCGTCCAAATTTGGTTCAAACCCAATAACACTTCCAAATTCTCACTGACCAAAGCTAATGCTGATGATTTTGAAAACGTCCCTGGGGAAGAAGTAAATTGCCAGGCAGCTTCGTATTGCGTATTCCGGGCTTCCCATGCTTCCCGTATGCCTAAGCCGACGAGCTGAGATCAGCGTGGTTCGGATTTATTCAGGAGATAAAGTCAGTGTGAGATAGTCGATCATGTGTTGGGTAGTTATTACAGGAAGGAGAAGAGGTTGATGAGGTGATAATGTATGATTAGGAAGGATAATCAGTGAGCGAGGTGGTAACGTTCGATATGAGAGGATATGCGTAGGCAAACATGACCATATTGAGGGAAAGACATAGACTCGGAGACTGCTACGAGAAGAAATAAGGGTGACCATCGATGGTAACATTCAGTCCGTAAGATGACAGGTAAAGCATGATGATTCACAGAACGTGAAGGGATAAGAAGTTGGGGAAATTAGAAGTACAGAGGCCGAATGCAAAGACAAGACGTGGGGGAAAGCTTTAGAGGGCCGTGCTAGGGAGGGAACACCAAAGAAAAATGAGAAAAAACACTCACGACTCCAGCAGAAGAAAGATACGAAGCAAGTGTATGATTACTCAAAGGAGGACCAGGAATAATCCTTCTTTGATCCCAATCACCTGGGAAACTACGAGAAGGTGAAACGATAACTCCTATTTTTTCTTCTGCCAATTGATCGGCGATCTGTTGTGTCAGCCTCTCTCACACACATTCCCGCTCTCTGTGATCTACCGTATTTCAATCACAACCCCCTTTATTTATTCACCACGATCACATACCGACGTATTTTAGATATCTATCGGAGAGAAGAAGATGGAAAGCACATACCATCCAAGATTCTTGTCCACCCAAAAATGTCATTTTCAAATCTTTCACCTCTTTCTTCAATCTAACTAAAGAAGCCATAACGTCCGCTTTGTTAACTTCCACCACTAACCTTTTTTTACCTGTAGCAACTTGCTTCATCACTTTCATCAAGTCATTTTCTTCTTCCACCATCTGTGACTGGTTTGCGTCCCTCGTATATTCATCGTGAGATTCCTTCCCTAATGTACCGGCGTCCATGTCCGTATCAGGGTTGGAGGTTGTATATGAGGAATCACCATGATGGAGAAGTCGTCGAAGAATACCAATCTTTGTAGAAATTGAGAATTTCGAATTTGACATGGTTATATGTAATGCCGCGGACGGGTTCAATATCGCTCCTTCCTCAAGAGCATGTAGAGCTCCTGTGGAGAAAGAGAATGAAATTCCGGAGAAAAGTGAGGATGATAAAGGATATGACACAGCGGTTGTCACCCCTGCTCTGTATGCCAACCTATGTGTCAGACAACGCACGATAATTGAGATAAAAAGAGAGACATACAATTCGTCCTTGCCATCAAACATTACTCCATCTACACCTCTTACTAGAATACCATCCACTATTTTTGCATTTCCGGAGGTGAGATCATATGCTTTCTACTTCATCAGCACTTTGAAATGTGAAGAAGAGAAGTGGACTTACCCCGTCCGAAGTGGAAGACTCCTGATCGATCTCTTTCATCCCTAAAGCACTTCCCACTGTGATCATTCCAGGTGAAATACTTCCACCTTTCAAATCCACCATCTCGAAATCGAGTCCCATCTCCTGAAACTCCTGACAAGCTCCTACACAAGCAATCTCCCCATTCATCACTACCACGTTACCTCCTTTTTCCGACATAGCGAAACCAGGTAGGAACATGTCATCTACTCCACTGAAGATTACATTGTTGACCGATCTTTTCGACCTCAAATCAGGATCCCCCCTTGCCAAAACGGCTTCTCTAGCTTCCTCCTCAAACTCCCCCGCTGGTGAGATTTCTTGAGCTTCACGAGGTTTCTCCACCACATGTGGTCGTATGATTTGGGGAATTCCATCGATATAAGTTTGTTTCGGAGTCGCTCCCAAAGAAAGAGGGAAAGAATCCCAAATCACCACATCCGCATCATATCCTTCTCTAACATATCCAATCCTATGACTCAACCCCATAACATTGGCAGAATGAGTAGTGACTGAACTCAATGAGTGTGAAAAGTTCAAACCGTAATGATGAGCCTGAGCAGCTTCATAGACCAGATACCTCGAGTCTAAAACGGGATGATCGGATTTCATCATGACCTTTAATCCACTGTCCGCAAGGATCTTAGGGGCGTATTCGCTACCCCTATATGCTTCTCTTTTGTATCTCGCATTTGTTGCAAAGATGGCCACTGCAGGAGGTTCCGAACCAAAAGTCTCCTTCAGAAGATCAGGAACAAGGTACGCTTCGTGTGCATGATGAAATGCAGCAATGGGGAATCGAAATTCGTTGCTGATCCTTACTAACGCATTCAAGTCGGTAGTTTCGTAACAATGGATGTTGACTTTCACATTACCTCGAATGACATCGGCTAAAGCTTCCCATTGTAAATCATCGGGGAAGGGTTCTTTTTGAGATTTCGGATCGGAACACCAACGATCTTGTTTGGCTTTTAATTGAGCACCTTCCGTATAGGCTCTACGGAAATCGTAGGAGGAGTCCATACGGGTGTTTCCGTATACTCGAGCAGGGTTTTCCCCACAAGCATGTTTGATATGACGCCAAGCATTTGTACGCACCCAGGTCTGATTGGAATGGGAAGATGAGGAAATGATAAAAGGAGGTTCGACTTGCATACTCTCAGGAGTGTTTTCGTATGTCCAGCGAGGTTTGACGGTGTAGGCTGTTCCTCCGATGTTTCCTGTAATTGTCAGCTACAGTCTTCGGACAGGTAGGTGCTAAGCTTCCGACACGGGCTTCAGTACATGAAGTATGTCAATGTCGAAAACTCAAAGGGGAATCCCAGGGGAAAAGAGGGGAGATGCAGAAGAGTGAAGAGCGGACAGAACCTCTCACCAGCTGAACCAGGCAGGATGAGCATGGCAGTTATACCACCTGAAATTGAAAGGTTGAAAGCCAAATCGTGCGTGTTGAACCCATCGATCGATCTCAGCCAAGGTTGTACCGACTGCTTCCACGAATTGGTATCGTCGTTTCCTCGTAGAGAGGGAGCGGCGTCAACCCCCACATGGGAGTGAACGTCAACGATACCTAACTTATCAGCGCTAGACCGACTGTAAGTACGTGGCATATCCGCAAGACTTACCAGGAGTGACCCAAGCTCCATTCAGCTGGACTTGCTCCGCATCCAACTCTTTGGCCATCTTGACAAATTCTGACCCTTTTCCGACTTTCCTTATGACCCCTCCATCCAGAAGTACGTCCGCTCCGTAGATGACCTGTTCACCGTCTTGTTCCCCAGTCCAAAGAGTGGCGTTCTTCAGCCAAACAGCCCGAGTTCCAGGGACGAACCGATCGCTTCGTGTGCGTCTGGAGGTGAAAGGTTTGTGGGAAGGTGGAGGTCTCGAGATGACCTCGCATTGTTTGATCCCTTCTTTGATATACTGTGGAAGATCTGTTGGGTGACCTGGAAAGGGAAAGTCATAGTACACCAAAGTGGGGATGACGAGGAGTGCAAGAAGGAAGAAGAGGATCAAGATGTCTTTGAGCAACTTGATTCGACGATAAATACGGCTGTAACGGTAGGTATGACGACGGTCATTCTGTCCTTCTTCATAAGAGGGGAATAGCATCCCTTCCTCTTCGTTCTCTTTCGTCATACGACCCATGCTACGTGGCTGTATACCCATGACGACGAGGCAGAGATTGTATAGAGGTCCGGGGAGGAAAGGGTTGAGAAAGTGGGAGGGTTTATAGAGTAGTATGGAGCCCCACGTGGTCAGTCGGAGATGTCCGCCTCTGCCAAAATTTGATTCCGTCGTCAAACACCGCGACTGCTTTTCCTCTTTCCTTTCAACTTTGAACCTACTCTATACATATACACGGCGAACCCAACATGGCACCCCTTCCTGCCACTCCCAGCTCTTCAAAGCCTAAACTAGCACCACCAAAGACAGCTCCAGCACAAGGAAGGATGACCAGGCTTCGAGCCGCCAAGGAGAACACCGCCAGTCCCGCCATTGCTGCGGTCAAACCTACCGGCCTGTTGGCAAGAAGTTTGAGGACCGTGTCTGATAGGATGAAAGAGAAGGAAAGGGAGAGGGAACGAAAGCTCACTGCTTCTACCTCTTCTGGGACTAGTGGCTGTTCGGAGAGTCTTCAGGTATGAAGGTTCTCATGTGTGATCATGCACAGGCTTACTGTCAGGCATTTCTGAGGATCCGGCCACCTCCTTCTGACGGGGATGGCACGAGAGTCAGACCATACCTCGAAACGCAAGGTGATAACGAGGTCATCATGAGGGCTCCTATCGTGGGTGCATCCCTCCAGTATGACAGACCTATGTATTGACGGGACTCAGGACCCGAATCGACCCCACATCCCAAAACCACCTCATATATACTCGTTCGATCGCGTGTTTCCAAGCTTAACTTCTCAATCAGCCTTCTTCACCCAAACAGCCCTACCACTAGTAGACAAATTGCTAAATGGGGAAAATGGATTACTGTTCGCCTATGGTGTCAGTAACAGTGGAAAGACGTATTCCATCTCAGGAGGTCAGAGTGATGCTCCGGAAGATCGGGGTGTATTGCCCAGAGCGATAGATGTGGTTTTCAATTCTATCAAGGGTTTTGAGACTAAAAGAAATGTAAGCCAACTCCACAGCAAGTGTCAGCTCACAGTTAGCTTCGATGTACTGGCTTAGCAGATGTGGAACTCGTTGATCGTGATGAACATGCTGGAATGTTGGCTGTTTTACCCCTTGAGAAAGAGGGTAGGGTATCCGATGGTCAGCCCACCTATTGATGGCTGACGTGAGCTAACCGTCGCAGTCTGCAGGATGGATCGAGACTTTTCTTATGCCGTCTTCGTTTCCTACGCCGAGGTATATAACGAAAAAGTAACACTTCGTCCACAGCAATTGAGACTTGACTGACCCAATAGATCTTTGATCTCCTGGAATCAGTCTTACCCTCCTCTTCATCCCCCACATCCTCTACCTTCCAACCCGCCGGCATGAAACGCACCACTTCCACGGTCGGTCTCTCAAACCACGTAGCATCCAGTATGGCTTTGGCCGCTATGGCCAATGGTGGTGCCGGTGTTCTAAAGAGACACGCTTTGTCACTCAAGAATGATCCCGAAGGCAACGGGAAATATATCGCAGGTCTGAATGAAATCCGCGTCAGGACACGGGAGGTCAGTCTCATAACCTCTCATACATATCCTTCATGGGCGTGCTGATGTGACAGGAAGCTCTCGCTGTTCTTCGTGCTGGTCAAAGAGCTCGACAGGTCTTCGGAACTCTTGCAAACCGTGAATCTTCCCGTTCTCATGGGATCTTCACTATCAAGATCGTGCGAATCCATAATGGTGCTCCTGAAGACCCTGACTCGGCCTCGGTATCGCGACTGGCTATCGTCGATCTTGCGGGCTCGGAAAGGACTAAAAACACCCAGACAACAGGTGACAGACTCAAAGAAGCCGGAAATATCAACAAGTCTCTGATGGTCAGCGTGAAATGCGATGTACGGACCAAGCTGATGCGATAGGTCCTGGGTCAATGTTTAGAAGTGCTGAGATCGAATCAGCAGAAACTCGCCACTCCTATTCCTCCAGGGAGTAAGAGAAAACTAGCTATGGTACCATTTAGACATTCCAAGTTGACGGAGATCTTCCAGAACTTCTTCGTTGGTGACGGGCGAGCTGTAAGCTTTACTCCATCCTCTGATGACCTGTTCCATTCGCTCATTTCACACAAAAGGACTCCATGACTCACGTCCCTCAACTTTCTCACTGGGGTTTGTAAAGTGGATAGTATGCCTCTAGGCGAGGTCTCTACCAGCTCGAAACGGACTGACTCTCAGGTCGTCATGGTTCATGTCAACCCATATGACACCGGTTTCGATGAAAACTCGCACGTCATGCGATTCTCTGCCATCGCCAGGGATATCCAAACTACCGCCATGAATCCTCCCAAGTCTGGGTTCCCGCTCTTGAAAAGACAGATAAGCACTCAGTTCTCAGCCTTCAAGCACGCTGTAAGCGGTCCAATGAAGATCAAGGTGGTGGTTCCTGTACTCCCGCAGGATAAGGGCAAGGACAAGTTTGTCACTCATCCCTTCGTTGGTCGGAGTAGGGAGACAGATGACTTTGTGATGGTGGAAGAGGAATTGGAGGTGGTGGAGGAAAGTGAGAGTGATGATGAGGAAGAGAAGGATTGGTTAGTGGAACATTTGTTTGAGCAACTGAGGGAGTATAAGACGAGAGTGAGTTACATCCATCACTGTGAATATTCTTCTCGACCAATTTATCCCCGGACGCTGTATTTTCGGCTCCTTGTCAGGAGTAGTTCAAGAGTACGACGTGACAGACTTTTTTTGAAGTAAGAGAGGGAGGAAAGTACTGACCTCAAGTTGTACGAATCAGAGATGCGGAACGCTATTATCGAGATCGAAGTTCGGGAAGAAGTGACCAAGGAGATGCAAGAGCAGATGCAGAAAATGCATGTGGAGTATTCTCAAAGATTTGCAGATCAAGTGAGTGTCTGATTTCCTTCGATCTTGGATCCGTCTCATGAGTCTTATCCATGTCCATCTACCTAAAAGATCTGCGTTGTCCAGTTCTCACTCGAGGCCCTGGATATCTCTCTGTTCGTCTTTGCTGTTTATACATCAGCTACCCGAGTATACTTTCAAACGCTCACCTCAGGTCCAAGCGAGCGAACTCAAGACCGATCGAAAGATTGATATCCTCTCTCGAACACTCACACCGGGTCCATCCCGTCTTAGACCGAGAGACGACGAATCATCCGATATTTCCCAAGCGGATATGTCGTTAGATGTGGGGGACGAAAGCTTCGAATCGGCTTATTCGGGAGAGGCAAGTGTATTAGATCCGTTCGTCGTCAAACCTTTGGTGACGGTCATTCCTGCCATTGCCATCAATGGTCAAGGTCAGAGCTCTACCCACCAGCTTCAGGGTCGAGCAAAACATGCGCCTGACCAACCTGATGATATCAACAGACAAGATCAAGGACGTCCTACTATCTCGTCTCGGGCACCGAAAGGAACGACAACGGACATTTCAGACTGTCTCTCACAGAATGTGGACGATGAGAGTGCAAGGAAGAAGATCATGGATGAAAGCGAGGAGTCGGGTCCTGATGATGATTTGGAAAGTCTGACAGAAGAAGAGGTCGACTCGTTGAGGTCAATCACGGTCGATGAAATGGCTGTAGAGCCGACAAGTGAAGCATCGGACTCGGACATGGAGCCTGTAAAAGATGTGAAGCAATTGGCCACTAGGCATGGGCGGGTCAATAACACGACTGCGAAAGATCGTCCACCTCAGTCAGGAAAAGCTTTCGGAGATGAGTCAAATGGCGGACGGGGTCAGACGAAGAAGCAAGTGAGAGAAGTTTCGGCCGATGGAATCGGTTATGACCAGGTCGACCAGGGAGGGATGGATAACGACCTGACGGATGACGATGATGGTGAAGAAGACGAGGACGATGAGGTGACGGAGGAAGATGAAGACGACAGTGGTGAAGAAGACGAAGACGAAAGTGAGGAAGAAGAGGAACAGGAAGAAGGAACAAAAGATGGAAGAGAGATCGACGAAAACGAATCCGATATGACATACGACGAAACTTCCATTTCTCTAATTCAAGATGAAGTCGAATCTTCTTTCTCCGTATCGGATCTTGACAGTGTGTCTATATCATCTGATGAACCCAGTCGTAAAACTCCAAATAGGGGGAAGAGAATGTCTTCTGTGAAGAATACTTCTGTCAAGAAGAATGTACCTCAACTTGTGTCTCCTACCAAGTCAATCTCGTCTGTGATGCGCACACCAGGTCGAGGGATACGGTCACCTGTCAAAACTGGGCAGGCAGTGGGGACACATGTTTCGAGCACGGTCAAAGATCAGCAGAAAGTGGGGATGCAGCCTTCTACTTCGGTCAAACATCTACAAAAGGGGGGAACGCCAGTCAAGAAAGGGGATGAAATACGGGATGAATCAGGAGTGTTAAGTGAGAGTAAAACTCAAGAAACCATGGATAGTGATGAAGATGTTTTGCCTTTGAAAGGAAGTACGAAGAAGAAACGGTGAGTGTTCCCTCTCCTTCTCGGATCATGATCCTTGTTGTTGATTCTCATTCTGACTGATTCTCCCATCTGTCGGACTCTCTCTTTAACTGTTCCGGCGTGATCTTAGATATCACTGTTACCTATCCACAAGTCTCGATCCGCTTTCACTAATCTATCACACATTTCCCTCTGCCTTCATTCTTCCCGTATCACGACAATCTCCATCTTCATCACCACCTCATCACTTAAGGAGTCATTCCGACAGATCCTCCGTTTTTCGCAGATCTCGGCATTTGGGCATCCACACTTCATCGAGGTCCCATGCTCACCTCTTCACATATTTCAGTGGACCTCTTCACATTCTTCACCAGAAGTGGAAGGATGAAGGAGGAGCGTGACTACGAGTATTATACTGATATATAGGACATTGGGAAAGAAAGTGATCACAGAAGAGGAGATGGACATGGGAACGGGGTTGGTAAAAGGCACGAATGTCAGACGATTGATCAAGACTTTTCAATGAACCATTAATATTTTCATCTCTTTCTCTTCTCTCACCAACAGGTCTCGATGATACGTGTACGTAGGGACAATATGATGTATATGAACACTTGTTTAGTCTCTGTTCTGACGGTGTATTTATACATAACACGCATCTGATTTTGGCATAATCCAAGTTTTGAAAGTATTTTTTCACTCAACTTAGAGCTTGTTGAGAAGTCCCAATTCCCGTTGACGAGTCCACACATCTAAGGCGGAAGTGAGAAAGATTGACAAGATGTGACTACAAATCAATAATCCGACAACTCTTGATAACTGATATACTAGTACATAGGTACATTGTACATGACATGTACCAAATCTTCAATGATACAATACTGTATGATACAAAAACCAAACATACTTCATGTGAAATACACCTTTTTTGTCAATTCCCTTCTTTCCCCCTACTACTACACATCCACATCTCAATGTACTATCATCTTCCTCTCTCGCTAATCTACCTTACCTCCATTCTAATCGAACATCTGATGTAGATCCAACATCCACCAATAGAACATAGAACATGAAGTGAAAATTGGATTTTCATGGCGCTTTGAAAGTTTCCCCAGGTCCAGCATAAAAATGATTCTCAGTGGTCATGAGAACATGTGGTGGTACAGCATGAATAGGAGCTGCTACTCTTCTAGAAGAAGATAAATCCGTTGGATCGTATATGTAAGACATACCACCTGTCATACCCGCTACAGGTTTCGGTGCGGACTTTTAAGTCAGCTTTGGGTTCAAGACATGAATCGACCATTTTGTTTTTTTTTCACTTCAACATTGAAGTCGGATGATGGTACATAAGGAATAAAACCAACATGGAAATTGAAAATTGGAAATTGGAAATTGATGATGAATTCGAATATTGTGTAAGATGGTTTATCTTGGGATATAGGATGGGATGATGAATTAAAGATGAGTAGGATAAAAGAAAGAAAGAAGTGAAAGAAGTTGAAAAAAAGAAAGAAAGACCAAAAAGAGGACTCACTTCGTTTCTGTAATTACCAGCACGCATCAATTGATCAATTTCATTATTGACATCTTCCATGTTGACAGGAGGTTTTAACATATTTTCAACTTCTGTTGAGAAAACGTGATAGGTTAAATAACAAAGACAAGCTACGGCTATTTTCTTGTTTACTAATTGATCAGTGACAAACTTAGTCTTATTAGGAGATCATCAGATTTATTTAGTGGATGGCAATGATCAACCGAATCTCTTTTTTCCCGTCTCCTGGGAAAAGTGTGAGTGGAATATGTCTTGGTGAGTGGTCATTCGTACTTGTACAACATTGGAGAAGATGATAGGGAAAACGGATCTGGATAAACATTTCCGAATAAGAATCTGGGAGAATGAAGTTTTCCTTGGGTAGATAATACAGAGCCTCAAGTGATAATTCTTGAACATTCAGAATCATTCGTATATTCCGAAGAACAGGAATTGAATTATGTGAATAAACCAAACCCAACAAGAGTAGACTTGAGAGGACGAACAAGTGAATACTCACCAAAAGCAATGATTATTATAGCACATAAAGATTGAATAGCTCTATAACGTTTCTTCCACTTTGTAGCTTGTTGTTCCATCTCTAAACTCACTTTGAACCTTTCGATCAAGTTGGTAGCATCGGGACCATTACTATAACCCGGTGGAGGTTTGTAATTGAAGTGACCCTGGAATTAGTTCTGAACAACAAACATGATTCTCTTTCCATGAAGTTTCATCCTCTTTTCTTTTCTTTACAGTAGAAGCAAGATGTCGGAATGTATCATCTACAGTTCACCAGAACAAACATCCGAACATCCGACCATGTGTAGGGTCAATTTTCTAATGAGATAATGAACCACAGTTCACACAAAACTCACAACATGAGGAGCATTCCCACCTTCCCACCATAATTCATCTTTGACCTTTGCATCCGGTCCTGTTTTACCTAATGGGAAAGGAAAAAGTCTTGGAGCTGCATGACGTGTGGTAGAAATTGTGAAGGGTGTGACGAGTATGAGCCTTTTCGTTAGTTTCTTCTTCTACTCCTGATTCATCTACTCGACGTATTTCCCCCATGATTCATCTGGTTTAGTCTCGAATTTTCGGGAAATGTTTTCCTTCATCATTAAACATCATTCATGTCGTACCTATCGACGTGAAGAGAAATGATGATGATCTTCTAAAGAACTCTTTGATGTTGAATACAATATCGAATATCGAACTTGTTCACTCGGAAGAAGAAGTCGATAGGAAGAGGAACCCTTAGACAATATGGACAACATGACAGAATAGAGGAAATCTAAATACAACAAAAATGGATGACTCACCCAATCATCTGGTCTCTCTCTCATCTTACTTAATTTGTTATGTAACACTTCATACTTCGAAGGAGGTTTAGGTATCTTTTCCAAAGCTTGAGTGTAACCGTACCAGATCAAACTTGTATATCCTACCAGACACCTGTATATCAGTGCCCTTTTACTCGTACCATTTCCTGATCTCTGAAACCCAGCTCATTGCGCTAACTGAGGATGTATGTGTGTGACCCACTGGTCGCATCTAATGTAGAGCATATTAGTGGTGTTGGTCAATGATGGAAAGCGGGAGTATCGTCAGAACGTCAACAAGTCAGAGTGTTAGAAATGTATCAATGTGATAATGTGATAAATGTGATAATCAGGAGGGATATGTCAATGGTGGGATACCTGATGAATGGTCAGAAGTTAGATGATTAGGGACCCACACGACGGAACATATGCTCAATCGAGAGAACAACCGATAAAACTGTTCCATCCCTGGTGGAAGAGGTGTTACAGACATAGCTGAGATCAGCGAAGAGAACAGTCATAGATTCGTAACAGAATGATATGAGACGATGTTAGTTTCAGATACGATCACATGATGGAAAGTGTAGGAATGAAGAGGTGATGACGTGAAACCTACGCTAGAGCGAAATGAGATGAAGGGTGAGTGAAGTACAACGAGTAAGGGGGATAGACAAACTTACCAAGTGATATAAGACACATAATCACCACGGTTTGACTAATTGGACCCCATTGCAAACTACTCATCAGTCATCATCCTCCATCTCCTACCTTTCACATAACTTCTCCACTGCATTCTCACCAATTCGATCCACAATTCTGTAGCACACGTCACGCCAATCCCTAGCCGCTTCCCCACTGCTCTACTGGTCCGCTACCCCACTTGATGATTTGTTCAAAGATCTTGATATCATGAGATGATCGAAACAAAAATAAGAGCAGTAATCACTCATGTGCTGTTCAACTTCTCAAACAACACTGAAAGCACTGCCAACCCAAGAGAGTGAAGTGAATAAGATGAGGTTTCGAACTCACGCAGGATGTGGTCTAACTTCTTCTTCCTTCTTTTTCTTCCTCCATTCAGCTTTTCTTTTCTCTTGTTCTGCTCTTTCCATACCTAAACTATCGTTATAACCTTCAGCTCTTTGAATATCTTTTCGGGCATTGTAAATATCTAAATCCAAATCAGAGGTTTTGTATCGAGTCAAATGAGGATATTTCAACCACGTCATCTTTTCCTTTCACCCTTTGAGGTTTAGTGATAGATCCTGTGAGAAGTTTGAGGAGTTCTACTCTTTCGGTATGTGTTTGAGGGTTATCTGATGATCCCTTGAGATGATATTTTCCAATGGCGGTAGTTTCGCCGAGTGTTCGTTGGGTTTCCGAGTCCTGTGTTTTGATTCGGGACTATCGCCGGGTGGTAAAGGGTGAAGAAAGGTGAAATGATATCTTTCCTCTGTCCAAATCTGCTCCAATGACCAAAGTCCGGAAAGTGTGAGAAGATTCGGCGGTTGAGCTTGATCAATAGCGGCGGGGAAGCGTTTCGAAACAAAGACAAGACTTAGTCAAGGGCAGAGGTAAGAGCTGCGTTTCGGCGTTCGGAACAAAGAGATGACTCGGCAAGGGTAAAGGGTGGACGAAAAGATGATTGGAGTAGAAGGAATGAATCAGGGTATGGTTTGGTGGAGTGAGATGACCGGAGTAGGATAGAGGAATGAATTTCAGGGTAATATTATGAGAAATGAGAAGGATAGAGGAGTGTTTTTCAGGGTTTTCTGAGCGAATCAGACAATCGGCCGTAAGCCTTGAATGTTACAAGACTTGGAAGAACAACGGAGATACTCGTGAGACCTTTCGGATCCTTACTTCTGATCAAAGATGATATCCAATGTTGTCTTTCGGCGAATGATCAGGGTTTTCTGACAAAGACCCATGAAAGATGAATAATCAGTCTAGTCAACGCGTCCGATATGTAAATGTAAGAAATGTAAGAGGGTCTTTAAAGGGGTCGAACATTGAAAGGAGGTTTTAGAGATGATACATACCTGTAAGATCAAAGGGGTTTTTTGAGGATATGTCAAGCGGGAATTCATCCGATAAGTAATGGTTGGTTTGATTTGAGATTTGAGGGATGGAAAAGAAAGAGAGAGAGAGAGATGTTCATCATCCATGACAAATGTTGATAGATCGGAAAAAACTAAAGACTCATCGTCTCAGAGGACTCATCCCGTAAGCTCCCATTCCATCCCCGTATCCCGTCCCATATCCTCCCATGGATTGTCCATTCACATGTCCGTTTATCCCGTTTGTCATTCCTATTCCCATATCAGGTTCTACTAAACCTCCTCCTTCTTCATCCTCGTCCACTCCAGTCTCCCTTTGGACGGCAAGGATAACATTAGCCAAGTTCTCGACCAAGATATCGATGCCCTGTTCCACCACTTCGCGGACGGGGACGGCACCCACCCCTTCGGCGTTGAGGTAGAATGTAGAAGGGACGGCATTGAAGTCGAAAGGTTCATCGGGTTGGGGAGGCGCTTCGAAAGCTGCGTTGGCGGAGAGTGGCCATTCTGCTTTTTCTGAGGGTCAGAGAGGGCTCAAGTTTACCTTCCAGGCCAAAGACCCAGACGCTATACAAACAGGCAATACATCAGAGAAATCGCAACAAGATATACGTCAGGGATGAGAGGAGGCCTGGATAGGTATATGAGGTTATCAAAATAAAGGAGAGGAGCGTATTAGGATCTGTACGGGATCGGCGAAAACAACTGCAGGCTACTTTATACCCGACAAAGATTGGACGATGGACGCTGGGTGGTGGACGGACAAAGAAGGACTGACCATCTGTCTCATACCAATATGTCGTATGCCGGAGTTTGTTATGAGGGTCGTATTCAAACGCTACGGCGGAAAGGGGAGACCATTTCGCGTGAAATTTGGCTATGCCCTGAGGGTCAGAATTATACCACTCGACTTTGCAGGATCAACACTGCGGCTCCAGGCAGTACAGGAAGACTGGGTTTCAAGCGACCATATCGAAGAGGATTAGAGGCGGTCGAGTGCGAGTGCAGATGGAGGTTAAATGATGGACTGAAGACGCGTGTCACGGATCATCCGGATGAAGAGAGAAAAAGTGACCTCCCATGAAGAGGAACAAATCTGAACGAGGAGAGTGCTAGGACAGACATCGTGATGAGGGAACAAGGCCAGTGATGGAGATGCCAGGCAAGAACATGACATTCGCCAACCAGCGAAGTTCAGAAACGCACTCACCGAATACGCCTTACATGTCAAATCGATCTCTTGACCCCTCGACAACTTGGCCAACAGAATCGGTGGAGTCGCAGGATCATTCTTCCCCACCGGTTGACCCAACTCTGGATCCCGATTATTGATGACTTGTTGATCATCGGGTGATAGGTCGGGTGGAGGACCATATGGATCTGGTGGGGGTGGCTGGGATGCATCAGACAATATCACAGAGTACATTATAACAACATGCCTCCCAACATCCAGATGGCAGGACCAGGAATAGTTGCTGCATGTATGATCCTCTTCGGTCAAAGAATAAGAAAGGATCGGCTGGGAGCATGCAGGATGTTGAAGGATAGCGAGAGAGTAATGTGCTGGAAATGGAGAGAGTATGATGTGATGGAAAGATGTATGGACTCACACCACCTGGACTTGGAACAACTTCCAACATGTTACTTGTGATAGGCATAAATTTCCCTCTTTCTCCATGTGTATAAGATACTTTTAAACGAAGTGTTACAGTACAGTAATAACAACCTTCATCACAATCACAATCCTATATGTCAGCTGGAGTCAAAAGGGATGTGCTAGTGATCGAGATCCAAAGAATGTACTCTGTTTCTCCATTCAAATCCAACTCTCGTACGAGATAGTTGCGAGACAGAACTCAAAAAAACGAGGGTAAAGTGCAGGTGGTCTTCTGATGGGATGTAGTGAATGTGGTATTGTCTTGAAATCACGTATGAAAACGGGAAACAGAAGTGGTTTAACGGATGATAGTCTGAGAGAATGGGATTGAGACGACTTACAGAAGTCCGTCTCAAACCTTTGGAAACATTTCGACTGATGAGTGGTACCATACCCAATCTATGTGCTAACATTTCATCTGGTATCGGAGAAGTATTCTGAGCGAAAAGCACTTGATCAATACCTAAACATTAGAGACTTGACATGTCATGAAACCCCACCTGACGTCTGTCTACATTCATGAGAATCAATGAAGTTTTACCAAACCATTTGAAGTAAGTATATCTACGAGAGACCATCGTATGGAGGATTTTATGAAAGAACATGGGGAGTGATAAAAACTCGACTTCAGATGAGATTCGTGTGATACCAGGGATGATTGGTCATACGCGGCTCGGGACAAGAGAAATCAAGAGAGATTGAAAAGATTTAGGACGCAGGAGTGATCATTGTATGTCAGATCAGGATGGAAAGAGAAGAAAGTGTAGTCAAGATGGAGAGGAGAGGGGAGAAAAGTCTAGTCAAGATGAAGAAAAGACGAAAGTTGAATCAATATAGAGAGATAGATGAACCAATGCGAGCTAACAACCGCAACGTTTGAAACTCACAAACAGTAGGAACATCAGCCATCATAACCCTTCTTATACTATTGGCCAAAGCTAATTCCATCCCACTCAGATTAAAGTTTACTTCATCTTTCGTCAAACTTCTTACTAAAACTCGAGGTTGATTGGTTGGACCTAGAGGTACTATCACACTTGGACCAGCTTGGTTTTCTCCATCGATGAAACCGTTCATTTCGTTTGTTCGATGGATTTTTTTGGATCTCGGTGATTAGGGTCTTTGAAGAGAGTGGGCTCTGTTCCGCTTAGATCACACTATGTTCGTTGTAGATTCAGATTCCAGTTCTGGCTGAGGTTTTTGTGAGGATGTATCGTTCTGCTCCCTTTGATGTGGGCTTGGGCGTGTTGTGTGGATGTAGGTTTGAAATAGAGATTGAAGTATTGTGAGTGAGAGTGGAGAAAGTTGAGGAAGACCAGATCCAATGGCAGGGTCACTCTTCTACGTGTGATGTCAGGGACAGCACATTTGTCAGGCTGAATGACCCAATGTCAGACTCTTCCTCCGCATTTCCTCCTGGTGATGCAGCATGCAGCTATCTATATCCCTCTATATGACCCCACCTATCAACTCGTACAATCACAAGCGAATCGGCAACACGACCACATGCAATCATCATGACCCCACTGGTACATACATACACACCCTTCCCTTCCCCCTCTCTTCCTCCTCACCCCCCCACTGTTCCTCTCCCTGCACCTCATCCTCACCCTCTTCAAACCCTCCTCCTCGAAACCCCATCTTGAGCTGATATAATTCCCTCCATAACCTATCTTCTCTTTCCTTCCTCTCTTCCCATTCCTCATAGGTATACGCCCTCCCAATATGTTCCCCCCACCCGTCCTCATTCATCACCCGGTCCACTTCCCTCCCTCTCTCCATCCTTTCTACCTGTCTATGTATATCGTGTGAGTCACTCTCGCTAGGTCCACCCACCATCACTCCTCCTTCCTCTCGTGGACCTCTCGACGCCCAGTCAGATATTTGAGGGAGGGAAAACCCACCCATGACCATCATTGCGTTAAATGATTTCTCCGCTTCTCTCTCTCTACCATCTGGGGAAGGTGGACGGATATGAGGGATCGGGTTGATCGTCGTTGAGGCAGAGACAGCATTACGAGGTGTTTCGGGATTAGGTAGGAGGGCAAAGGTGTTCGGGTTTGAATCAAACCGTGAATGAGGGGGAGAAGGTATAGGTTGTTGACCATAAAGTGAGTGAGATGAACCAGGAATTGATTCGAAAGATAAATGAGAATCTCGGATTTGATGGTGTCCTACGATAGTCGGTCGGATTAAGGAGCCATATGATGGACCGAGTGGAGCAAGTGATTCAGATGATTCAGGCTTGTAGGTGAATTTATCTGTCGGCCGGGGTTTACGCAAAACATTCTTATGGATGGTGCGTGACTGGGGGAAGTGGGATGGATGGTTCTCTCCTGCATGAGAAGTCTGTCTCGGAACGAGAAACGGAGATCCAGCGTCGGGTGACGGATGATAGAATTGAGATTGGTTGTGGTCTCGAGGATTATCCCAGTTAGGTGAAAGATAAGAATGATTTCCGACTTGTAGAGGTGAACCATATGGTCGAGGTTCATGGTATGAAGAATTATCGTATGACGGATCATTGAAAGATCTTGGGTTTGGAGAGGACGAGATATGGTTAGGAGTGTAAGATGGGTATTGACGATATTGAGGTCTAGTCGGAGTGGACATTCTCGACGTCTTTGTCATCTGATTGACGTTGTATCGAGGATGGTCTTACCTACTTATCAACTTGTCAACTGAACGTCTTGCCAAAGTGGAGATTATCAACTGCTCTATTCACAACACTAAAGTACTCTACTCGTACTCATAGAACGATATATCACCAGTGGATAATCCACTCACTATACTATCTCGGGACTTCTTGGAACTACGATATCAATAATGAGGTCGATTCTCACGGGTTGACAAGTTAACAAGATCAGAGTTTTGAGTAAGTTTGAAAGAGAAGAAGAGTGAGTAGAATCATATAATCCCCCTGAAAATCTCGCTTTTTCAAGGAAGACCCTTCTTTACCACTTAACTTACCTCGTGTAGAGAGTAGTCCGCAGAGGGATAGTGTGACGTACGTACATCCACTTTTCTTACTCTTCTAGATCTAGTACGACATTGGACAATACACGTGATTGACAAGACAGATTCACTTCAATGGACAGCGAACACACCACAGTAAAGAGGAAACGTGGGGATATATATAGCATCTAGCACCAGGTGATAGGTGATAGGTGTAAGGTGTAAGGTGACGCAAAGTAAGGATTAGGAAATAGAAATAAGAATTCGAAGATCAAAGATAGGTGTACTGTAGGTATGTATCAATGTCAGTGTAACGATCCTCAAAGCATCATACCTCATGGTCTATCGTCCATTATGTTTCCTCCACATGCTAGATCGTTCATATGCCCATGTATACCATGTATCGGGCCATTGAGCACTCGGTCAGTGTATCCCGATCATGATCAGGTGGTGAGTAGAATGTGACGAGCAGTGGGTGACTAGTTGAGGAAACTGTTTTTGTAATCAACCCTCGATCATACTAATCTCAGGGTAAGGAAACCATTAGTAATGTCAATACAAAGGTAAGTAAAGTAACTAAGGGTAAATTATCGGGGAAATAATAACTACCTTAGACTTTTTCCCATTTTCGCCACTCGCCACCGGGGACCGTTCCCTCCCATTCGCCTCTTCTCTCCTGCCCCCCTGCCCTCCTCCCCCTTCCCCTCTTCCCTAAGCCCACACTATTCACTTACCCTGACTCCATCCTCCTTCCCGCCGGCCAGTGAATTCGTTCAGATTCAACCTATCAGGACCCATACAACGAATCACCCGTTGGTCAAAGATAACAACGGACGGCACTTACTCCTCACCTCATCCGAGATCCATTCCAACCACTCGACTCTTTACCTCTTCATACTCTATTCATCTCTTCCTCCCATCCCATCCTATCTCTACCTTCACGAGTAGGGACATCAAGGATCATCAGAATGGGTCCACTCGCTGGATCTTCAGAACATGTTGAACAGGTGAGCGAAACATCCATCCTCGCGATTGTCCCAACTTTCCGGGCGCGTGAGAAAAACCACAAGAAACGGGTTCATTCATATACTTTGGGAAATCTCTCCCTTCAACATTCTACCTCAACCTGATACTGGAACACATATACCATCATGAGTATCTACATACCAAACCTATACTTTAGAATCATGTTTCAATGCCTACTCAATGTTTGATCACACGCTGACATATCCTCTCTTTATCTCTCACACGACCATTTCTAAACACAATGACCATCGTTCAACTCGATCATATAATCATCTTCAAACCAAACAGCGTCATCCACCATTAGACGTACCACAACCTCAACCCCCAGCGGAACCTTCCACATCTTCAACCTCTTTAGCAGCTTCACAAACTACTTCCGTGTTGACTGAGGATGAAGAGGATTTAGAAGATTATAGACCGGGTGGTTATCATCCAGTCAGTATAGGTGATGAGTTTAGTAATGGAAGATATATGATTGTACGGAAATTAGGTTGGGGACATTTCTCAACCGTTTGGTTAGCTAGGGATAAGAAGTGAGTCAAACTTGTCTTCTAACACTTCAGCTCAAACCCCGAAAATTGATTCTTTGCGCCCTGACCCTTACCGTATATTCGAATCAACTCCACAGTCAACAACCACACTCTAAAGAACTCGTGTGAATCGACCGATATGAATCCGAATAAGTGGAGTGGAACTCATCTCGCTGACAACAGTTCCAATCGTCACGTCGCACTAAAAGTCGTTAAATCAGATGGTCATTACACCGAAACAGCTTTAGACGAGATCCAACTTTTATCCAGAGTCGTAACCTCATCCGAATCTCATGCGGGTCGTCATCACGTCGTCGGTCTTGTCGATCATTTTCGACATACCGGACCAAACGGTTCTCACGTTTGTATGGTATTCGAAGTTCTTGGTGAGAACCTACTAGGTTTAATCAAACGATATCAACATCGTGGTGTACCTCAACCGATAGTAAAACAAATCGCCAAACAAGTTTTATTAGGATTAGATTATCTTCACACTGAATGTCGTGTGATACATACAGATTTAAAACCTGAAAACGTTTTAATAGTTATCGAAGATGTGGAATCTGTCGTCGCTGCCGAATTAGCCTCATGTCCAGCTGCCGTACCCACAAAATTAGTTGGTGTACCACCGAGTCAAGGTAGATTAGGAAATCAAACGCCTAGAAAAGAAGGTATTTTCATAGTTGGAAGTCAACCTTTACCAAGTCCAAGTTCAAGCTATTCAAGTAGTCCAATGTTGGATAAATACGGATTTGGTATGTCAAAAATATCAGGTGCTGCGAATCTTTCTACAAAAGCTTCAGTTACAAATCCTTCAAGTTTAAACCACAAATCTACTCAACCTCAAAGCCAATCTCGAGATGCCACCGATACGGCTGGACCTTCAGGAACATCTTCCATGAAACGTTCTTCAACAGCAGAATTGGACAATGAATTAGGAAATGTTGATCTGAATTTATCAGAAGCTGAAAGGTTGACATATGAAAAACAACAACCTACAACAAAACATATCCCACAAGGTCCTTCTTTACTTTCTCAACAAATCCATCATCACGATACACCAACCCCAATCTTAAATACAATCTCAATCTCAAACTCCAGTCGTACGATTCAGACTCCAGATTCAAATTCTATCAATTCTACAGGATTATTAGTCCCACCAAGTTCTTCAACAACTTCAACAGAAACGGAAACTACAATCTCAACAACACCTGCCACGACACCAGATGTACCGAATTCTATAGTCTCCAAATCGATAAAAGATACAAAAGAGACTAAAGAATTAACGAAAACGGAATCTTTTTCAACCGATCAAACTTCTCCTTCAAGTACACATGTGAATAATCTACGAGATCAAGAACCTCATCATATACCTGAAGATGAAGATAATTTATATTCTGCTCCGATAGCAGGTGATCCTAATACTTTACCACCTCCTTTTCCATATGATCCTGTTAGTCTGGAAAAGATTACTGTCAAAATTGCAGATTTGGGAAACGCTTGTTGGGTTGATCATCATTTTACCAATGATATTCAAACCAGACAATATAGATGTCCGGAGATCATCTTGGGAACTAGATGGAATCAAAGTGTTGATATTTGGAGTGCGGCGTGTTTGGTGAGTTACTCTTCAACTCGACCATTCTCGGATCGATCAATCTTTACACCGCCTCTTTCTGGTATTTGAATCTTATTGTCCCCTCCATCCAAAATACGAACGTTGACCACCGGCGTATGTTTTACTCATCAATATCCACTGACATACAGTTCTTCGAACTTCTCACTGGAGATTATCTATTCGATCCGCAACCAGGGGTCAAATACGATAAAGATGATGATCACGCCGCGCAGATTATGGAATTGTTAGGTGAAATGCCTCGTGCGTTAGCTTTGTCTGGTAAATATTCTCATGAGATATTCAATAGGCGTGGTGAGTATTCTTCATATTCTCTGTTCATCATACACACATCCTCCTCCCTTGACCAATGTCCATCAACTTCGGACAATACTACTGGCAAACAGCTTGGAAACCGGGAGCGGGGGTGCCGGGCCTCTTGATCCTGTGCCGTTCCTATCTTTATATTAGGTACAAGTACAATGTCATTCTACCTCCTCCAGATACATCACTGGAATATTTGACGGCCATAAACAATGAGTGTGAGTGTCATCTGACAACCAGGTGAATTACGTCATATAAACCGACTACGATTCTGGCCTTTAGAATCTGTCCTAAAAGAGAAATATCTTATGGATCCCGAAGACGCACATTTACTAGCCACGTTCTTATCCCCCATGTTACATTATTATCCAGATTCAAGAGCCACAGCAGCTGAAATGGTGAAACATCCATGGTTGGAAGGAGTTGTCGTACAAGGAGAGATTGAACTGGCTTTACGTGAGAGGAGAGAGGTTTTACCTAATTCTGGTAAAGATGGGAAATCAACCAGTCAAATGGAAGATCCAAAAGTCGTCACTTCATTTGAGAAGAATAAAGATAATCATGTGGATGGTGATTCAGTCAAATCAACTGGGGAGGGAAAAGGAAAAGGGAAAGGGAAAGGGAAAGAAGTATCAATTGAGGAAGCTATAAAGTTAGGTCCATCAGTGAGTGGTATGGTAGGAATGGGAAGAATATGAAGGTTTTTTCAATCGAATTCTTTTTTATTTCATCTACAGTTGATATCGGAATGAATCTGGAGAAGGTCGGTCGGTCGATTGGTTCACTACGCCGTCCAATGGTCAGAAAGGATACAGTAATATACTTCTTACGCTAGTAACGGAGGTTTTTCAAAGTGAATCAACCGGATCAAATCACCGATACTTTCCAAAACTTGATCCATCTCGTTCCCCACTTATCTTCATGTCTCCTTAACATTCTCGACATCTTCCTATTGATCATCCCTCCCAAGGTTTAACATCTCTCATATCTTATCCATCCATACTCATCATATTTCTCGTCTTTGACATCTTCCAACTTCTTATTCTCTTCGTCTTTCATATCTTTCCATCTTTCCATCCTCCCATCACACTCTCTCTTCTGTTTGTCCCTTCATCCTCCTTCTCGTCCGACCTTGAACACATATTTGGGCTGAAACAAATCATCGGATCTCCACACTCCTAAACGTCTCATCCTCCTTTCGGTCGCGTCTCAACTCACTTCGCCTTTGCCATACTTTCCACCCACCCCATCCTCCTTCCTCTCTCCTCTCTCCTCTTTCCTCTCTCCCCTACATCATTATAATTCCTCAACCTACCTTCATCCTTCATCTCCCATCAACGTATCTGGACCAAACCAAATCCGACTCTCAACCCAAATACACCCCTCGTTTCTCGCCCGAGTTGAATGTTCCATCTCAGATCTTGAATCTTGGCACCGTCAATAATGTTGCTTTCCAGTTGGGACATTCGACATCTCTACATCCTATTCAGACTCGTTCCAGCTTCAAGGATGGACGCGACTACCTGAAGTGACCTACATCCAATGGGTATAATCGATTTTGGTTTAATTGGGTCAATTGGGATAGTATTTCGAGTTCGTGTTGGTATTCAAAGTTTTGGTCAGTATAATCTCTGAAGTTTTGTAGATGTGAAAGAATATAAATTCTCATTTTTGACATCACTGTATCAACATGCTGATCATTGGTTGTCTTCACGATACCTTCTGGTATTTCATCAACCACAAGATCGTCCTCAAGATTTCATCCAGATGTTTGATATACTTATCTGTTACTCATAACGTCCTCGCCAAAAAGGCTCAATGCTCGAAACCTGCCTAGCAGTCTTGAGCTCCCTTCCCTTATAAGGCTTACTCTGACAACATCACACGATAATAACAACTCGAGTAGAGTACAGTACAGTATGAGTGGAGTACTTCATAATCTTTCCATCTATTCAGACCAATTTTACATTACAAGTACAACCCATACTCTATTCGTACATTCTGATAATTCATCTACTTAACAAACCAAAAACTTGGTTCACATAATTATTTCTCATTAATCCTTCGTTCATCTACTAAAAGAACTCCCTCTGGTCGAACCGGTTCACTCGCTGACAGGAAGGACACAATAGTAGTCATATTGAAGTACATTGTATGTCCGAAATTAATCTAGTCAGATCCACTTTCTTCCTCTTCCGCATGACCCAGATACAAGAGTCTTGATCGATTCGGTAAAATAGAACGCCAAGTTTCACCTTGAGATGTTATACCTCCTACTGCGGGTGTTGAATGATCAAAGGGAACTCTGGAATTTCTTGGTGCCTCGGTAAGTTCTATCAAAGTTAATTGTTCTGGTGCAGAAGATTGTCCAGATTGTGATTGTTGATGTATCTCATGTTGATATGAAAGTTCATCTTGTCTTGATGATCCTGATCCTGGTCCTGGTCCTGGTCCTGGTCCTGAATTCCAAGGAAGCGGATTTCTTGGTCGATCCGGTAAGTCATCTCGTAGGTCAGATCTTGTAGATGAAGAACCAATAAAAGTATGTGTCCTATCTTCAGATATGGGTATGGGGTCTCTATCTTGATCAGAGGGTATGGAACTTCTACCTTGATCAGAGGAAAGATGAGATGGTCTAATGTTAGAAAATCGATACCTTTCATTTTGTTGAGAAAACCTATCATTGTTTGGTTCAAGATTACTTGGTGGAAAAGGTAATTGTCTAGCTTGTAATCTCGGTGCGTTCAATAATTCCGTATTGGGTCTATGTCCTTCCACGGAGGATGCATGGTGGTGGGGATATCTAGTCGAGTGGTATGGTTGAGTATTTTCGCTTGAGGGGATGTATTGTTCTGATCGCCCATATCCTTCTCCTACAGATGAAGTCTCACGACCGACTTGTCCAGTCATGGGATGTTGTTCACGACTTGATCTTGAGGGAATGTATTGTTCTGAGCGCTCATATCTTTCTGCCTCAGATAACACCTCACGATCAACTTGTCCAGTCATGGGATCTTGCCCATGACTTGATCTTGAGGGAATCTCCTCCTGGCCGAACGTGAATCTAGGTAGAGATGATTCCGACCTTGAATGTGAAATACGATTGAGATCTCTCCCACTAGGTTGTCTCGATGGACCAGGCTCTAATCCACTGGGCTGGCTACTGTTGATCGACACGTGTCATTGATGAAAATGAGAATGATAATCTCTCATAGAATCATCTGTCGCACTTCTTGTCACTTGAGTGTTTGACCTATGAGGATCTTCCCTCTCATGATAAATAGTCCTAGTAGAGGAAAGATTAGTTGTAATGGGTGGAACAACAACTTGGTCTCCGGGATCATTAGTTCTCAACGCAAAAGAATCAGGTCCAAGAAATATTCCAGATGTCGGAGGAGGATTAAGAGGTATTCTCCCTGTTGAATTTCGATCTTGACTTGTTTCAATAGTTCTAGATGTATGATGATCATCAGAACGTCGAAAATCTCTTTCTTCTCTTCCATATTCCCTTTGAGATGGATCATGATGATAAACATGTTGGGAAGTCCCTTGACTCCTGGTCATATCATTCATCGATTGAGGGATTATTCTCGGTAGTGACGTAGCTGATGTAGGCGAAACGTTCCATTCGTGGGGTGAAGTTCGTATAGGAGCCAACCGATGGTGATAACCTTCAGGATAAGTTATCATTTCAAGACGAGAGAATTGGGTAGAGGGGGATGAGTTTAAAGTAAGTGGAGGAGAAGGAGAAGGAGTCTCTGGATGTAAACCCGGTCCTCGAAGTTTTCTTGTATAAGGTTTGCGAGACACCCGAGTATCTCTGTGTCTGTTTAGGGAGGAAACCCTGGTTGGTCCCCCTTGTGAAGGAACCTGGTCGGAGAGAGAAGCATGATATCTACTTGTGTTAGCTGATCTATCGTCGAACTCCCTATCCCTTTCTGCCATATCTCAGGTTATTCAGTCAAAATATCTCTTTCTTCACAACGAAAGATTCAAGATAACGAGAAGATCACAACGAGTTTGCAAATTGAAACGTGGTAAAATCTCTAGTATGTGTAGACAAATGAAGAACTTGAGAAAAACGAGAAACGACAATCAACACTCACAAAGATTATATAACTCTTCAAACATGTAATCTTTGTAATCACCACCTTTAAGCTTAGTCACCATCCAAGTTACCCCAATCGGATCGACGACCATACGAGGCGGTGTTGGTCAAAACCTCGGGGATATGTTCTTTCTCCCTCTATACTTTCTTCCCGGTTAGTCAAGTCCGTTAGATCATGTTTAAGATATCCGGGATTTGATTCTTTCCGATATGGTCTTCTGATCTTCTCAATCATCGCTTTAGTCAGTTTACGGTCAATCGGGAAGAAGGTAGAAGGAAATGAAGAAAGGAAAGGATCTCGAGTTTCGAGATTTTCCATAAACGGTCTACTCGACGGGTTTTGAAGGATGGGTTCGGCCGTATGGTGTCGGCCGTATGGTGTCGGCAGTACAGTAAATACGAGCAGATATGATGATTGCTTCTTTTGGTCAATAGATATAATGATGGTATCCTAGATCCAAGGTGATAGTCATGATCAGGAACATACTGTAAATGTGGCGGTTACCAAAGAAGGGATAAGGTGACGCACGGAATACAACGATCGAGATGGATATCATGTATTTCTAAGCCTCACACCTTCCCTTTTTCACCTGACAGATGCATGGAGTCATTCACAATCTCATATAGAGGTACTCTAAGTATCACCAGAAGGGATCACTGTCAATTGCTCATCTCTTTTCTCTTTCAACTCTGTGTACGACCAGGCAAGTCTGCACAATAGCTATTTGGCCGTCTTTGTCGTGTCATATCGAGCCCTATAATAGTCTTTCGATGCTGTTGATACGCGCCTGCAATGTCACCCGGTCTTTCTCCCGCGCTATACACTCTCCTGCCATGTGCCTCAGATCATGTCTGGCCCTTTGAAGACCATCTATGAGATCACCAAAATCTTTATGAAAGTTTTCTGGAAATGATGGGGTGTGTATATTGCTCAACCTTGGATCTTGTAAGGAGGACCAGAGTACTTCTGGAAGAGCAGTACTTAAATTCTGTTGAGCTGCCTCATTTTTCTGGAATATTTCTGAAATGGGGGGTAGAGATTGATTGTACCCATTTCTGGCCGGGGCATAAAACTCAAAATGCCTAGAGGATGTCTTTGGATCAAACGGAGGGACAAAATAACTTTCAGCGCCGGGTGTAGACAGGGGTGGACAGTCATAGTCTCCAATATGCATCCCGGAATGACTTCGAGTGGTGTTGATTGACAACGGTGACATATTTTCAGGCAAATAAGACTCTTCAGTAATAGTGGGCATGCTTCGCGGGGCGGCAAAAGATAAGGCTCTGCTGTTATAGGCAGAAGATGTACCCCAATTATTGAGACCATCATCATGAAAGGGTTGCTGCTGGGACCCGTCGTGATAACCGCCGTCCTGGAGTGTAGAATAGTTCCGAGAAGAAACGGGAACGAGCGGTTCGCTGGCCGGAATGGAAGAATGGGCAAAACTTGCGTTGCCAAACCACTGGTTGTTATCCTCTTCTTGGTCAAGTCTAGAGGTCATCTTTGTTGCTCTTCCGAAGATATATTCTAGAAGGACGGAAGCAAGTACAGGATATGGTAACGGTTCTAGTTGTTGGTTGAAAGGGGGGAAACACTGATAAGAGGTATGTATGAGAGTGATATGAGTGGAGATCTTCAGGATTCTCCCCTCCCTATATAGCTGATTATGGAGTTTGAAAATATAGGATGGCTAGACAGGACGGACAAAGGTTCACCCACTGAGTTGGAAATAGGTAGAAAGTGAGTCAAATTACCCTCAACGGTAAGTCTTCCTCGACCGACGGAGCCTGGGAAACCCGAAGGGGAAATATTGTTCGATTCATCGTCTTCCACCCTCGTCATCATGCGCCATCGTCATCACAGGCCCTCGTCATCATACCCCACCCATCATCATTCCTGTTGCTACTAGCAGAGTGGAAGTGAAAAGATCTATCAGAGTTACTGACAGATTTTGTTCTAAGGTGTCATAGACCGACCTTCACCTCCCTTGGTCCTTGGTCTCACTTGTCATCTATGCTTTTCCCCCAAAGTACCCTATGACGTCGAGGGATTATCAAGCTACCGCTTATGCCTGACTCTGTCAAGCAAATCAACGGATTGGTGGATGTCGCTAGAACAAACCCACTGTTTTGATCATCCAAGTCATGTTAATCACGGGCAACTAGCAAATCCGACTCATAGCCTGAAACTGATCCGTGCATTCTCCCGGGATTGTAGTATCGCATGCCCATAGGTATCTACAAGTACAATCACATAAGATAAGACCACAAGCAACAAGTTATGGTGAATTGATGTAGCCATTTGGGTCAAACTCCATGACGAGCGCTCATTCCAACTTCACACGAGATAGCATATCAAGTTAAATTCAAGTCCAAGACACGGACCGTTCCTTTTTCTTCAGGGACTCGAGAAGATCCACTATCTTGCTTAGCTCGCCCACCCTTTGGTGTCCTCCCGACCTGGGATGAGTATCCCCTTCCCTGTATTAGACGTGTGCTAGGCTCGATCTTGATGACCTGTAGGTGTGGGTGAGACTTAGTGTCCTGAGTTGAGGGATCGGTCGGCGGATCGTGTACATCATTCTGGGAATGTGTCAAGTTTGAGGCAGGTTTGGGGGAAGGTGTGCTCTTCCACCCACCGGTTTGTTGTGCAGCTATGAACGATGGGACCTGGTCATAAGTGGGATAGCTATAAGAACCGGTCCCTGTGATTGAGACCCCAGGTTGGCTCCAAGAAGGTGGCGGCGGATAGCAGTTGGGATAAAATGCAGAGGGATGAACTGTGACATTTACTGTGAGGAGAGGAACCTGTGGTAATGACTGAGAGACTGGTGGAATGGAATAGAAAGAAGGAATGCAACTTGAACATCCATAGCACCAAGTCTGCCCATTGTCGTTATAATAACAATCCGGAACATCAGTGGGGTAATACTGTCCGTCTCCGGCACCTTGTTGTCCTGCATATGAAGCACCTGAAGGATTTGTATGATTAGAAGCTGATGACCAATATGGGGACGTCATGGCGCACGGACTACCTTCTCGGTCGATGTCGTTGTGAAATCTGGAGGAATGAAATTGTAATTTGCAAAATATAAGGGAGAGAATTTGGTAATTATAGTCAATTCCGGAAGGCTTCTTAGGGTTACAGCCTTCTCAATGAGATGTTGCATGCCTTCTGACCATAATTGACAGGATTGGTTGATTCCCACACTTGCACTGCTTATGACTATGCCAAGACAATCTTGAATCAGAGGGGAGATGATGACTGGGCGGATCCCAACCCGCATCTCTTCTTGGCAAGGGAAGGAGTTGTTGACTTTCTAAAACGCTCTCTATGATATCTGAAATCACCTACTGGTCCATTTGATCAGGTAATCTTAGGTTGTCGAGTGATGCCAACCTCTTGCAAAGGGGAATGTCAATTGAAGGGAGCGCATAAAGCTTTTCCATCATCATCCCGCTGTTCTCTGACGGTTGCAACTTGTAGTGAATGAGTGATTCCTCTGCATATGAGGAGACGAGCATAAAGGACATAATTTCCAATACAGTACAGTGCTAGAACCACTCAAAGGGTGCTCAAAGGGCTTTTGACTGTATTGGGCAGTTGTGGTACGTATGTACGCTCCCTCTCATGATCTTCACGTTTGTTCAAGGACTATCCACCCACTTCTTTGCCCACGTATTGGCATACAGTACGAGTACTCGTACTGCACTATACTGTCTCTTGGTCTGGACTAATAGATAAAACGCACGATTCCTTCTTCCACTCCCTAGCGGCCTGATTGAATCAAATGGGATAGGGCATAAAATGCATGTGTTATAGTACTACGTATGGTTCTCTGGTTCCTGCTCCATCCAGGGCTGATCAGATTGAACCTTCCTCAATCACTGATTGCTCCTGTTCATTGGCAGTGTCGCTTCTGTCATTGTCCCTGTGGTCTTTGAGCGGAACAAGAGACTCAAGCCTCTGGCTGACCTGATTCAGCAAGGTTTTCATAAAGTCGGTGCGCTTTGACGAACTCTGTCCAGTCTGCTCTATCCCGTCACAATCACCTTCAATGGCAGGAGCATCCGGATCATGACTGGCCACATCTCCTAGGGCTTGTGGCTGCTTTGCTTGGTCAGCAAGCTGCCTGCGGTAGCTCATATAGTTGTCAACAACCCTGTTCACCTCTGAGCCCCTGGTACTGTCTGACATGGGATCCGTAGTCTGCATGTGACTCACAACATCACCCTTTGGGGCGGTCTTGCCTGCTGTAGACACTCCCTCAGTACTTTTTGTATGTCCGGAAGCATTCAGAACCATGGATTTGACAGGGACCCGTAACGAATTCTGCGACAGTGTACTGCTTCTTGACTGTGAGTTTTGTTTTGGAGCACCACGCTGACGCCCCATTTCAGGTGGTTGGTATGTCAATATCTGTCACGAAGTGACAAGACAGTTTGATAGTGATAGTGTTAGGATGGGTTGGGTATTTAACCAGCGACCGGCGGTATGCAGTAACCGCCGGTTAATAGGCCTTTTAGCACAGTGGTTTAGACCGCTGCCTCTGAAGGGCACTGTTATATCGTCCCAATGCTGGTTAGTTGGTCTCGTGACAATATCAATCGTTTCCACTGTTTCGGTTTCACTAGATAGAGATAGTAATCGTATGCAAATCGTATGAAATCTATCACGATGGTAGTTCGACGGCAAAAATCAAATAGAGAGGTCAATACCATTAGGTTTCACATATATATCCTACTTCTCTTGTCTGAGTATCAAATTCCCTCTCCCCAATCTTTCTAATCAAACTCCTCCACTTTCCTCCTTTCATCCGCTCCACTGCCCCCTTCAATGCTCGTTAGTCAAGCGTGAGAATGATGAGAATTTGAGGCAGTGCGGGTGAGAAAGTGGACTAAGATCCGTATCTCATTCGACTTTCTCGTGATTCTCACCATTCTAAAGTGAGTTCTACACTTCTCTCCGAACGTACTGGTGGGGAGGAGGCCGTCCGGGCAGATCGGAGGTCACACGATGGCGTACTTTTTCCTAGTTTGATTATTTCTTGTGCGGACGGTACGATAGGTATCTTTCGACCTGCTCGTGACCAACAGATCCTAGACGGATTGCCCGTGGATGTTCCGTCAGAGTAGTTGAGGTCGTTATTGGGTCGAGAGAAGTTCCCGGCGTTGAGGTCCGTTGAGATGTCTGCAAATTGTTATCCACATACGATATACGTTCTTCGAAACGAGGCAACACCTTGTCCTGTTGGAATTGTGAAGGAGTAGGAGGGTAGTTCAGGAGCGTACCCCCGACCTGGGACAATGTGTCAACGAAGGGGTGAGAGACATGATGAGAACGAGTGTTGTCTGTCACAGGTTTCCTCTTTCGTGAGATGTGGGTAGGATCCATCATGTTCGGCTCGGCACTGAGCAGCCGTATGACCGTGACCGCTCCTGGGCTTGGAGAGGGTTCAGGAAGTGTATTGAGACTAAGAATTCGAGGTGAAGAACGAGGAGATGGTTGATGTGGTGAGGGTGATGTTGGAGTTGAGGGTCGAGACCAAGATGGTATCTGTATCACATGAGGTGGATAGTTACTTGTGGTGAAAGTGTTGACTTGTTGGGTGAAGTTAAGCGGCGGAGAGGAGGTATAACCTGTATCTGTATGAGGGTTCTCAGAAGTAATTGAATTGTCACTCCCTTGAGTTGGAGAATAGTAAGTAGGAAAGCTAGTTGATGGATATGTAGAATACGAGTGGCGGGTACAATCAGGACATCCATCACATTGTTGGTTCATCGTTCTTCTCCCGATACTGTCAGAATAGTCGTGACTAAATCGACCGTAAGGGAGTTCCACACTCGAAGAACCAAAATGAGTAGTATCGGGGGACTGAGTAGTGCTCTTCTGAGTCATATGGGGATTGACTTGTGGATATGGTTGCCGTAGATAGATGGAAGACATGTCGTATGCTTTCCCTCTCCTCCAATGGTAAGATGAACGATCAGATCTAGTATTCCAGGCGAAGAATATCGTTTCTTGCTACTTCAGTATGTCAATTTTGACTTTCTTGACCAAATCTGTGATGATGTAGTCGAAAAACAGAAGAACAGGAGGAAGTTAGAAGGTCGAAATTCATACAGAGGAAAGAAGGTCAGACTTCTTTTCGGGGTCAAAACGAAATAGAAGGCCAAGAAATCTAACGTCTCTTCTCCCGTCATGACTTTACGTCCACTTTTCCCATTGGAGAGGAGAGGTGGAGTGGCGGTGATGTGGAGGTGGAGTGGAGGAGAAGTGGAGGTACAAAGGTTTGTCGTTATCGTATAAAGTCGGCATTGTGCGAGTATTTGGTCATTTTGGAATTCGATGTAGAATTTGGAAGGCCTCGGCGTTTGGTCTAAATCTGGATACGTCATAGTGATGTTGACGTGTTTATTCGAAGATCTCTGCTTCCTACCGACGTCGAGATTCAGGATTGTCTCGAAAGGATTAGTCGTCCAGTACATAGACGTAGGGTGATGGGTCGATCTGGTGCGTGTGAAACTAGACCTCGAGAAAAACCAATGGAAGGAGGAAGAAGGATGACGTGCATTTAGTCCAAAATAGATAAATGATCAATCTTCTTCTATATCCATCGTACTCCCCTCATCTACGTACTCGTACTCTTCTCTCGAATCTTCCGTCCGACGGGTGGCGAGAGGCGTGGAAGTCGTTGATTGACCTGCTGGGTGGTGGACGTTTGTGTTTTCCGACAAGACTAAATTGTTTGTATTTCCCTGATGGTCAGCTGTCATATCAAAGCGATGAGCAGAGGAGACGAAGAGAGAAAGAGACTTAAGTAAGAAAGAGAGATTAAAAGAAGCCCAGACGTACTTTCGCAAAACCCAACAAATCACTACCATTTCCTAAACCGGGTGGTAATCCAGGTATAGTACTAGGATCTAAAGTTTCCATCTGTTCTTTCAACGCCATCTCCAACAGAACAGTAGCCATTGGATCTTGAGGTCCTAGACTTAATGCCTGGTGGTATAGTTGAATAGCACGACGAATATCACCTTCGTGATGCGCTACCATGGCCAGAGAGGCTAAGGCGGTAGGGGATAGAGGGTCAAGTTGGAGGGAATGAGCGTATGAGGTGGCGGCGAGGGTGAGTTGGCTGTCAGATTAGTTGATGTCATCCCTTCTTGGGTATTGGTGAGACAAATGATGATGAAGATGTGTTAGGTGTGAGTAGAGGGTGGAAGAGGCAAAGGTACGTCGACAGAAGGTGAGAAATTTATCTGATAAACAAATCCGGCGAGGCAGGAAAGGTGGGAGTGGCGAAGGAAGAAGTCGGAGTAAGAATGATACTGAGAACGGAAAGAAAGAAACACCCACCCCATACACCTATACGCATGACCGAGATTACAATGTGTAGCTGCCCATACAGATGCCACACCTTGCATCTCCTTCGCCATTTGAATAGCGCGTTTGAAATAGTTTACAGCTAGGGGATATCTACTTGTCAGATAGTCCTCCGGACTCAATCAGAAATCATGCGTATAGTTGGATCGCGGCACCATTATGAGGCACCGATGGGTACAAGATTGCCGACGAAGAAGGGTTTAACACAAAGATGACCCTTCGAGTAGATAGGCACCGTCTCGGGGCCGCATACCATCAAGGTGGGGAAGGTAATGTTGATAACGACAGGCAGTCTATCTTCGGGACGTATGACGAAATGAGGCGGGGCGGGGGAAACAAAAGGGTCCTCATCAAGGATGCGAAACATGCCGGGATCGCAGAGGAGACTATGTGCAAGAGAATTGAAGCGAGGGAGAGAACTCAAGTGAGGGAGACAGGACCCACTCTTCTTTGTTATAAGCCACCACACCTAATTCATTCAACAACAAAGGATCGGAAGGATCGAGTTTTTCAGCCGCTCGAAGGTATTCTTCCGCCAGGGTCGATGCGGCCAGTTGGAGGTGTTCCATCCCTATGAATAAAAGGGGAAGGTGAGATCTGTCTATATCAGCCACATACCCTTGAAGTGTGCACTTAGTCAATCCAAATCCTATAGATCATCACACAAGGTGTGCACATCTTGGGGTATTGGTTGAGGGGCCAGGGGAGGACCCAAGTGAAACACAAGGTCAGGAGGTAGGAAACCAGGTTGACTGGGTGGGGAGAGAAACACGCGAAGAGAGACAAGAATATATAACGAAACAAGATAAGAGTCCGGAGACAAGGTTAGAATCCGATATTCACCCTTGGAACAACCTCGCCGAAGTGGAATATGCAGTAATGGCATGATCATGTTCTCCTTCATATGCAAAAGAATGAGCGAATGCTATCCAAGCAGGAGCGAAACGTGAATCTATAAGGTTTGCTTTACTATTTCATCAGTTGACCTGCATATGACACTCACCGTAAACAGTACTGTGAATCTTAACAACGTCATACAAGATGTGAGGTCGAGTAAAGGTTCAATGTATCTGACCACGTCGCAAAGACATATGGGAATGGAGCAAAGGTTGGTTGTATCTGACAGCAACATGGTGACATATGGAAGCTCAAATAAAGTGTCATTGTAGCTGACGATACCGCAATGGCAGATGGGATTCGAGCAGAATTTCGTCACAAATGGCCAGATTGCAGACCAGAGACGGATACACAAGAATTATTAGGATGTGGTATGGAAACGGGAATGATGATAAAGGCTGTAAAACACATTACTCACCTGAAATACCTCCTGGCTTCGGCCCATCGTTTCCCAGAGAAATACCATAATCCCACAGCATACCAAGTGGTAGCAGCCGCTGGATCCTGTTCTACTAGATCATGTGCGAGTATGAACAACGAAGAACGAAGACGATGAATGTGGTGCATACATGCTAGATGGAGAGGGAGGGCTGTCGGGTGACCTGGCATGCGGGATAAGATTCTATGTATCAACGAATTCTTCTTCTTTGATAGATCTCGGTCTCTTCTAAAACACGTGATAACGCTTTTGTTATTGGTCCAGGATGACGAGGTTCAAGAAGGGGAGAGGAAAAGTGAGAGTGGGTGATGTTTTGATCACCAGGAAGAGATGTAAGAGGGGAACTTCAGCAACAGAAGATTGTCAATTGTCGAGAATATCATTAGCTCGAGAAATGGGAAACATAAACAAAGACATAGAACAAACGTTCCAGAGAGGTAGAATATGATCACGAGGTCAACGAGGAGTGGAAGTTTTACTCACTTCGTTGTGACAACAAAACAATCTTCCCATTTGTATCTCGCATATAACTCATCTGCCAATCCCACGAGAACATCACAATTGTTTCCCAAGGCATAAGTCGTACTTAATTCCGTTCTGGCTTTTGCGATTTCTTGAACGTGTACTCCCTGGTTATCAGTATCCTTGCTGCTTGTAGGTTCGACGATGTTCAATCTTCGTCATCACTCCAAATGTTCCACGATAACCAATTTTAATCATTACCCCCGTATCCTGCAGTATCCAATCTTCATCATCACTTTTCCACGCCATGCGAGGTCTCTCGTCCACTCCTAGAAGAGAATGCCGAGGATCTGAGGATCTCGGTATGGGAACCGAAATACGAAGTTGTTAAAGTTGACATTTCAGAAGTGAGATTGTCATGTAATGCAGATCCGGAGATCTCAAATCATATAAAAGGTTGAGAACCGTCATGTGGCCGACCTATGGATCGGTCTGGATATCGGACCAGAGTATCGTCTCTTCGTCTGCCATATGGGACACGCACGAGAAGGAATCGGGCAGCAAGGATTGACACAAGAGCAGTGGACCCGGAAAGACACGCAGAGAGATAGGGACACCCAGCGAGACGGAATGGCGATGGGGCGTTTCACCACCGGGTTTCAAGGGGTGGAAGATGTGTCATAGGGTCCGGTCACATACCAGGCAGAGCAGCAAGAAGAAGTTGGGATCTAGGAGTCTGAAATGAGAGAAATGAAAAGAAGACGAACCTTTTTCAACTTTGTCACATACATCAGCTTGACAAAATCCGCTTCTTCCTCTGTCAACTGATTTCTATATCCCAAACCATTGACAAACTCCCATTCTTCTTCAGCTGGCATCATACCACCTTCTATTAATTCTCGAAAAGCGTCGTAGTTCTTCACGTCGAGTATGAGAGCTTCTACGAAACTTTCTTTAGCTAATGAGAGGGAAGATAGTCGAAGGTGAAGTAAACCCCGGAGATGACATATGGATGAGTGGAGCTGTTGATCAGTCCATTTCCTTGACCAATCCTTTCCGCTTCCGCACACACAAACGAATACCATAACAGGTGAGACTGCTGTCGGTTTTCATGATGTGTTGAGCTCCAACTTTTGGATGGCTGATATTTGGCCGGCAGAAGGAGAAATAACGGGTAGGTGCAGAATGAGAGGCAATCGCGGAGGTTGATATAATCAATGGCGGCGCGACCAGTGTTATCAAAAGTGTCTGACGGAATACCAGATGAATGGATGTAGGTTAAGTGGTCAAGCAATCGGAGCGAGACGTACCTTGATACCCTCCACTGGACCGTTGTGTTCAGATGAAACAGTTTTGAAAGGATTAGATTCTCCCAGTAACTCTAAAGCTTCGTGATATTTCTCTTGATGGACCTTATCGTCAGCCTCCATAACTTTACTACTTCTCCACTGTCCAGCGACCGGATCGTACACTTGATTGTCGAAGGAGTGTAATGGGTAACGGGTCGAAGTCAACTCACCAAACACTGTGCTGCCAGATACCTACAAGCTAAACTCTCATCTACTAATCTCTCTCTCTTCTCCTCCCCAACCTTTTCATAAGTCCCATGTCCATTCATATTTCCCGTCATATCCTCTTGCGACAAACTCATAATCCGTTCTTTACTTCTTCCATTGACTCCTTGTTTGGTGGAATTAGAAGAACCATTCATATCCACATCACTGAGTGGTTCTCTTGGTGGAAGCTTGGGTCGAGATGGAAGAGGTGAAGTGAGAAGACGTTCGGCTCGGAGGTAATGACCCGTTAAGAAATGAGTTTGTGCCAGCCAGAATGCGTCATTTGGGTCGGCTGAATGTCAGCCAACTATCTAAGTGACTTCTTTACAGCCGTTCCGCACGGAAGTCAGAAGTCTACCTGCTTTTACCACAGCATTATAGAGAAGGGCACAGTGGTAATGAATCAGGATAGAGTATCGAGGATATGAGGTAATTCTACTCACCTGTCCAAGACAATATCTTATCACCCCAAAAAGAAGCCGTTTCATACAAATGTTGCATGATAGCATCATGTCTCCAAAGTCTCATAGAATCCACCATACTCCAAGTCCTTTCCTCCCCATCGTCTTCATCCACTACACCTTTCCCCTTTCCCTTATCCTTATCATTGATCTCATGGACCAGTCTGGACCTCACTCTTGTATGTTTGTCCTGAACGATGGTTTGTCTTGCGTTCCGAGTAATAGGTTTGAGACGTGGAGATACTTGAGCCATACCCTTATTTCCTTGCTCGGCCGCATGGCTCAAGGCTGCGCTGGATAAAGCACGTCTGGTGGGATAGGAGAAAGAGAAAGATACCGAATCACCTTCTTCCGGATCGAGGAGGGATGTAGGAGCGAGAGAGAAGGAATTGGAGAGGGATGATCTAGCTGGGAGACGACCGGGGTGTCTTCTTGATACAGGAGGAAAGGGGGAAGGGGAGTATGTCTCTGGTAGACCTGGATTGGGAGGTGTGAACATGATGCGGGTTCACTAAGATGTTGTGTAGGGGTTGGATATGGCAAGTGAGTGGGAAAAGTGGGAGGTGTTAGAGAAGAGTTGTATGTTTACGTAAGGATATAAAAGGTCCGAGCGCGGTGGAATAAACCTTGTTTTTGGGTGTTCATCCCTTTCATCCCAACACACTACTATCATCATCTACTACTACTACTGCTATCTATCACCTACACTACTATCACAACTGCTATCACCCACACTCAACTGCTCTGGTCATAGCTGACTCATCTGTGAAATCAACATTCAGATCTGTCCACCCCTTCCCCCGCTGTCGATTGGATCATCACCCGTCGAGTCATAGAGTTGAACTAGATCCTCTCCGTTTCAATTTCTTCTTCCCTCCCCAGAACCCTTTCCCTTCGCTCAGACTTTTCTTCCACCATACTCCATAAAATGCAGCCTCCTGGAATATACAACGTATGTCATCTTCCACTACCGCGTCTCGTCCCACCTCGTAGTCCCCTTCTCCTCCCAATCTTCGATCCTCTATAAACCTCCCTTTCTTCCTGTCTAAGACCTGTCCTTTCGCATGTGTTGTTCCTCCCCCTACTGGAAACATTCCTCAAATTCCATGTTTTTCACCTTATGAATAGTGTTTGAACATAGCTGATACTGTCCTTGCCCCATCATCCCAATTCCAAAACACATCTTTCCTCGCTACGTTTCAACCTGGATGGTGCAACTCAATGTCGTCTGCCGAATCGACCACCCATTCGTCATCGGTCTGGATGGATATACGACGCCTCCTTTAAATCTCGACTTTCTGGACTAATCTCGATACTTTACCTACCTTTCCTTCTGACATGGTTGAATTCACTACAGCATCACCGCCTCCAACCAGCCAACACGCAGACGATTGTACAGATTCAATCGGTACCAAATCCACCGAGCAGCAGGTTGAATGATCTGCTCGAAGCTGTCAAAGCTGAAGTGGAAGTGGCTGGAAGGGATGGACACGAGTGGAAGGCTCAACGTGACGAATACGAACAAAGGTGTACGTCGCTTCTCTTCAGTCGTCACTCCTACATATATGTCGATCTTCGAGTGGTGGCATGATGAAGGTGCTGAAGTCCAGTACAATTGCAAATAGGAGAATTGTCCATGGTCCGTCAAGCTCTTTATGAGTTAGAAGCCAATTACGCAAAAGCTAGAGACCAGTATGTCTTCAAATCAATTGTGGAAGAGAGTCCGTGTTGATGGAAAGATACGAATCGGAGATACAGCGACTTCGAAGAGAAATCGATAATCAAAGAGGTGGAACAGGAAATGGTACACCTCCTGTCCCTCCGAGGGAAGGAGAACCTTCAAGATATCCCGCCCTCACCGCGCCTCTCAACGGTGATAATGGTATGTGGCGTCCTTACTCTTCTTCGTCTCTTGCACCTCTTTTTCATCAGGTGTAATCACTTCATCAATCGACGAAGTTTCACCCATATACCGACTGTCAGTGCGTGAGACGCCGGCAGTGAATCCAGTCAAGGTGTCAGGACATCTGCTAATTACACCAGCCCGCACTCCCTTCCCACCTCCTGGCCTTCGACCAGGATCCACAGATCGTGATCTGGTCCGTCGAGGCCCGCTTCCTCCCCCTCCCACTTCGAGCGCCACCTACCAGCCATCTAATTCACCCCCTCAGATGTTGTCGGATCTTGATCCTGATAATGTGTCTCGGGAATTGAAGAAAGAAGGAAGTGATTGGTTTGCCGTATGGAGTAGTCAGAGTAAGAAACAGTTGGATGTGAGCTTGGTTCATACGTTGAACCATGAAACGTGAGTGGCTTCTAAAGACTTCACAATCATCCTCTCATCCTCCACGATCCCTAACGAGCCGAACTCCTCGTTCCTGGTGATGGCCTTCTGCAAGAACCCCATCCTTTGGCGTCTTCGCTCGCTGCACCAGCCATCTTTTTCTCCGACTGTCCCTGAACCCTCATTTTCGAGACCTTTGTCCAAGCAGTGACACTAAGGAAGGGCCGTCTCATTTGATAGAGCTTACAACTGACAAGTAGCGTCGTGTGCTGCGTGAAATTCTCGAATGACGGCAAATATTTAGCTACAGGATGTAACAGAACGGCCCAAATCTATGATGTCAAAGATGGTCGTAAAGTCTGGTAGGGTTCAACCGTCCTACACGAGAGTGATACACTTACGACCAGCGTATTGCTCGATGAATCAACTACGCGAACTGGGGATCTTTACATTCGATCCATCTGTTTCTCACCCGATGGAAAGTATTTAGCAACGGGCGCTGAGGATCGACAAATCAGAGCGAGTCAAATTTATATATCACATCTACGTTCGGCTCCCCTTCGTCTTCATCAACCGTCTGTCTGACATGTGTGATATAATCCCCCTCTTTTGTCTCCTCCCAAGTTTATGGCGGAAGGTCCACACTCCGCCTTTCACACCGTGTATGAGGAAGGCCTAGAGTGGACAGCCAGATCTTATGACGAAGGAGAGAATAAATGAAGATGTGATCGTCGCTCATATGCAGATCTGGGATATCCAGAAGAAACGTATACGTCATCTTCTCCAAGGTCACATGCAAGAAATCTACTCTCTCGATTTCTCCAGAGATGGTCGATTCCTCGTTTCCGGTTCTGGAGACAAGTCTGCACGTATATGGGAGATTGAAAAGGGTCAATGCGTGTTCGACTTGAGGATTGAAGATTTTATACATAATGAGACTGGACCGATAGATGCGGGTATCACCAGTGTTGCGCGTGGGTATAGTCTCCTTTTCTCTGTTTGTTTTGAATCCACACCCCCATCTGAATTTACGTTCCTTCTTCCACATATAGAGACTCACCCGATTTCATCTCTGTGCGTTTCCCGGGGCTCAGGTCACCTCCAGCGGTGATCCCTCAGCTTTTGGTGACCTTCAAGACGCATTGTGACGTCTTTGGGACATCTTGATTTCGGGAGAAATTCGGCTGATCAGTAGTCTCTCCAGATGGTAAACTCGTCGCTGCTGGGTCACTAGATACAATGGTCAGAGTTTGGAACGTCAACACTGGTCAACAAGTTGAACGTCTGAAAGGACACAAAGATTCGGTGTATTCGTGGGTCTTTCTTTTCCTCCTTAGTCAGCGCCTGCATTTTCAGGACCTCGACATGTATACCTGCCAAATCGATGTCCTTGAAAACATGGGTTTACCGCTACATATTGAAGTCCTGTGTGATCCATTTTAGAACATCAACTAACTCCCCAGAGTCGCATTCTCACCCGACGGCAAACTCCTCGTTTCTGGCTCTTTGGATCGTACCCTCCGAGTATGGGATCTATCACAGACTAAAAGGGCTGTGGAGAATGCCGGACCTGGGAATAAAGAGATGGTAGAGAAGGGGTTGGGTACTTGTCAAGCTACTTTGAATGGGCACAAGGTGAGTTGTTTTTCTCACTTCCTGATCAAACTGCCCACTTCTTGCCATCCTTCGGTCTCCATCTCTTGACCCTCCCCCGATTTAAGAACAAGAACGAGACTGAGAATTCAGGATTATGTCCTCTCCGTAGCTATATCCCCCGACGGTCAATGGGTCGTATCAGGTTCAAAAGATCGTTCCATCCAATTCTGGAACATCGTTTCGGGTCAAGTACAATTCATGTTACAAGGTCACAAGAATAGCGTGATTTCGATTGATTTAGCAAGAAGTGGAGGGTTGTTAGCTAGTGGAAGTGGGGATTGTCAAGCGAGGATTTGGCGATATGATGCTTTGTGATTGGGTCGGAAAGTTTAGAGATAATCATCGAGGGTTCATTAGGGATGTGATGGATGCTTTTGTGGTTGAATCCAACTTTGGATATGATCATCGATTTCCTCGTTGGGATGTTGTGGATGCTTTGTGAATGGTAGGGATCTCAAGATGATCATCGAGGTTTCACTGGGATGTGATGGAAGCTTTGTGAATGATTAGGATCTCAAGATGATCATCGGTATCACATTAAGGTGTGATGGGTTTTGTCAAGTTGCGTCTAGGGTCTTTGGGATGGAAGGAAGGAGGGAGGGAAGGGGGGAAGGGGGGAAGGAAAGTTAGACATTTTTTTGCACAATCTACATTGAATAATGATGGATCTCATGTTTGTCAATACTTTACTTTTGAATCATCTTAAGCTACCATCTTTCTTCTCTCGCTTTGACGGTGATTTTTCCCGATGATGGGTAGATCGTGAAGAACCCGACGTTGTGGAAATGGTTGTGAAGTCGTTTATTGACTTGCTGTTCAGAGGTTTGATCTGTGAAGTAAGGATAGGAGGATGTTACTTATCCTACTCGTACTTCGATAAGTAGTTGAGGAGCTCGAGCCTACTGTATTCATATTTCACGAGGGGTTTATCACTTTTCATCTTCGCATGCAACCAAATTATCAACCCGACATTAGTAACGTTCACAAAGTCCATTAGTCAACTAACCAAACATATTTAAATCAAAGAATAGTAATTCATGTTTCGATAAATTACTAATCCCCTTAGAGCAGTAGAGCACGGGCCCCCATTCCACATTTCACATTCCACATTCCATCTTTCACCCACTTTACTTATCCTCCCTATTCTACTATCACTTCCAACCCTACACCTTATACTCTATCCTCTCAGTCTTCTCACAACACTACCCTCTACTCTCCAGGTCGAAGTTCACACACGTCATCAAGAACGCCAACGCCGGAAGAAATAGGAAAAGGACGCCTTTGACAAATCGGCTTTCTATAAGAGAAGACATAGTGTACGGAGAGAGAGACTTTGAACATCATTTCTAGTCTTAACTCTTCTTCTCATACTCTTATTCATATCTATACTCATTATTGTATCTCTTCTCTCACTGGTCTATCTTCCCAAACTGTACACTTATACTCTACTCGTCTTATCTACTGAACACCGAGAGCGTTGGAAGCTTTCCATCATCGTTAGACATTCCGATCTTTCACTCGGTCAGTCTATTTGAAAGCTTCGAAAGGGTGGGATATCCAATTTTGTATTGAGATACTAGCAAGTAAGTTTATGTTTCTTGGTTTTTCATCATCACATTCTTTTAGGTCTTCCTACAAACTGCGATCTTTCTCCTTCATATTCAGTCTAGCGCTTCGTAGTTCCAACAATCATCACTTTACCCCCTCTACAATAGCCGATAAAATGATCTCCTTTGGTATAGTCCACCACCTCACCTCTTCTGTCTTTTCTAGTCTTCCATGGTGCCATGAAAAGATTTCACGGATTCATATGTCTTCATTCTGGGTTTTTTTGGGGGTTTCTTGATTTGTAAAGGGATAGTAATGATGATCCTGATGAACAGTCTTACGACCTTGTACAAGTAAACCTATACCATACATATTCGACTTTCCTGGAGAATTTCCACTTTCGACCATCACTTCGATTCAATCCCATACATCGTCTCATCGATTGATTAGAATTTACCTGAACTCGTGATAGAGCTTAACTTATCTTCTGTATCAGCTTCTACCACCTGATTTGCGACACGAATATTGGGCAAGTTGGATTGTTGCATGGGATGTACTCTCATACCATGTCTGGCGCTACGACTCAAGATCATCCACATCATCTTCCTCGTTTGGATATGGGATATGGAGGAGGAACCGGACAATTGGGTTGGTCTAATGGTCAAACCCACCAACCCAACCAACCTAGTCAGCCCCACCAACCCAACCAGCCTGGCCAAAACCATGGCGGACCAATAACCACCCAACAACCCCCCTACGACGCCGTTGCCGAGGACGAAGAACCCGCTTACTTTGTTCGTGCTCGTTTCGACTTTGCCTCCTCCGACCCTTCTGCTCTCAGTTTCAAAGAAGGTGATATCATCGAAGTCATCCAAATGCTCGAGAGTGGATGGTGGGATGGATTGTTGAATGGGAAAAGAGGTTGGTTCCCTAGTAATTTCGTCCAAGAAGTGGATGAAGATGAGATTCTACAAGAAGAAATGATGATCAATTCTTCACAATTACCCATTTCACCAATATCTCAAACTCACACACCCCCAAGAGTCACACCTTCATCTTCTCAATCTCAAATCTTCCCTCCACAGACCAATCGAATATCTCCACAACGATCTCCCCAAGCGAATACACTCAATAACATTCCAAGAGGAGCATCAGGACACGTGGAGAATGCCGGCATATCAAAACGAGTCGTACTTGATTCAAATCAAATCAACACCTCTCCGACGCGTCCTCTACAAAATGCCGATCCGATAGGGATTTCAGACAGTCACGAAACATACGACCCTGCCTTGAGGTTAGACCTTTTGAACAGTACTTACGATTGGTCTTCTCTCGGTCTTGACATGGAGCTGGGTGGAATGGGTGGATTAGATATGGGCGATTTAGCGAGAGAAATGATGAATGCTCGACTGGGTCCGGAAGAAGATGAAGAGAGTGAGAGGGATCTTGTTGCTCTTAACAATCGACAAGCTCAACGACAAATGTCCAGTTCTTCTTTTCAATCTTACTCGGATCAAGATAGGTTCCAACCTTCTTCCAGTGGAGCTAGTGAAGGAGTGTATGATCCGACAAGTGAGACTATGCTGGGGATTCAAGGAAAGAGAAGAGAGGATCAGAGAGGAGAGATGAATCTGAAAGAGTTTGGAATGCCTCCTCCTAGATCAGAAGAAGAGGGGGATACTTTACGACCAGGCAATCTTCAAGTGGCCAAGAATGAAGAGGACAAGAGGTTATCGTTGGCACCGGGTGATGCGTGGATCCCAAAGTTGTCGAATAATGGACAGGTGAGTTATTGATCTGCAAGAGTCCTTCCTTTCTTCTTCGCCCACATATCGTCATTAGATACAAATCCCTTTGACATGTCACTGTCAACTTGTAACTACTCATCCCTGCGTAGATTAGGTAGCTCGTTACTCTGGCGTCGAATGACGGTTTCGTGATCATGCCCCACCCATCACAATCACCTCGTCAAATGCTCCTGGCTCGCCTCGCACTTCTCGACGAGACTGACCCACAGATCACATACGTCAACACCAAGACTGGCGAGGAGTCATGGGATCTTCCATTGTCCATGATGTTAGGTGAAGAAGACATTTACGGTCCTGGTATGGAAGATGACTTTGGGGTCAATTACGATGAAGCTTTTGCCCTCCCTCACGCTCTACCAATCTCCTCCACTCCTTTACCTTCTTCCTCTCAACAAATTCCTGAACCTGAACAATTCTTACCACCCTCTCGATCCAAACTCCCTCAGAACTGGGCAGTCAAACTCAACGACGACGCTAGAGGATGGCAATATGTCAATCGTATCACTGGGGAAATCCGACAAGAACCTCCATCCGCTACTGAATCCATCTCACCCGATTGGCCGTCTCGATCTCAACCCCGTCTCAGCGTTTCTTCTCTACAATCCGCTCGTTCTTTCCGACCCCTCCGTCAATCCATCGAAATACAAAGAAGAGCGGTCCAGGATCTTGAACGTAAAACCCGTCACGCATTGGAAGTCTTATACACACCTCACAAACCTCCCACTCTTGGACGACTCACGGACGCTGTACATGACGCTCTGAGAGAGGTTCTCGAAGCTTGTGTAGCAGGTGCGGCAGCGGAAGAGGAAATGACTCGTGCGATGGATTTACAACATGAACCAGGTATACAAGCTGCTGCTCTACGAGAAGATGGAGCTGTTGAACTTCTCGTCTCTGCCCATTCTGCAGCTCTGGCAGGAATAAGAGAACTCATCTCTTCTTTCGGATATGTAGGCCCGATGGAGAAATTCGACGAAATGCCAAGACCTGCTTGGACGTCAGATATGACTTTGATCGGTTGTGTGGGAATGTTGAGTGCTACAGTACATGCAGCCACGATTTCGAAGAAGAGTCCAGAGAGCGGGTTGAGTTTATGGAGCGAAGTTATGAGAAGTGCCAGTAGGTTGAAAGATGTTGTTAGTAATCTAGCGGGAAATATCCTTCCTGGTCTGCCTATCACTCAAAGGGAAGATTCAGAAGGGAAACGGGTAGAAGCTTGGTTTGTAACTCCTCCAACTGAATTATTAGGAGGTCGTTATGGATTTGGGAAATCGGACACACTTCGTCCACTCGATCAAAGTATCATCACGGAAATTCGAAGAAATCACGACGAACTCGAAAACCTCTTATTCCCTCAGACATCGTCGGAACTCCCAGCATCATCATCAACAACGACAACGACAACTTCTATAAGTGAAATCATCCGACATCTCACTTCTTTCCTAAATCTAGTAGTACACATTGATATCGCTTCGGTGATCGATATCGAAGGTGACTCCACTTTATCCCCTCGTAAACCTCAATCTCAAGAATCATTCAACGATCTTGTTCTTCAAGCTCAAGCGGCATTGAAAGATTTGGATTTATGTCATCTTGAATTATCTTCCCTCTCTGGTGAACTACTCCTTCAACCTACTCTTCCCCCCAATGATGAAATTCTCAATATCTTTTCAGAAGATTTTTCTACTATCGCACGCGCCACTACGGCTCTTCTCGCCATATCTACCGAACAACTGGCACTAGCTCAAGATCCATCATCCGGACTTAAAACGAACATAGGTTCTAAATCTTTCCGAACGAAAAGGATTAGACCGGTATCTACCACCTCTACCATGTCTCGAATGTCCAGATCTGATTTAGGTACCAAACGAAATATAGTCAAAGGGTTGGATGAAGAAATGTTGGATAATGGTCAAATTGATGAATTACGAGATCGACCTGGGGAATTGAGTGCGAATGGAAGTCAAACTTCTTTACCTCATAGACATCAAACACAAGGACAAGTATCAGCCACGAGTAGTACTACAAGTCTAGCATATCAAAAGACCGATAGTGATTCAAGTAGTCAAAAAGGGAATAGAAGTAGTATACTTCGTGCTTTCAGAAGACAAAAACCTGATAATGAGGTTGATAAAGAAAATAAAACATCCATCAGGTCTAAACCTAATCAACCTTCTAGGAAATTAGCCAAATTATTAGGAGATGATATTTTCATCAATAATACCGTTCCACCACCCCATTCAACAAATCCACAAAATCAAAATCAACCTATATCAACTAATCCAAGTCAAAATCAAGCTTCTGAAACACCATGGTATTTAGGAGAAGATTATGAACCAAACGAAATTATATTCGATGATAAAGGAGCTGTTAAAGCAGGAACATTAAAAGCTTTAATAGCAAGATTAACACCACATGGTCATTTAGATACAGCATTCTTTCAAGCTTTTCTTTTAACATTTAGATCTTTCACAACTGGTCCTGAATTATTACAACTTTTATTACAACGATACGATCTACCAATACCCACTTCATTATCTACAGAAGAAATATCAGAATGGAAAAGATTAAAACAAAATTTAATAAGATTAAGGATATTCAACACTGTTAGAAATTGGTTGGAAAATCATTATCTAGAAGAAGATAATAAACTTTTAGATAAATTTGAATCTTTTTCAAAAAAGTTATCCGAAAATAATTCTTCAATAATGTCTAAACAACTTTCAGCTATCGTTCAAAGAAGAAGATTAGGTGGTGAGAATGATCATTCAAGACGTATAGTTTCAGGTGGATTAGTTTCACCTCCAGCACCTATTTTACCTAGACCGATGGGTAAGACATTGAGAATAACGGATATTTCTCCATTGGAATTAGCTAGACAATTGACAATAATGGAATCTCAACATTTTCAAAAGATTAAAGCTGTTGAATGTTTGAATAAAGCTTGGGCAAAAGAAGAAGGTTTAAAAGCTGCACCGAATGTTAGATGGGTCATTTTGACTGCTAATAGGATGGCAGGTTGGGTAGCTTTACAAATCTTAAGTTCTAGGGATGTTAAAGTTAGAGCTGGGATAATGAAGTTTTTTATACAGACTGCTGTTGTGAGTTGACGCCTTTTCCCCTTCTCCTTCTCCTTCTCATTTCTTTTCCCCTGTTCCTCTTCTCTCGCTTTTCCTCTTCTCCTGATTTCCCTCTTCTTCTGCTTTTTCTCTTCTCCTGCTTCTCTTTCTCTCCTGCTTTTCCTCTTCTCCTGCTGTCTCTCTTCTTCTGCTCTTCCCCTTCTCCTGCTCTTCCTCAGATTTGAGTTTCTCCTCAGCTATGATAAGATCCCATCCTCGAAAACATTGATGATCGTCGAATCACTAGAATTCATCCACTCTCACTTTCCCCGTCTCACAACACTTTCACTCATCCCACTATTACACAAACCTCACTTTCCCCCACGTCACATACACATTGGATAATCATCCACATGTCTCATCATCTTCTAAAGACCTCGTATCACTCTATAGAATGTATTCTCTGACACTTAGGAACTCCGAATGTTAAACAACTTCTCTTCAATGGCTGGGATAGTAGCAGGTTTAAATTCAGCACCTATAACCAGACTCAAAAGAACACAAGATCTACTTAGCGCAAAAACACAAGCTATGAAATCGGATTTGGATGGGACTTTGGATTCTACAAAGAATTTTCAAAATTATAAAGATATGTTGAAAGCTATAAATCCTCCTTGTGTGCCGTTTTTTGGTAAGCGCTTCTTTTCTCATTTCTCACTTCCCCTGGTCCTTGCATCTTTTGTGTACACACTGGATTTTCTTGCCACTTCTAAACTGATTACATCTCTTTCTTCCGTATCCACACTAATACCACCTCTCTCTACTCCTTTCTTCTCCTTATTCTTCAACTGTATACTCATCTCCCAAGAATTATCCACTAACACCCAGGCTTTTACCTATCAATGCTCACATTCGTCGAAGATGGTAACAAAGACATCTTCCCATCACCTTCTGAAAACCCACCAAAATCACCTCTTATAAACTTTTTCAAACGTTCACTCTCTGCAGAGATATTAAGAGATATACAACAATATCAAAGTCAACCTTATAACTTGGCAAAATGTACACCTGTTTATAATTTCATTCAACAAGGTTTGGAACAAGTTGAAAAAGCTGGGGATTTGTATGAAACTAGTTTGGTTTTGGAACCTCGTGAAAGGGATGAAGAGAGGATGTGAGTTTATGTTTGTGTGTTTTCTTGTGGTTTTCCTTCTTTGCCTCATTTCCTTCCGTATTATCCTATCTGTATGATATCTCTTCTACACTTTTATCCTCATTTTCGTTGAATTTCTCTCCCACTTCTGCTCTCATGGTTACAGAGGAGAACTACGTGTGTAGAACGATATCACCTTTACCCATCCCACGACATGTGGAAGGTGAATGGTGATTGGTGAATGGTGGATGGTGGATGGGCGTCTTTACAAGGGTCGGAAATCGGTTGATAACTCATCCGATCATCCGATTTTTATGGCGGTGGCTGGTAAGGGTGGTCGGGTGGTTGGTCGACTCTTGTTCATGTGATTTGATCATGATAAAAGTACACAGGCTGATGACAGAACAAGAATGTTACATGATTCGGTGAGTTATGAGATTTCTTCTTCCACCCTTCCATCCCTTCTTTCATACCATTGCATGTCCCCTTCGATACATTGATGGACGTATGACATTTACTAACTCCTAGGGATTCATCTAACCATTGTGTTAATGTATCAAACGACAAACAACATACCACGACGTGACACGACAAGATCGATTTTTATTCTTTATCCCATCTTGACCATTACCATCACTTTCAACTTGCTCGTTCTCAGTCACGTCACTTTCAACTTGCTCACTTCCAGCTACGTCACACTCAACCTGCTCGCTCTCATCTACGTCACTCTCAACTTGCTCACTCTACCCCATGTGTATAGAAGAGAATAAATGTGGGATATCTTGTAGTTTAGATGATATGTACAATGTTCTTGCGACTTGATTGTCTTGCTACAGGAGTACATGCTACATGTTCCATGTCACACACTTTGTCATGAGATAGTTTTTGCATTGATATCCCTAGTAAGTCCAGTCTACAATTTAGCAATACGAGTAGGATCGTAGGAAGTACTCTACTTCTGTCACTTGATCCTTAAAGACCTGAACCATGTATATCAAGTAGATCAAGTATGTATTCTTCCTGCATTTTGTGCATTTGTGCATTTTGTGCATTTGTGCATTTGTTCAGGGTTGATGTGAATGTATGACGTTGTCTTATGTTCAACGTTTACGGAGATGTACCTGGTTAGCTGGTAGCGTTGTGAATCGGAGAATTTACCTTATACTTGCACAGCTACTCGTACTTACCCACAACTACCACCGAGGTCTTTGAGTCCTAACCGACGGTCTCAAGATATGCTTGTGTGATTTCTGTCAAACATCTTTTTGATATTCTTTCTTTTAACTTTACACTTGTTCGACTACTTGTCTCGTTGTCTCTTTCATTGAAGATCACTTTAGTGGGATCGTTCTTTCATTGAAGATTACTTTAGTGGGATCGTTCTTTCATTGAAAAAATACTTTAGTGGGATCGTTCTCTCATTGATAGATTACTTTAGTGGGATTGTTCTCTCATTGAAAAAATACTTTAGTGGGATCGTAGAAGTAGAAGTAGAAAGTAGAGGTGGGAAACAGTTATGATTTGATAGATAGTTGGTGGTTAGTTTGTTTTTTCCTTCTTTCGCTACGGCTACGGCTACGTCACGTCTTCTCATCTCAAGTTAATTCCCGCCTTGCACCAGCCTCCCTTAGTCTACCCTACTCTGTACTATCCTACCACTGCCATTCTCTCTTCAGATGTACACTATCCCCCCTCCCCCCCTCCCACTCCCAAGATTGATTGGCGTGTAGGCGTAGGGCGTCACTACGGCAAGGGTAGACGAGGTCTGTGCTCTTTGTGTCCCCCCCACCCATTCTCTCTCTCTCACTCACTCACTTTCCATACTTCTCTTCCTCTCCTTCTTACCCCTCTTCTTGCTATACTACATCACCATATCCGTATCAACCCTTTCCCACACACACACATGTTCCCGTGATCCCCTTGACCCGTTGATAGATATCATTCAACCAACCAATTCAAAAAACACCCACACAACGCCTCTTTCAATTTCACCTACCCTTGTCTTCTCCCCCCTCTCCTCACCCCGCAGCCTTACTTGGATATCTCAAAAGACTTAGAGACCTCGGAAAACTTACATTCTCTTCATACACGACGCGTCACTAACCACCTTCAGAACCTCAAAAACTTTCCAAAAACACATGACAACAAGTTGACTGTCAATCCTCAAGGTGAGTTCCTTAAGTTACCCGTGGCCGTGGACCGTGGGAGTTTGTGACTTTTTGAAATGGTTCTCAAAGGTGGTCTCATGTACTAGTAGCCATCTACAATACTACAATACTATACACTTTACATTTCTTCCTCGTCATACATTTGACATTTGTTCTACTTGTACCCAAATCCAATTGATTGTCGATCATCTCTTTGACTCTGTCACTCGCCCCTTCCCCTCCTCCTCTCCCCCCCTCGCCCTTTGCTTTGCACTTTCCGCTTGGCGAATTGACCACTCTCAAACATCCTTTGCTTGTTTGTACCATCATCTCAATCCTTCCCCCCTCCCCTCCCCTGACCGTTTGACCTTTGTTCGCTTGGACTGACTCCTCAGATCACTTTTCCTCATTTCTCTTTCTCATTCTTTCATCATCACTATCACTCTCTCACTTTCCATCACTCATCCCTACTTGAACAACTCAACCATCTCCGACGTGACGAGTATCACACTTGTTAATATTCTACACGAGTCAACCTTGAACAATTGACACTGACACAAGTCTCACTCGCACTGCCTCGTCCTAGCCGCGTAGCCGATACATACATTACGAACCACTGGGGACATCATCATCATCATCATCCCCCATCTTGACGACGAATGAGAACATAATATCAATTCATCGTTTGTAAGTCTTTCAACCCTTCATTCTTTTCCAATCCACCCATCACGTCCCATTCTTTCCTTTGTCATTTCACACTCCACTTTCCTCACCTCATTCGCTGACAGGTAGAACACCATGGCGGCCGTCATGCATCCCTCTCGACCTTCGATGGATCGTTCTTCTTCTTTCGAACATCCACGTCCTCGTTCATCTGCTTCATTCTATGACCGTCCCCCTTCCCCCATCCCTAGACCAACAACTCATACGCGTACTTCCTCTTCCTCTTCTAATTCACATTACTCTCAACCTTTTCCAAACTTTTACTCTCAAACACCATTCAATCAAACATGGTCTGCCAACCCTCAACCGAATTCTTCTTTTTACGCCACGCCGTTTCACGGTTACGCCCACCAACCCGTGTTTCACCAACCGCCGGGACACGATTTCCCTGCTTGGGCGAACGCGTATCATCACATGGTCATGGCCAGTGTAGCCAACGGCGCTCATCCCGGTGGAGTCACACCACCACCTACTACTGAGTATCACGAACATGAACGTAGAAGGACTAATTCAGGTCCACAACAATACCCTAATCCTTCTCTTCAATATTCACCACAATCATCACAATTTCCTCCAGGTAATTATTTCGATCAACGTCCAATCACAAACGTACAAGCTCAACCACAAACATCCAATCAAACACCTATACAACTTGATAAACAGGAGAAACAAGAAAGATTACAAGGATCAAAAATGGCTCAATCTGTAACCGCCCAACCTTTTCATCCTTATAAACGAGGACCAACTCATCGTCCTTCGAGAGAAAGTATGAAATCTAATCAAACTGCCAATGTCATCACTTCCAGTCTTCCTAGATCAGTATCACAACCTACTTTACCAACTTCATTCGACCAAAGAACTCCTTCCCCCGCTCCCACGTCCACGCGTCAAGACTCACGCAACAACGGAAATGTGGAACCGGCACCTCGTACGGCATCCCCCGCACCTTCTCCCCGCGTTAACAACCAAGAAGAACGTCGACCATCTGTATCAAACGCCAACGCCAACGTCGTCACCACCACCGCCACTAACAACACCCAAGATAAATCCACTCCATCATCTAAAAATCCAACAGTTAGAGTATCCACTCCACTCCATCCAGGTCCAATCACAGCAGCTACCAATACTCCTCAACTACGTCCTTCGCCACTATCACAAACCTCCCTCACCGCCTCTGCAGAACCTGAAAAGAAAGGTTTCAAAGGCATGTTCAAAAGGAACCTTGATAAAGATTCTTCACGAAAAATGTCAACACCACCACCTTCAACACCCGCTGTCAAACCAACAACAGCGTCACAATACAAAGCTCTCCCTCTGACTCCTGCTGGTTCTCAACCTCATACAAAGATATCCGCTTCACCAGCTGAATCTTCTACTTATTCCGCTACACCTCCAACGACCCCACCACAGGAATTGGACCCTCCCAACGCACCGTTCTCGTATGACAATGTCGCTGCTATGGGTAGCGAATTGTCTTTGGCAGAGACGGAAAGGACTGCTACGGCTCAGAAAAAGGAAAAGAAAAGTTTGTTCAGGATGAAGAACATGAGTACGGATAATATTTCTTTATCATCTACGGTATCTTCAGCTAGTATGATGATTCGGAAAATGGGCAGTTTGGGAAAATTGGCGAGACGGAACAGGTGGGTGATAGTTTTTCATTCTTCTGATCTCCTGATGTGTTTACTCCTCACTTGTCCTCCCTCTTACTCCTGGCTTTTACTTTTCTCAGATTCCCTCTTTCGTCGAGCCCTTCTGGAAGCTCTTTCACTCCTTCATCAACCTGGCTCTTTCCACAAACTATGACTCTCTTTGGCTCCCGCTCTGAAGTGTCATTCTCATGATCATCTCCCTAAGTCTGACATGAGATTACCTCGATGAGAGATGATCATGTGGATACTCAGCACATCTGCTCTGAGACAAGAAGGGTCCATCTGCGAGTGTTCACCACTCACCCCCAGTCTCATGGGTATCTCGAAAATCTTCAAAGATCGACCCAAAGACGAAGACGGTGCACTTCCCGAACGTGAAGTGAAGAAGGAGAAGAAAGGCAAGAAGAAGAGTAAGGGCGAAATCGTCCCTGCTGCCGTATCACGTCTCACGGCCGAAGCGGAAGAAGATAAATCTCTGGCTGGACTTTCCCCTGCTGCCAAATTAGCTCGTCAACATACTTTACGATCCAAAGCCGAAGCTGAAAAACGCAATCAGAACCTACCAACGGGTGAACCAGCATGGGATAATAACACGACCACCAGAACGTCGAAATCTTCACCAGGTCCTGTTCTTCCTCCCGGTGCTTCTCATGAACAAGTGAATGTTGGCGATCTTCATTCGGGTGTTCCAGTGACATCAAATGTGGGTATCGGTGGGATTGGAGGGACAGGTGGTCCAGAAGTTTTACATATCTTACCTCGATCCAAAGTCGTTCAAGCTGTAGCGGTCAGCGGACAGGAATACGATAGTGACAATGATTCCTCTGATGGTGAAACGATAGAGGATTTAACTGCTACGATGGGTAAAGCTAGATTATCAAGTACATCGGAGAATGAGAGGTTTTTAGCATTATGGGGAAACGCCATAATCGATAAAGGTTTGGTACCGAAGAAGGGGATTTTGAAAGTCACCAAATCTCAAGAAGATCTCGAAGCAGCTGCTTCACGTCAAAGATCAAACTCTGCCACTTCAGTTCCCACTCCTTTGATCTCATCTTCCCTTTCTCGTGCACCTGTCGATCCTACCAAATTAGCAGGTTTAGACGGTATAACCATCGTTCATCCTTTTCCTCAAAAAGAAGTCTTGGAATCTTCTAATATCTTTCAACATGAACAAACCTTCAACTCCAACCAACGTGGTCAATATCAAAACTCACCTCGAGAGCAATCTGGTCAACCCAATCAACCCATCGTCAAAGATCAATCTTCTCAACTTGGTCAACCAGGTATAGGAGTCAGATTCAATAATCAAACGTCAACTCCAGATCGACAAACTTATGCAAACGTAGTGAACAATACATCGGATAGATCGATATATTCAAACGTTGCTGGAAACACTTCAGCTCCCGCGTTAAACTTTTTACCTGGACAAGGTAAACCTATAACACCAAGAAGTATGACGGCACCTGCTAAGAGAAGATTGGTCTGGGCACCGGAATGCGCGGTTTATAGTACTTATGATGCTGGGACATATGATAGGAGGAGTGAACCTGCTACTTGTAATAGGTTGACACCAGAGTTGGCAATGTCGATCAAGCAGGAGTGAGTTTTTTCCCCCTTATTTATTCTGTTCAATGCTTCTAATTCATCCCCCCCATCCCTCCCCACCCTTCCTCATTCTTTGAATCTGCTTTCTCAGTTAAACTTCCCCATGTATCTTTCGTTCCCCGTATACTCTTGGTCATGTAATGTACTCTTCGTTCCAGTAAGGTTTTGCCTGAGAAGAGAAAAAAACAACTCAGCGTGAATGGGGCGAGGATGGTAGATCGTTTCCCCCTCCCACCTATCATCCCATACCGGTGGATTTCAGGGTTATCCCTGGGTCGGCCTTACACTCAATGTCGAACCGTTCATACTCTCCTCGCTGGTGTCTCGTTGTCTTTCACATTAACGGCGCTTCCGTTTGAATTCGAGACCATGGCAGGACTGAACTGATACACAGATTAAACGCTTTCAAACTTGAAATGGATGTACATCCTTCTTCCAGAGTTCATACTCATTACTTTGCATGAGTGAGTGTTTTCGTCTTTTTTTTCGTCTCACATCTCACATCCTGTGTGTCGTCATTTTCCTTGGTCAGTTGGAAATCCACCATTCGACCATCCCCACCAAATCCTTTACCTCCCATTCCTCTCGATCCATTCTGTCTCCCAGCCGCAACTCGATCTCTTCTCTTCTCTTCTCTTCTCTTCTCTTCTCTTCTCTTCTCTTCTCTTCTCCTCTCTTCTCTTCTCTTCTCTTCTCTTCTCTTCTCTTCTCTTCTCTTCTCTTCTCTTCGAAGTCACCTAATCAACCGGACCCGCTGACCCACAGTCATCAACTTTGTACATAATCATCTAGTACACTTACACCCAAGAACATCAGATTACAGAAGAACCATTTTTTTTTCTCTATTTTTGCATATCCCTTATTATTCTCTCTTCACATACCACGTATAAAACACAAAAAAGAAGATTTGTATCGTCCCCCCCCTTCCTTTCCTCCTTTTGACGTATCTGTGCATTAGTTAGTCTGAATTGATATTTTTCCTTGGTTTGATGCATGCATTGCTATGCGCTGTGCGATATCACCTTGAGGTACCATCTGCTGATACGGTATCCTTTTGTAATCATCACGGTCACTCCTTTTGAAATCATCACAGTCATTCGTGTTGATGAGTGTCATTCACTTGACTATGGTTCGCCATGAGAACGAGTCGCGGGATGGGGTGAGGTAATAATGGACGACACTCGGTCTATACTCAACATGATTTGATCTTCTGAGTGAAAGTGTGTTAAGTGATGAGTTCTGATTTGTTAGTACGAGTAATCCATTCCCATTTGTCAGACTGACAGGAGGAACTAAGACGATGCATGACATTGGAGATGGAAAGGGAATTAAGACTAGATAATATTAGAGATGAAACTCGAAGTTCAAATTACATAGACCGGATACGTACTGTATTCTTGGTTTAAAGGGTAAGTTGGACATGTCCGAATTCGGGTATATATGTATTCGCACTTTTTGTCCAGCTACTACCGACAAGCTCCATTCCGTATGCTTCGACCTGATCCTACTACCGGCAAAGTTCATTCGGCATTTTTCCACCCTTCCACCCGATCCTACAACCGGCATATTCTACTAAGCATCCTTCTATCAGAATCTACAACCAAAATAGTCTATTCTACAACTCTCGACTTGGACTTTGTTTGGGATTCTTCCATACTGTACCAGTGATATCTATTGACCCGAATGAGTTGATATTCATCAATCTTGCCAATTTATGTTTACTCGAGTTCCTAACTTTCGACAAGATTCGGATAGTTTTCAATGTCCAAAGATATGGAAATAATGGAAGAGTTTGTATGTAATCAAATATATAGTGCCATGAAGAATACCACATGGATGAATTGTATCAAGTATGTTCAGGGAGTGAAGGAGATGATGCGATGTCGAAATGATTATACCAGTACTCTACCCGTATGGTCATATGATTGTACAGAGTGAAAACGGGGAATGAAACAATAAGAGGAGATGATGAGATGATCATTTGTATTGAAAAACCCTCAAATCATCATACTTGAAAAAAAGATATAAGAATCAACATTTAATCTCATGGATCAAAACTACTTTTGTACTTTCACCTGACCAACCTCTATCACCAGAAGAAGTAATGAGGAATCTACAAGTAGGATCGACGACTGATTGAAAATTTCATCAGCTTATTTCCTTTATCTTCATTTTCGTTTCTCATAGGAAAGTTATTCATTGATTTTCCCATGAATGATCAGAAAGTTCAGAGATGATGTTGGTCTATGTCCTACATTGCATCTCTTTGAACATCTGAAGATATGTTCACAATGTGGGAATGTGGGAAGAACGATGGTCGTAACATACTGTGTTTCCCACTTTTGATGACAATGTTGAGAAATTTGCAGAACGAAAGGTTACTGGTACGAATGAGAAAAGTGGGGGAAAGAGAGAAAGAGAGGAAAAAAGAGAGAAAGAGAGAAAGAGAGAAAGAGAGAAAGAGAGAAAGAGAGAAAGAGAGAAAGAGAGATAAATGATTTGATATTGATACGACCAAAAAGAGACAGATTAGGAAGAAGAAAAGAAAATTGATATTGAGAAGAACAACTTTCGACTCACTCATTGAAGAAATCAAACCACCATGATGTCCAGCTATGATCTTAAACGGTGGTCTAGATTTCGGTCTACGGATAGATTCTTCAGGTTGAAAATAATCGATTGTATTCCATAATCTTACATTATCCTGAGATGCTCTAAGGATTCAGTTTATATTTCTATACATCTGTCACACCTTTTCCCTCATCATACTTGACGAGTCCTTTAATTCGACGCATCTTCTCTGAGCGTCTAGGTAAAGAAATATATGAAGAGGGTGATATTTGTATGTCCTTTTGGACGTAAAGTGCATAGAGAATCTCCAATTTAATGGGAAAGTAAGGGATTTGGGGATGTGAATGGGGCGAGTAGATACACAAGTATTGATAGAGCTCTGAACAACGGAAAACGACGAAATTGAATGAGGATTAAGATCAGGATAAGAGAACAGGAGAAGGATCAGGGGAGGAAGTGTTGAACATTGAGCCATAGACATGACTAAGACTACGGTTGAGATAAGAGGAGAGCAAAGATGAATGATCAGGGGTTGAGGTGTGGTGCAAGAGTCATAGACATGATCATGAACAGCGAGGATAAGGGGTGTGACACTAAAAGACAATCTTTACTCACGTAGCTACATGTCGTCCATCTGGGAAAGGTACCACACAACTAACCGGTCCCGACTCTGCAGGTGTTCGAAGGGTTCGAAGTAAATTTGAAGCTGTTGAAGAAGTTCGTCGAATGTCCCATATATCGATAGTACCATTCCTTCTTCCAGCTAAGATTTGATTACCGTTAGCAGCCCAACATGTCTGATGTGAGCGTCTTATTCACACCTTTTTAAAGAACCCTTGCATTTCAAATGGACAAATGGAACTTTCAACATTTCGAACTCCCCATCACACCAAAATGGATGATTTTCTCCACGTCTCTGTGTGAAAGAACACAGGACTAAGTAGGATAGACCTCTGACCGTCATGAACGACAAGCCAATACCTCTTGAAGTCGTCTGAGAAGTGACAAGTAGAAGTAGATGAAAATTGACTCACAGACATACACCAAGGTGGAGCTTTTTCACCAGCTAATAACCTGCCTACTCCTCCATCTTTCACACGACGATCTATCAAAGTAACCTGTCCATCCATAGAACTAGTCAACAAGATATCATCAGACATATCGTTATATCTCTCTTTAGTCAGGATGGGTATTTGTGCCGCAGCCCCTACACCTTTAGGAATCGGAGTGGGTAATGGGACGAAGAGTGAACCGTTCTCTACTCCATTGACTTCGGTAGAATTGGTAGGATTGACTGAGTTTGTGGTTGTGTCATGACCGTTAGGGAGGTTGCTCGTCGGTGGAAGTGGAGGTGAAGTAGGGTCGTCATCGAATAGAGGATCGTATGGTGATGGAGCGTCCATTTCGATGTCTGTATCGGGAATTGCGGAGGGAACAACGGGGTTGACTGTGTCGGATACAGGGACGAGTTGGGAGGTTTCAGTGAAGTGAGGTGTTTGTGTTGGGTGGTTATCGGCTGGTGTCATGGACGGAGACAGAGTGGGTTGTGCGAGATCTGTGGGGAGAATGGGTTCGGTAGGTAGATCGATATTATGAGATAAGTCTTGTTTTATGGAGATGGAGGTTCCATCTAAGATAATTCCATCTCCTTGAGAAGGGGATGGAGATGAAGGTGGATTGTAAGGACGTAAAGAGATGGAGGAGAATTGTGCCCCGTGAGAAGGATATTTTCGGACAGTTTGACCAGTGTTCAAATCCCATTCCTTATTCATCAGATCAAGACCATAGTTTATTCATTGGCCCCTGGTATCTATATGGTTACTCTGACTGAAAGAAGAAGTGGCAGGGATAGGATCATTAAGATCAATTGATTGTCACTTTCCACCCATCTCAGCAAGATTGACAGTTTATCATCTCGAATGGAAGAAGGATATGAGGGATTAGGGTCAAGGATATGAGGGATCAGAACGTTCTATATCTGAGAAGAGAGCAGAAAGGGTGACCCACCCGCAATGTCCCATCCCACGAACCACTGATGAATGACCTCTCATCGGGTAAAAGACTCAGACAAGAAACGACATTTGTATGACCTTTGAAAGTATGTACATGATGTCCTGGGGAATGTCGAAGAGTGTATAGGTTTATACATCCGGACTATGAGTTAGCTCAAAACTACGTGATATCAAGCTGAATCGTCCCATTTGAAGGAAGGTTCAGACATGTGACAAGCTCAGTTGAGAGCTGCCCTTCGTATGATCAGATCAGACCAAGCCATACAATACGTAGATGTTCAGGAGGTGATTATGAGGAAGAAAATTGTGATATTTCAGGGAATAACGAATAAACTCACCTTAGTACCAGTTAAAGACCATAACGCATCACTCTCACAAGTCATAGAATAAACCGGTTCAGCTCTCATACCTCCTAATCCTTCAACTTCATTAACCCACCAACCTTTACCCACTCCAGTCTTATTGATACCTTCTCCCATTCCCATATTAGCTTTCAACAGAGAAGTCATAGATTGTTGTCCGTTCACACTGGCATAAAGGTCGTACGCTCTTACGAACCCATCTTGAGCACCTGCGAGGAGCCAAGAAGAACATAAGGAGGTGGCTATGGAGTGTACTGGCGAAGGGATTGGGATGGCGACGATAGCTTCTATAGATAATGTGGATGGAGGGGAATGAAGGGAGAAGGGAGGGACGAAAAGTGCTCGACGTAGGAGATGAGGGAGTTGGGGATTGTAACATGGTTGATTAGCTTGAATAGCTGTTTGTCAATACGCAAATCGGACAGAGACAGAAGTGGATAAGATTGGGTAGAGAGTAGAGAAGTGGGAGAAGGTATGAAGAAGAAAGACGAACTGTCGGATGGTTGTTCCACCATGGTGATATCTTTATCCCCTTCTCGATCCTCCTCGAGAGGTTCCATATCCTCATCGTCATCATCCTCCTCCTCATCTTCATCGTCTTCGTCATCTTCATCTTCTTCATCGTCTTCGGCTTCCTCATCGTCCTCCTCGTCGTCTTCTTCTCCACTAGGTTCACCACCTGTCAGCTCTTTTCAGATTGATGAACCCCATGTTAATAGCTTCCCCGCGAATCCAATGAGATATAAAGACCATCGCACGATTAACAGACGGTCCGAGATAGGGTGACACAGTAGATTCTAAGAACTCAAGAGAGACTCACTCGCTGACATCCTGATCCTGATCCTGATCCTCACCATCCTCTTCATTCACCTCCCCATTGACCCCTACACCATTGACCCCTCCATCCTGTCCGTCAATACGGGGCATCACATAGACAAACAACTCACCTCATCGAACATATCCTCGTCATACTCATCCTCATCATCTTCATCTTCGCTTGTCATCTTGTAGTATCAGCATGTGATAAGGGTGGTTTGTGATGTAGAAGAAATGTGGAAAGAACAAGTTCAACTGGAGTTCGATCGGGTTTTCCCACTTTCTCCCTTTCACCTCTCTATTACTGTACTTCTTCATCTTCCTTAATCCTCTTGATCTTCTTCCCATCAAGTAGGCTGGAGCACGCGTATAAGGCTTCAAAATGTCCGGGACAGGTCCAAGGGAAGCTATCTTGTACGTTGCATTCGCTCGCTCACCACCTCTATCGGTCTTTGGGTCGTCTCCTCGTAGGAACTCACGGGGCAAAGGAAGACATACTGACACACAGTCCGACGAGGATGAATCTCACCTTGACTAAAGGTCGTCTCAAAGGTGCTCAGACGGGTCATTCTCTACTGGCCAAGAAGAGAGATGCTTTGACCACACGATTCAGACAGATCTTGGCTAAAGTGGATGAGGTGGGTTTCTGCCTTGAGTTCGGAACATCTCCAAGTCTACCCTCACAAGTCGCCTCCTTCCTCTTTACTCGCATGAGTTATAATGCCGTGAAGAGTGAAATATCATTCAATAAACTTATGGTGCTACCATATCGTTCACTTAGCCTTCTGGAGTCACCCCTATGAAGCTGCGCCCTGCGATACTGACATACAGGCAAAACGCCTCATGGGTCGTGTTCTCCAATTAGCCTCTTTCTCTCTCGCCGAAGTGACTTATACCGCCGGTGATATAGGCTACCAAGTCCAAGAGAGCGTTCGAAAAGCGAGCTATACGGTCAGGGCCAAACAGGAGAATGTGAGCGGGGTGGTGTTGCCCGCTTTTGAGGGTGTGAAGAATAAAGATGGGAATGGTGGGTGGTCCGTTTTCTCCCTCGACCTCTCACCATGATTTTTTGAACCTAGTGTATTCCCTCCCTACTGATCACTCTGATCTCAAGGATAAAATCCTTGACTAGTGCGTGTTGAGAATGACCTGTAAATGAAGTTGAGGTAGAGTAGTTTTGCAGGCCGTAATGGAAAGGCAGTAGTGCTCAGCTGATCATCAGACTTCAACCTGACCGGTCTGTCAAGAGGAGGACAACAGATTCAAAAGTGTCGAGATACATATGTCAAAGCTGTAGGAACTTTGGTAGAACTTGCTTCTCTTCAGGTGAGTGGTTGTCTATCTGACACTTGCATATCCTCTTCCCTCAACATATTTTCTCTCTCTAATGCCAAGAGTCATTATTACAATGCCGACTCATATTGACCCTCAGACCGCTTTCACGATCCTCGACGAGGTTATTCGAGCTACCAACCGACGTGTCAACGCAATTGAACATGTCGTCATACCACGATTGGATAATACTATCAAGTACATCAACTCTGAGTTGGATGAGATGGATCGGTGAGTATTTCCCCTTACCTTTGTCCCATCTTGCCTACGATCGCCCACTGCCCCTGATTTCCCAAGCCTATCCACCCTCTCCTCCATGTCAGACTTTCTCTCTCATCTGAGATTTTACTTTGCCCTTCCTGGTCGTTAGTCTTGCTTTACTTCCTTACGAGTTGAAAGACTGCATCGCTAATCCCCAGAGAGGAATTCTTCCGACTGAAGAAAGTACAAGGAAAGAAAAAACGAGACGCCGATCGGACCGATTCCGAAAGAGCAGCCGCCAATGCCGAATTCACGGAATCAGGCGGTGAGGTGCATAGGGATGAAGGAATCAAGGGAGGTGAAGCGGGAGGTGGAGACATGTTGGATCAAGGCAAGGATGAAGATGTGATTTTCTGATTGACACTAGGCCCGACGGTATGCATATTTTCTCCCATTTGTCGGTTTGATATGACGTTGGTGGGCGTACTGAACTTGACAAAGGATCACTACAAGATCTGATGACATGATCGAAGGATGAGCTAAGAAGGGAATCAGAGATGTATACGATGGGATCAAGGAAGAAGATGATGAAGAGGGGTCATTCGTCATACCACTTCCTCATTTCCAATTCGGGAGTTCGTCGGTCAATCTCATTATTTTCACTTTTCACCACTACTACTACTGTTTCCTTTTGATCAACATCCACCCGCAGATATTCTGCCACTCAAAGACGAGATGATAACATCACTGACTGTTTCCCTCTGAGGGACGAAGACTGGCTGAAACGGAAACGGAATCACTGATGGCATCATTCACTCACAGCTGGACGCGTTTTGGGGTGCAGTGTTAAGTTCATCAGGGACCCTCATCAGGGTTTCTTTTTATCCCTCCGACTCGAATTATAAGTACCCATGTCCTCCTTGTTTCTTTTCAATTCCCCCTCTACTCACTTTACTAACCATTCTTGAAGTGTTCGAATTTTCCACTCTTATCCCATGACAATATCGCCTTTCTTTTCCTCCACAATCCGACACACCAATATGTCGACAACCCACTTACGTGAGAATTTCGACCAGTCACGTTCTTTTCGACATTACTACGCTCAACCAAACGTATCTCTATCATTCCATTCACACCAAACCATCACTCACAGAGTCGTTGATGCCATTGTTGTTAGGTTTGGACCACGAAAACACATCGAAACCACAGGTGCATAGGCACATGTGCGAATCCAACGAAGAGCGCGTCGCGTTTGTCAACACAGTGATAGACGCCAACCAGAAAGGTACTTATCAACTCATATATCTCTGTTCTTTTCATGGACTGTACCTATCGAACCAACCGTTATCGTAAGCTCGTATCCTGGCCCAACACCATCGAACAGGCCACTGCGTAACCCCTACTTTCTACCTCCTTAGGCTTTTCATGAGATCAGAAGGCTCGTGTTCGAAAGTTCAGAAGAGGGTCAGACTTTGGATAGAGTTAGACAAGTCTTTTATCCTCTTGGGCTCTCTCCTACTCTCCCCCCTTCTCTTAAAAGCAGAGTAAAATCGAACCCCTTACAACTCTCTAATGACGTCTCTCATACTGGTCGGTTACACACACAGTCGGAGAAATTCCTTGGTATCAAGAAAAAGGCGAATCGTCCCTGTCCCTTCTGTGGTTCAAGAGGCCATGGAGCCAAGAAGTGTAAGACAGGTAGTGAGATACAGGAGAGGGATAAAGATCGTTATAATCGCGAAATGGCTGCTTGGAAGGTTAGAGAGACAACCTGGACAGAGGGGTTAGTGTTAGGAACTAATGCTGCTCTTGAGAAGAGACTAGCAGAGCTTCAGGAGACGGTTTCTGGCCTGACTAAGAGTATTCAGGAGGATAGAGATAAAAGGGAAAAGGAGAAGGAGAAGGAAACTCGGCCTGGAATGGTGTGGATCGGCCAGGAGAAGGAATCTCTGCTGTCGTAGATCTATTGATCAGTTAGAGAAGGGAAGTCCTTTTTTTTTCTCCCATTAACCGCTCCATTTCACATGTCATTTCCCTCCTGGAGAAGGATATCACTCCCGAGAGTCGCTTCCTCCCGATCGATTTTCGCAACCTGATTGTACCTTAGGCATAACATTGGAAAAGAAATGGTTGATGAGATGCGCTCACGTCTACCCTTATAGCAACGAAGACGACCGTGAGTGATTCCCGTCTCCTTTTCAGATTTCTTCTCTTCTCCTCTTCTTTTCTATTCTAGCTGTTAATCTTTCCTCACTTATTCATGCTGATTTTCAGTCGGTAATGATCCTCGTCTTACTCCTCATATAAATCATGTACCCTCTCCACTACCGTGTTCCACTCGACTCGTACTCGACCGCCTTGGCTTTCGGTTTCGTTTTCGGGTTGGATAAACTTTCCAGCATATTCCTCGCTCGACTAATACGAATAATCCTCAAATCCTTATCTCGTCATTGAGTAGCTGATTATATTTCGTCATAAGCTCGTTTACACTAGGTATGTGTGACGAGCAGACAGTACGATCGGTATCTATCCGCCTCGAACAGCAGCCGGACGGCTCGATGAGGAAGGTGACTCATACCACAGTTACCAAGAAGAAGATCGACTGCCACAGTGTCTACTGTGTCGAATCCGAAGACTATGATCCTAAGGCGACAGGACCGAGCTTATATAAAGCCTTTCCACCTTGTTCTAAACCGATGAGCCAATAGAACCCACTACAAGCCACGGCGACGATGACGGTCGAACGTACCAACCGGGATTTTAGGGAATAGAAGAAAAGCCGACCTCCGACCTCTACACACTTTTGTCTCATGAGTTGAAGAGGGATTCCGTTTTCACGGGTCAATCTTCCACTCATGAGACATTAGCGAGGTTTCGGTCATGATTACGGCTTCGAGGGAGAGGAGATTTTACTAGATGTTCGGAACAAGTATTTCTCTACGTTTAGTGATTAGTCATCTACATAGTTTGTCCTATGGAAATATATTAGTGGATGAATTCTCGCTACTGACATGTCGACGTCGACCGAGAAATACATCCGGATGGTCATGTCCACGGGGAGCACGGGATATGGGAGCACGGAAGCGATGAAGTTTGTATCCCATTAGCTTCGATATCATTTCGGTCACGAATTCACATTTTGTCTTGATTATTAACTCGACTCATTACCGAAGCTATGCCCCAAGTGACTATCTCAGAAAGAGCATAGCACATGTAAGTTATATCCGACCCCAATAAAGTATCACCGAACGAGTCGTCTTCCCAAAGGACATTCTACCATCAAAATGACACATAAACGGACACACACACGAGATCAACATGTCCTTTCCTTTTCTCTTTCTCCTTTATTCTGATGGGATGATGATCATTCCCACACCCACAATCTTCATCCAAGGACCACAGTGAGAGATGCGATCTGCAACACGAGGCGAGGTCCGACGCGACGAACACAGTAGAAGGAGGAAGGCATACATACATACAAATATGTGTGTGTCCGATCCTTTTCCTTTTCCCCTTACTATCGGCCTTTCGATCTTCATATATCCCTTTGATCCAACCCACTGACCACTGGTCTTCTGGGTTTACTGGCCTGTGACCCGAAGCCGACATACCGAGTTTCCCACACAAATCGGTTGTCCTCATAGTTTATGTGTCGACGCCCAAGGCCGATACCCCTTTCTGAACTTTTGCTCCTACCCTCACGGGAAATACAGTACCTAAATGAGAAGGATATAATCAAGTCACGAAAACGTCATGTGGTCTTCCCGTTCACACTCACACTCACACTCTCACCCATCATCTTCAGCCACCGTCAACTTTCATATTCCCATAACACCTTCAAAACCATCACATTCATCTTCCAACGAGTTTAACATCATTAATCAAGATAGTGAAAGTGTTGTGAAATCTAAAAGTCCATTTCGTCTTGCTCGATTAAGACTTAGTTTTGGTCTGAAATCCAATATGGGTCAAACTTCTTCACTCCCACGTTCTAATCCTCCAGATAATCTACCTGTCCCAGTACCTATCACTCCTATCAAATCTGGAATTGAGGGGGTTGATGGAATGGAAGAATTAGGGAAACGATTGGTAGGATCTACAGGTCCGATGGGATCTACAGGATTGGCAGGGGGAGTAGGATTGGCAGGAGGAGTAGGATTGACAGGAACATATCATCGAAAATCTTACAATTCTCTTCGAAGGAAAATATCAAACAGACCGAAGGTCGAGAAGACAGGGACGACACTACGTTCTAAGTCAAGTCGAACTTTAGGAGAAGAAATACAAATATTCGAATTATTAGTTCAAACAGCTGAAAAGAAAGTAGGTTTAGAACATGATTTCACACCTATTAAATCATCTTCTATATTCACTACGACTCCTCATACACCATTATCACAAAGTAAATTCACAAGAATCCCTCAGACTCCATTATCACGTATATCACGTAATGGTCATAATCATAATCCACTTCGTATTCCTCTTTTCGAACGATCGGGCCAATCCAACAAGGATGATCATGGGGAGAATATCAAACCCATTGGAGAGAGGGTGATAAGTGTTGGTGGTATAGAGAAAGATGTTGGAGGTATAGAAGAAGAAAATATGGGAAAATTAGAAGAAACGGAAAAGATAAATCAAAGAATTTCTCCTAAATCGAAGAAAACATCACCATATCAATTACATCGACATAATTCTACTTTTTCAATTCATTCTGGAATAGGATCATTACATTCTTCTAGAAGAGCAGAAAGAGAATGGCGCGCTAGAGTTGCTGCTTTAGCTGTAGGAGGTATAAATGGTAATGGTAGTCCAGGTAGGAATAGTAAACAAGAAATTAGAGGACCTGTTCCTCCTAGAAGAACGATGGGGAATATGATCAGAACTAATTCTGATCCTACTTCCACTTCATCTAATCCCACTTCCGCTCCTTCTTCATCAAATCCTTTCCAAACATCATCCTCCATTTCTCTTACCCCTCCCGATTCAAAGATTACTACCGACAAACCGATATCGTTTTCTTTAGGAATGGACGATTTTTCAAATGGTTTGAAGACCCCAAGACTGACTCCGAGAATATCGATCGATTTCGATTTAACGGATCAACCTCGTTCTTCATTAGATACCATGGGTTGTCCTCGATATCTCGATTCGACATCATACAGTTCACCGAATATATCACTTGGAGGTAGTCCTTTTGGTGTTCATAAAAGGGAAAGAAGTGCAGAACCAAGTATCGCCAGTTATTATTTCGCAGCTGAATCTCGTCCTGGATCAATAGGAGCTGGAAGTTTCTTAGCAGGTGGGAGGAGTGTTTCTATACCACAAGATCAACCTTTCGTCTTGAGAGATGATAATAAGAGTGGTGAGAAATATGGGAAATATGAGATAACTCGAGAGGCTCAAGGAGAGGAAATAAGTGTGCAAGATGATGAAACTGAAATTGGAATATTTGGTGTAGATTTGGAATTCTCAACTTCGACTATTCATTTACCTTTACCTTCTTCAAATCTGATTCGTCCTATTTCTTTACCTCCACTTACCGATATATCTTCTCCTGATATTACTCTTGAAAAAGCTTATCCGAATCATCATCATCAGGAAGATAAAATATCACCTCCTTCTTCCGCCCCCTGCGTCTCGAGACGATTCAAGAATGATATTTCATCTTCCATATACGATCATCAAGTGAAACCGGATGATTCTCCTTCTATTAGATCTATCAAAACCAGATCTACACCTTCTCCTCTATCTTCTATCCCTCCTAAGAGATCAGGTTTAACATTAGATTTCATGTCTTTCACTTCGAACTCAAACCGTTCATCTAATTCAGCTCAACCTTCCATCATACCTAACTCTCAAAATCTTTTCAGGAATTCATCTATTCAATCACATAAATCTATTCATACTCCTCGTCGAATCCCAACACATGTATCTCATCTTTCAAATACATCCATATCGACATCGATGACAAGAACTATATCATCCACTTCTCCTTCTTTTTCAAGTCCAGAAGAACTTTATTCTTTTTCTAATCCTTCAGAACTTTATCCTTTCTCTAATCCTTCCGACCTTCATCCTTTCTCTACTCCTTCAAAACACAACCCAACTTCAAGTCCATCAGAACCTCACTTTTCACCATCAACACCACCAACTCCCACACCTTATAGTCCCACCACAGCTCATATCCTCCATGGACCTTTAGATGATGGATGGGCGTATGAACTAGCTTCTTTCGATAGTCCAGCAAAAATAGGACATCCTTTCGCTCGAAAAAGACAGAGTGTAAGGATATCAACAGGAAAAGAAGGGTTGAGGAAACCTTTGAAAAATATGAATCTCGAACAAGGTTTCATGAGATTATCATATGTTTCCAAAGATGAAGATCAAAATAAGATCAAGGGTGAGAATGAAATTTGGAATGAAGAAAAAGGTAAAGAAACAAGGAAGAAGAATTTCCAGAATGGTAAAGATGTTTGTAAGATTGAAAAGGATGAAGAACAGAGAGAGGATGTAAAGGATGAAAGTGGGAAGATGAGGTATAAGACAAAAATGAGAATAACAAAATTAGATTTAACACCAGGTATGGAAACTGGTCATAGACCTCCTAAAAGTGGTTTACCCATTGATGTGAGTTTTTTTCGTCATATATCTCTCCTTCGTCCTTCTTTCCTACTTCCTACTTTACTACTCTTTTGTTCAAATTTCTCATCATTCTTTTTACAGGTCTGTTCTTCTGATCCGAACAAGTTGATATGGGTTGTTATGGAAACCTACTTGCTTCTTTTCTCTCTCTATGGAGGAGTCGATATATCTTCTAGTGTCATAGTTTTGAAAGTGGGAAAACGATGATACACGCCGAAGACTAAATGCTGATCATCCAGGACCTTAGAAGTTGGTTAGCTAGTACTTCCATCGTTGCGTAATTTTCTTCATCTTTGCCGAGGATGGCTATCAGATAAGAAGACGGATTTATGTGGTGTGACGATTTCGTGTGACAAATAACAGATTACGAGGAGACGGCCAGGAGAACTTGATTTGATGTCTCGCGGTTGTCAGGATTGATTGTACGATCATATAAAGTGTATCTCTAGTCGAATTCGGTATGTCATGCATCAATTGGATACAACCACTTGCTTCAAACTACAATGTAACTCCTAGATCCCGAGCAATCATCTTTCTCGCTATAGGATGCTACCCGTAAGCTTCATCCCAATAAACATAGTCGAATGGTGTGTCCAAGTGCAACTCCCAGAACGGAGGCGAGTTGATACAACGGAAAAGGAAGACTCGAAGGGTGAAGACTCAAGGACTCACATAGAAACTCGCATGTTTCAAAAATACGCTACGAGCCAGATCTGGGTCTTGTTGGAATATGAGACGGAAGATAGGTCGACAAAATTTCATTCTACCCATTCTTGGTACCCAGTCTAAGATCAACGAAACATTCCCTTTCCTTTCCTTTCCGTTCCCTCAAGGATACTCCAAGTCGTTACAAAAGCATCTCTCATCAAGCAGACGCCTCAGACGAATTGGGAAATACTTTAAATATGAGTGATGTAACAGGTACGGTATAAGTGTACAGGAGAGAACACAAATCTCGATAGAAGCGGTGGTTCTCACTCGGAAATCTACGATGGGATCAATGAGAAATCACCAAACTCACCAGCAGCATCCTGACAATATTCTCTCCCACCTTTTAGCACAATCTGATAAAACCTCAATCGGATTTCCGCACTGCCAGTCTTCTCCATCTCATACACTTTACCCAGAGTCTGAGCCGCTTTGACGGAAAGAGGTTCTTTCTCCTCCAGCTTGTTAAGAAAGACAATTTTTTGTGTGGGAGACATCCCTGAAATGTCGGACATGGAGAATTGAGAAAGTGACGAATCTGAGCGAGCTTTATCCCATCGGTCGGCAAGTTCCAAGGGCTTACTGTAAGCTGAACACCTGCAGGTTGGACAACTTACAGGTCTGGATAACGAGTCATCGTATTCCACGTCCACACATAGATCCTTTCCGTCTCCATGCAACCACTTCACATCAGCACTGACTTTGTCACATGGGAAAAGGACTTACAGCATCCCAATCTACTTTGCCTAAAGCTTTCAAATATCGACTAGAGTCCGGCTGATTACCAAAGTAATGGAACAAATGCGCACGCCATTGTTCTGTAGTGATACTGGTTCCGGAGAACGTTTTGACATAATCTTTCATGTAAGGTATGAAGTGGTCCAGACCGCCGACGGTGCGTTCGAGATAGAGTAGGAAGTTGGAGCCTTTCTCATAGGAGACTTGATTGTACCCTTCATCGGCTGAAAATCAGCTCCTGCCCTGTGCACACATTATTTGTACAATCGTTTGTTGGGAATAAAACCAGATATCGAGGTGACATAGGTGAGCGACAAGGAAGTCTTCGGCTCGGGCGGGACAAGCACAGGTAATGAACCGAAAAGACATACGATCCTATGGTGTCAGTCGGCTGCTTGTTTCAAAATATCCACAACTCACTTCATGTGGCTTGTACTCCGCGACTAGACGCTGGAATCGTGGCTCAAACATCCCAAGATCTTGCTTCAGAGCCTTCCGTCCTAAAGACAAGTTAACACCCTGCTCGAGCTGATTGATGTATCCTCACCGATGATGTAGCTCCTGGTGTGGTCAGATTATGATAACAAGTCACACGGATGAGAAAACCCACAGTTGTCTTTCAGCCTCACCATGAGTCTCACGCATGATCAACCTCTCTAGGTATGTTGTCCAGCCCTTCTCGATTAGCACCAGTCCACCTCCTCAAATTGGCCGATAACATACCTCGTTCAGCCAGAAGTGAGACCAAGAAGCACACCCTATCCCATTTCCGAACCATGACTAGATGTGAGCAATGTCCTTTTAAAAACAGGCGGGACTCACATGACTGATCTCATGGGCACAGACATCGACACAACTTCGGTCACCTGCGACGATCGTGGGTGTGGCAAAAGTGAGACAGCAGTTCTCCATTCCTAAGATCAGCTTTGCAAGTGAATATGAGCTCTCAGCTGGGTAGAGACATGATACGCTCAGCATGTTCATTGAACAAAACTCACCTCCATAAGGGAAAGACTCGGGTAAGAAGAGAATGTCGTACACTCCAAACTGGTATGGCGTAGTCAGATCTTCGGCAGTTTTGACAAAGCTGAATGTGAGCACGGTCAGAATATCAACTATGACAGACGAGATAGAGTTGTGAAGGGGAAGGTCAAGACCTACTTTGCTGTATCCTCCTTGAACTCCCAGAAACAAGCGTCCATCATTCCAGGCTGAGACTCAGCGTTCCTCCTTGATGGTGTTTATATATCTTGGAAGAAGAGTAAAAGACGACTGACCTCTGTCCAGCATCCTGTACGCCACTTTCGTCCTCCAATCTTCTCGAACGATTTATAGACCAACTCCCCCGAGGCGATAGCCACCAAATAGCTTGGAATAGCCACAGGCTTCATGGTGAGCTGCATTCGCTGACCACGATAGTTCACAGCTCACCTGTACATATTCATATTCCCTCTCCTCTCCCATCACAAGAGCCTCCTCGCTAGGAGGAGACACTCTTAGAGCGCTCATAAGCACAGGCAAGATTGATCTGACCTTGGACGAATAGGTGGCTTTGATTGCTGGCGTGTCTTGACATGGGAACATTGACCGGGCGTGGATCTGACATAAGCTCGGGGTTCACATGAGAGTATGACATACAGCTTGACATTGAGAATACAGATATGGGTATTTGCCGGATTTGGTTTGTCTAAACAGTCAGCTAGAGTGCCCTGAACCAGTGGGTCCAACGAGCGTACGCTGGTGTCAACCATCCAACGGCGGTACATTCTTTCGTCGTTGAGTATCTGACAAGTACCTCAAATGTCTACGGTATCAGCACAATACGGACCTCAAACGAGTTGACATACCTGTCCCGCCTTGATGGAGGTAGGGAGGGTGACGAAGAGACCTTCTCCCATCAGCCCGATCCTCGTGCCTAACTTCCATTCCTGTTGTAAGATCAAGCATCATCATTCTGTATCCAAACTCACAGCATCTTTGCCATCCACAAGTACACCATCTATGTCAAGGTGGCTAGCATCCAGAATGACAAGCTCCAGATCTTTGACGGCCTTGAGTGTGAGGGTACAGCTTCCCCCAAAAGTTTGAGATTTCCAGTCGATCGTCCATTCCAAATGAAGATTCAAAGTTTTTACATCGAGATAATTTGATAAAGTGGCTTGGTCACGATCAAAAGGGGACGCTAGACCTGTAAAGTGAGGAGAGTATGACATGGTGGAGCGTAGATGGGGTGAAAGCAGGAATAAGTCAAGTTAGGTGAAGCCATGACGTGTGGCAGATAGATGAATGTGGCAGTTTGTACATTTGTGGCACTTTTGACGTCATGCGCACGGTTTGTCACCACTCCCGGAAAGGGTCTTTTCAATCGACAACCGTCATTTCGAGGTGTTTGTGAGTTGGATCTAAATGATTGGGACGAAGTATGCAGTATTGCTTCGAGTAAGTTCATATAGGTACCAGTCATCCTTTAGCAATTCAATCAAGGAGAATGATACTTTCCCTCATAATTCATTTATTCCGTAAATTCATCTGTCCTCCTGCCTGATAGGAATTCCGTAGATTGTTTTTGCTCGGTTTTCAAGAGGACGATGTATACCAAGTCTGTCGTCTAAGATCTATAAAGATAAGTCCGTTAAAGAGCTCATACCCATAAAGTAAAGCATCAATCAATTCGATAAAACATCATCACATCTCAGGAAACATCAAAACCAATCCTACCCTAAACAGTCCCAACCACCCAACCCAACCGTACCGTGAAAATGTCATACCAAACTTCCGGTATAGCCTCCTCCTCCTTTTCCTCCGTCCCTGCATTTTGTCCCTCTCCTTGGCCGTAAGTCCTTATTTGACTCCCTGTTGTCGGAGTAAAGTTGATAAAATAGCAGGACATCATCCGAAAAATCCCGGGACCCCTCACCCACACTCTTCTCTTCCTCCTCCTTACCCCCTCCGCCCAAGGAGGACATCGTTCCGGGGACCGAGATATTCTGGGTGGTCCTTCAAATCGAAGGGATTTGTCCTCCTGTGGCCAAGCGGATGCTTGAGCGGGATCCGAGCCTCATCGGCTCGATGATGTCTTCGGCCAAGTTCCGAAAGATCTTTTTTCCGGCGTTGGACCAGATGATGGAGGACTTGGAGTGTAAGGAGGTGTGGGATCTGGTCATCCTCTTGTACGGGGATGAGGAGAGCAGTGATGGAAAGCTGTGGACAGATGAGGAGGTCCAAAATTGGCTTGAGAGGGATTAGAGTGTTGGGGAGGTAATTGGGGGGAAGCTGATGCATGCTTTCCATCAGTCGTGATCGTCTCTCAATAGATCTCTCGTTTTACCACTATGAAGAAGGAAGAACACATCACCGATCGACCTTCATGAGTGACTGACGTCATCCACCGTACTCCGCAAGACCCGGAAGAAAATGGAGGGCTGTGTGAGTATTTCGAATAACGGCGAGCGGCGTCGGAGTTTCGTTGTTTCAATTCGTTTTCCGTAAGCCCGCGGTCACGGCCGATAGGAAAGTCCGACAGAAGCGGAGGCAATTAGGATGGATTCAAAGTAAGGGTAACTACCCTGTGGTTCGGGTGACACGTAGGGGTCAAAAGTTCCAGAGAGCGACACGGACATGGACACGGACACGGAGTTCAGAGAAGGATGCACTACGAGACACTGCGTAGTAAAGCTCAGACGAAGCAAACACCGTTCATTTATCAGGGAAGTCTCGTATCACCTCACTCCCTAGCAGGGAAGGGTTCGAGCTGATGGACGAGTGATCGGAGACGGAAGAATCAAGAGTCTTGACACCGCCCAGACCATCAAACACCGTAGGGCATAAATCATCGGACATTGATGCTCTCGATAGATGGTCGAAGTGGAGGTCTAAAAAAGGTACATAAACCCTCTCTCCACCCTTTCAAACAATCAAGTCTCTCCCACCAATATCACCATTGCCCAACAGTTCATAATTCAGCAACGTGAGTGAAAGAGATCCAAAATGTCTAAGAGCAATGAAACCAGCAATTGAGATTACCACAAGTATGAGGATATCCATAGGAGTATGTCTGCTCCCCCATCGTTGGTGAATTCCTAGGAGTAAAAGTGCTCGTACTACTTCGGTCGTCGCTCCCAAAATTGGGCCAGCAGCTGCCGTTGGGTCCTCTGTTCATACTCATACACAAGCCTCTTTGAGCCCTTCTCAGTCAGCTCATTGGTTGGCAGGAGAGAGTTTCGGAAGGGAAGTAAGGCAGAACATGGCCCAGACGTCGGCTTCAACCGTCAAAAGCGCATTGGGAAACGGGACGCAAAGCACTACCAGCAAAAAATGAAAGTTGCGCCTCACTCCCTATCTGTACACAGTGACAATCACGCTCCGCGTTTACGTGATGTAAGCGGAATCAAACGAGATGGAATGATGCATGATGAGTATGCACACGCGAGATTCACGTTATGATGATCATGTCCTCATCCTTGTCCTCGTCCGCCGTAAACCTCTGTCTAATCACACGTGCCCTGTGTACTAACATGAGGCGGACAATCTCCCTTTCGTGTGAGCGTCACTATCCTCGTTCACCGTCGGTGAAGTGGAGCTGAGGAGGATATAATACTACTAGACACATTCTTGCCACTGCATCCCCAAACACGTCCATTCTTACTCCTCAATCACCCTTCCATCAGGAAATCATGATCGGTCCTAATCAATACATCTCCGGTATCCCTGCTCCTATTCCTTCTATTCAACCTGTCCCTACGATGGTACCTGTCCAACCCATTGTATCTATCCAAGCACTCTCCATGGATCCTACTCTTCCATTTCAACCGATGCAACCCATTTCGCAAATCCCTCTTCAGCCTGTTCAACCGATACAACCGTTTCAAACCATACCATCCATGTCTATTCAGCCTATGGTTCCCATGATCCCTTCACAACCTCGTTCTACTTGGGTCAACCCATCTTTCCCTCCTACCGTCCAATCCACCTATCCTTCTCAGATATATCCTATCAATACCGCTCCTCTCCCTCCACCCATCTGGGGTTCCGGTGGAGAGAGTACTGTCACAGGTCTAAGTACTATGCCTCCTCGATACATTGCCGGACTTCATCAAGAACCAATGGATAGAGGAGAAGAAGAGGTGCAAGAGGAATGGGATAATTATAATAGGCGTAAGGCAAAGGAAAGGAAGAGGGATCGTTCCACAAAGAATACGCCAGAAAAGAGGACGGTAAGAGTGGATGATAGAGGAGCATCTGAGGAAGGAATGAAGGATGGACAAGGAGGCTCAACGTTGACCGTAACTATCAAGAGGGAGATGAATGAGGGATCTGTAGATCATGAAGGATCTAGACAAGAACATCATATCCGTCGACAGTGATTCAATTTGGATAAGCCATGCAGTATGAGGTTCACTCGGAGAGGATCATGATTGTGTACTGTATTAAACGACTGTGTATTGAGATGTATGATGATGGAAAGTACATAGTTTTCCTGTCAGACCCCAATCAGTACACTATTACCACGCATCCTTCCTACAACGAGGTTACATGCCTTCTCCGTGGCAAGATCGACAGTGGCGATTGTTACGTCGCCGACATGTCATCCCCCACTCACTCACTTTTCTCTCATCAGGGTTCCAACCCTGATGTTTGCCGCTTTTCCCATTGCGTTCTCTTCGGAACATCTATATCTTCCCCTACTCTCCCCTTTCATCCCTCTACCATCCCCTCTACTGGCCTCGTCATCCAATCCTATTACGGCATCCTTTCTTCGTCTTTCGCCAACCTCTCTTCATCCGTTTCATTCGTTTTTATGTCCGGTTTCTGGACCAATTGGCCTAGCGCCAAATCAAAGTCAGGCGATACTTCTCACCCATCTCAATCTCGAACCAAACACCAAGATTCCAGTAGCAATGTCTCAGATGGTGATCGTACTCCTACTGCTGAATACCGATTTCCTCACTGGACCAACTCCTCTTTTCATACGAACCAACATACCTTGGCTCAACGTGTTCAACCTGTCTTCAACCACACATTTTTATCTGTCCCATACAATTCCTCCGGTACAACATCACATGACACTCACCAGCCCCTAAAGTGCTCTAACCCTCCTTATCCCTACTCTTACTCTTCCACACAATACCACTCAAACCCACCACCCATGAACATGATACATTCCCAGGGTCAAACCCATTTGCCTCAGCCGCCACATACTCCACCCTCTCAAATTCGGTCTGCTTTTCTTACCAACTCGAATCAAGGTCTCGGTCAGTCAAACAACTCTCCGATGGGTCCACCGACCCCTGTCTCACAAGTCGGGTCTCCCATCAAAGGTGTTTCACCCGGCCAACTTGGACGGAAAGAATGGGGTCCGTATTATACCCCTGGAGCACCAGGACAGAAATATAGATATCGACCCGTGTAATCATACAATCGTGTACTCATTGAAGTCATGGAGTCAGGACAGGATGTATAGTATGAGAAATACGTGAAATGGAAGATTCGGAAGGAAGAAGGATAAACCGGACAATGTATGATCGGGGTGATACTCGATGAATATTGGACTTCTTCTGTGTTTGCTTTGATTTCCACTTGCTTCTCACTTCACATTACACTAAGAGTCTTGCCTTGTATCACACGGAGTGGCGGCTATCATTTTCTCTCGTGATTGGTCAGTGAAGTCTCTACTTCTCCCCACGCGATATGAAAGTTTTGGATGTACTTCGCCCAGACCCAGTCCGATCAGTACATCATTCTCCGGGGAGGTCTACATCTGCGGGAGTTGTACCTTGTCGCAGCCGAATCAAAGTGTATGCATGACCTAGACCCTCAACAAGTGCGTATGTACATACTTGCGTGCCAAGAGATACGGGGACCGCGTTTCCAGTCTTGCGCACGGATGATCATTCCTTCTCCTGCAATCCTTTCCGACCCGCACCTTGTTCCTTGATTCGGGGGTCCGTATAATGGGCGATTCTTCCGATCAAGGAGAGGAAGGTTACTCAGTCTTGGGTCCTTTCGGGCTACTATGTAGATTTCAGGGTAGATTGAGTCCGGTATCTTGACCGGCTATGGAGAGATATACGAAATTGATTGGCTTGTTGCAATGATACGATCCCCTCGAAGTCATCGAAGTAGACTGCGGGTTCGAAATCTTACCGATAACCTTTTATAAGCGTTTCTGTAAATACGGCTAAGAGAGGACCTCACCTGAATGTTCGACAAGCACCTGTGAAACGAGGCCATACTCAAAGACTTACAGTATCTTCAGAGAGGCGCCGATTGCTAGTTGCTCAGGATCATCAAACCTTGGAACGTGACGATGTCATCTTTTCGACATGGTACATGTCATTAGCAGCGTGATATGTACTACTCAGTGATAAGAGAATGGAACATACAGAAAAGATCGGACAATACATGTTCCATGACTGCCTTCTACTCAGGTCTCATATACAGTATGGTTTCCTTGCTCTTTCTGCTTGTTGTTCCTCATCCGGTTGGATCTCTCCCTCTCCAACTCGCTAACTTCTTACCTTTCTTCTCCACTCCAATCCGTGAACTATTACACAGCTGGTCTTCTGTCACTCAAGAAGGATATAAAAAACAGGAGGATGGAGACCTTGGCTTCCAAGTTGGAACCCATCAAAGCCCAACAGCAACTCACGTCTCATCTCCTCATTTCACCCCTTACACACCTTCTTCCACTTTCATCCCCTGTCACGAAGTGACAAGACAGTTTGATAGTGATAGTGATAGGATGGGTCGGGTATTTAACCAGCCACCGGCGGTATGTAGTAACCGCCGGTTAATAGGCCTTTTAGCGCAATGGTTTAGACCACTGTCTCTGAAGGGCACTGTTATATCGTCCCAATGCTGGTTAGTTGGTCTCGTGACATCCCCTGATCATCCAGCACAACCCCTTATCCTGACTCAAACTCACACGCCTACACAGAAACCTCGGTCCGAGTTCGAGTCCGACACCGCGCACCCTTTCTCCTACCCCCAACAAAGACCCATGGTGAGTTATTCTTATATGCCGCATCCCATCTCCTGAGTTCCATCCACCACAGCCAAGTTCAGCCACTGGATTGAGAGGCAAGCTGCCGGGGACAGAATTAGGGAGGAAGCGTACCTGCAGGCACAAGTGGAGCAAGTTTGGGTGAAAGCAAACACTTCCGCGGAGGTGGAGGCGGAAGAAGAGGGAACAGTAGCGGTAGTAGAAATTCCGAGACGGAAGATCTTCGAAAAGTTTGAATGGAGTTTGGTTCTGAAAGCCAGGAAGGTCAACGGATGATCAGGGTACATGGCAAGAGTCTGAAGTGGCGGAGTTGGAGAGAGAACCGGAATGCATGTTTTGGCGAAGGTAATGGAAGAGTAGAAGTGAATCTGAGCGGTTCTACAGAGTCGTCCGGATGGAAAGAAATGAACTAGGATGGCTGGGTTTGAAGATTTGCAGTAGAGCATTCTGAAGATAAGTGTCAAGAACCTGTTCAGAGACCGTCATCGTTGTCATTGGCCAGAGCTAGTGACTTGTAGAGCACTCACAGGAAAGCTCGGCTTCTAGCAAGAGTTGGAGTAAGATCATGACAAATGGGAATGAAAGAAAGATAGACATCGTGGCGACATAGGGCTGGGAACCGCTTACCGCTCCTTCCACATATCTTCAGAACTACCTGACCTTACTCCTCTACGAACCAACTCCCACCCAAGTACCCTTTGCTGTTGGTCAGATGTCAGGTGTGAGAGGTTATTCATCAGGCGCCTACGGCGGGGCCGATGATTATTGACATATTTGAGAAGTCTGACCCTTACGTCAGCCATGATCACTCCTCAGTCATATCTGCGCTGGGAAGTGGGAAATCGACTCACTACTCTCTCCAATCAACCTGAATCTTTCTTCTCCCTCCTATTTGTACTATCTTGTCCATCTTCCGAGAATCGGAAAAGTCTACCGGCGAAGGCTTCTCCCGACTGGCGCCAAAGACGAAGTTCCTCCTCTCTTTCCTGTTCCCGCTGGCACCTGTTCGATTCAGTTGTGTGTCCTGATGCAGTAGATTCATGCCTTGGCACTTCTCCCTCTACACGTTTCACTTCCACCGACAGAGCCGCAGCTTCCCGGGGAATGTGAGGTGTGTTTTCTGGGGCGATCCCTGAGGCACCGTGAGTTGTGCTCGGTCTGGGCTTGGATATTGATGAGTTTTGTGTGTCAAACTGGCTTGGACGTCTGGAAGATATGATTTTAGCCTCTATTTGAGGTTGAGGGAGCTGTTTGTACTGGCTTATTGGTGAAGTCCGAGGTGGTGGCTCGGAGGTCCTGTTCGGTTCAGGAAGAGAAACTTTTATCGGAGCCGCTATCGACTCCACGGGCACTGGTGCGGTGAGAAAAGGAGGCTGAGTTGATAGTCTAGGAGATTCAGAGTGATGAGTGGTGGTTGAAGTGGGAGTCCTTTCGAGATGTTGATTCCCTACTGGAGGAGTTGTAGGAGCTGGAGCCAAAGGAGCTCGAGGCGGAGAGATTGACATAGTCTTCTGCGTATAGGACGAACTTGAAAAATTCGAGCTACATGATTTGAGCTTCTGAATCTGCTGATCACCCAGTTCTGACTCACTCAGACTGTAAGGGGGACACAGACATGGGGCCGTTGCCTATCAATTGAGGCTCTTCACTGGAGGTCTTTTCAATTGACGTCATTTTCCTCTACTGCAGTCAGCTTCTCAGTTGCTGATGAGTAACTCACACACATGAGTATTTCACTTTGAATATAGTGTCATTCACCGTTTTGGATTATTATTTGAATACTCAAGGTTAAATTGGTGCGAATACAAGCCAATTGCGGGTGGGTGATGTGATGTGTATAACGGTGTCGCACGGGTCGAAAGTCGTATTCTCCTCCCTAAGTCAACGATATCGATTGGGAGACGAGGCTTTGCCATGGAAACATATACGCTTGCTCAAATGTATACCAATTCCATAAAAATTCTTGCCCAGTGACCAAAAGGAAAATGTAAAAATCCAGGATCGTCGTTCGACGCTATTTACGACCTACCGGAAGGGAAAGTACCTATGCTTCCGAAGGGTCTTCAGCTAGCCTTCTCGGTAAGATTTCATCAGTGAAAAAGGGCGGGGAAGAATTGTACCGTGATTTCCAAGCATTTTCTCGTGTCCCGATCGGAGGAAAGGTAGACGAAGTCATCCCAAATCTCAAACTTCTCAGCTGCCTGAATTTAATCCTAGGCTCATGGGACTCTTGGACACTTACCGAGTAAGACGATAATCTGGAAAATCATCGAACCCGTAACCGACCTCTCACCGAGGTAAGCCACTCGATCGACATGTGGCTATCCGAACCGGATATAGAATCAGTGTTGTTCTAGAACTTTGAATCTCCCCCCCAAGCTGAAGATGATTGGAACTTCGAGAATATAGTTTCTGTAAGAGAGACTGGATCATGCGAGGACAGGCGATACTCCCAGACATCTTATCTGGATTAACCTTACGCGTCATGCAGAGCGTTTGATCTTCCGGATACACATCCCCGTCTCACTCAAGAGTCTCAACAATCAAATCGCCTTCTGATCGCCGGTCAGCCGCGGCCGCGGAACAACAGAGACCCGATCATGGATCGATCAAAGGATCTTCGGGATGCTTCCGGTTTTCGGTGGATTACAAAGAGTGTGGGGTCAAGCTTGAAGCCTCCGAGCAGCTGAACAGATGATTTGAGTGTCTGTCAACAGCAACAGGAAGAGGAAAAACCAATGTAACTCGGGGTATCATACATACAGTACCATGAGATGATGTGGAAGGGGATGAGGAGATGAAATATCCCGTGCGCAGTTTGCCTACTAGTCAAGAGTCACAATTGTCTTCAAGTGTAGCTGTTAGGTGACGTACGGAAAACGTGACACTTGGAAGCTTCACGGGTATGATCTTGACCGGCCGAAGATCTGTGTCCCACAGAAGAATACCTGCCATGTTCTCAGATATCCTACAGACTCTGAGAAGCTTTACACTTAAGGAGAGACATTCTCTTTCTGCTTTGTATCAAGAAGAGATGGTTGCAGCTGATTGGGTTGTTGTGCAATAGCCTCCTCAACATCTAAATTTCCAAGTGCTGTTTCTTCCTCTCATGCATGCAAACGTATGTTGAGGACACGGCCGGAGACGTCCACCTCCGGAGCTGCATGGTTCAAAACCCCCTCTTGGACCTGGCCAGAGAACCACGCAGCTCCAGAGGGGTCCAGACACGGCCAGAGCATTTTCGCTCTTATCATCCCCAAGCTCTCCACATACATGAATCACAGTACAGATATCCTGTGGTACCATCTTCTGGACTCTTGGAGTCATGGTGGTCTGGTGTAACGGTACTGGAAACACGATGACTAAGTCGCAGGTTGGGTCGAAGTTGATGGAACTCTCGTGTCACAGGGTTCCCTCTTCGTTAACTTCTTACGACCGACGGCCAGTAACTTCGTGGGCTTCGACCTTTACCAACTTCGTTGTTCAAGATATGAAATAGCTGAAAATAACTTCTGGGTGTAATAACTTCGTACTTTACTAACTTCTATCACTAAGACAACAACCAGAGATCGTCAAAGATCTCTGGGAACTTTGGCCCTTAAGTACTTCGTCCTTCCCCAACTTCGTCAACGCAGAACTTCGTTCAACCCGAAGTCCCGAGCTTCGTACCTCAGAACTTCTTCCCCGACGAAGTTCGTATCTTCCTAACTTCGTATCTTCCTAACGTCGTATCTCCCTAACTTCGTATCTTCCTAACTTCCTACATAACTAACTTCGCCCTCGACGAAGTCAGCCTCCTAATACCCTCGTGGGTGATGAAATTCATGAGAACTGGGTCGTTGATGGCGAACTGATGTCCAAAGGAACTTCGTTTGATGGGAAAAGGATGATGTCACGCGGCGCCGCGTAACATCTCGTAGAAGTCTATGTATCTCTGGTGCTAATAGGTGGATCGTGTCTCCTCTGCAATCGATGTAGCCAAAGAATGATATTGAAGAATCAGCAAAGTTGGTACTTTGCTGATTGTACTATATACAGTCTACATGTATCTGTGTCCTCTTCTTAGTCCTACTGCAAGCGTCTATGTACATACTTGGACAGGTAAAAAACCGCTTTTGAGCAAACCCAGTGGGGAAATCTCGAAAAGGGAAAACCCGTCCCTATCTACTGCAGCACTGCCTCCAATTCTCGCTGTTCTCTTTCCTAATCCGTCGAACTCAATGGAGTTCTCTCGATTCGCTGTTACTCCGTAACATCTGGCCCCACAACTTGAAATCTACAAACACTGCAACAATTACCTATGATACATCACCATTGGAATCCCCCTTGGTTCAAGATATTAGCTGACCTTCTTGCCAAATACAGCATGTGATGTTGAACAGCACTGTAGTGGTTACCTCTTACACTTGTCTTAATAGAGCATCTGCCCTTTGGAGCTACCAACACTGTCTTGTATGGCGTGGAGGATCTGTTATTGATGTTTCTCTGAATGGGAATGGCTAAAGGGAGTGTTCCGCTCCGGAGTGGTACATCTCTGGCTGGGAACAATCAGGTCCGTGCAGCTCCGGAGGTGCATGTCTCCGGCTGTGTCCCTAACACATACAATCTTTTCCTGTAGTCTCTTTCCAATCATAATCAAGAGCTACAGATCCAATGCATAGTCATTTTTTATCAGTGGTGTTGTGAAAACTTCAGATCTTCTCAGTGTCATGGCCCTAGGTGTCATGACACTTCGAAGTGTCACAGGTCTTCAGCCGGTCACAATCATACCGGTGACGCTTCCAAGTGTCACGTCTTCCGTACGTCACCTAACAGTTGACGAGTTTTGTGAGAAAGTGCAAAATTTTCGACTGGTCCTGACATATCCCAAGAAGTGAGCCTCCCGTGACTAGAATCACACATGTGATGATACTCTTGACTGGGATCTCTAGCCCCCCGGTACCATCAAAATCATATTCATCCTCTGTTTGGAACTTATTATAGAGTGGCCCAGTGTGCAAAGAGGCTATGCCAATTGGCTGGCCCCACTAGCTGCAACCATTTTGGAATGTAATTTTAATCTTTGCACAAAACCATGATCTATGGTCTCATATTCTGAGTCTTCACAGGAGCTAACCTTCGTGGATACCGACGTCTTCCCATCCGCAGGCAGATTGAAAAACTGTGGGCTTTGTCGAGTTGCGGGGCGGTCTGAGGGTGTACCGGGAGGCAATGAGGACAAAGATGACCTGCCTGACGTCGAAGTTCCAGGTGGTGCGCAAGACCAAGGCTTTGCACTCATTGGAGGAGGTAGGCGTAGTGACTTGGATTCTTTTGCCCAAGTGGGATGACCATGCTGGGCCTCATCTGCCTTTGATGCCTGCTGGTATTGAAAACATCCCGAAAGAGGAACATCGGATCCCGAAATTTCCGGGCAGAGGGAATCAGTCTCAGTTTTGGGAGAATCCGTTTGGGTCACTTCCGGCGGGAAATGATCTTGTAGTCGGAGGCGTAGGAAGCAAATTCGGGCTGAGACTTCCTCCCAGAAAGCATGGAAGTCGTCAGTCGCACTCTCGAGGGGTCTAGTGACTGACAAAGGGGCAGTCCAGGTAGCACTAGCTTCATTATGGGAGAACTTAGACCTACTTGCGTTCCACATCGTCCGTTACAGGATTCGTTCCTTGATTTGAATCTGATGAGGTTTGAGGGGGATCGGTTGGACAGGAGGATATTATATCCTCTTCTCTCATTCCCCCACTAGAAAGCAGCATACAAATAGTCCGCAGATAGCGTGGGAAATGGGGATTGGAAGTCAGAGAAAGATACTCTACCTATCACTTTCCTTTCACGTCAAAAGATTGGGGAAAGATGGCATGGCTTAAACCAGAAATTCCCACAGTGGTTTAGGCCTAGGGGCCTGGATCTTCCCTATCCTGGTGGGACATTTCCCAAGGAGTAGATTATCATGTAGTTGTACACGAATTTTTCATGGAATCTCACTTTCATATCTGAGCTGCAAGCTTCAGAGGACATAGGATTCATGGCCACACATTACTACTTACAAACCTCACTATAGACACTGAGTTGTGGGGGTACAACGGGGTCGATAGTTTGAGGGGCTTGGAAAACTACCCGAAGCCTTTGATGTGAGAGCATCTAGGCTGTTATCTTGCTACGATTCATCTTACCGCCGCCCTGAGTTCTCAACGACCTGGGGAGGGCCATCTGCGACTGCTTGGAGGGGGGTAGGGTAAATTTCTAGGGGCTCGGGCCAGATTTAAGACCCAGGGTGCATTACTGCAAGAATCAGGAGCCAGATATATGTTCTGAGACCCGGAGGAGGGGCTTTCGTCGTCTGCAACCTCATCATCGGAAGTAGGGGTGTTGTACATGGTTTCAGGACTGGAAGGATATTTATCATCGTCAGAGCCGTTAGCCAACTTGGAGATGAAATTCCCTTGATTAGTCTTGATTTTTAGTGAGAGAGGGGTGGTTGTATCCATCGCTCCAGTCCGGCAACGCCGTCGCTTTTCAACTGAGCTCCCGGGTTGGGTGTCTGAATCCGAATCATCCATATTCATCACACGTAGAGTCAGTTCGGCTCTGACTTCAGATCTTTGTTGAGTGGCAGACAATGTAGAAATACCGTCCCACCTTCGTTGATGAGTTGGTGATGAGGGACCGAGTCCGCACCTGTGGATTGATCTCCGCGTTGTTGTCTCCCGGATATATGGTGGTGGAGATTCGTCTAAACCTAAACCAGGGTAATCAGGGGGATCATCACTCCTCCTGGTCCTCGAAATCCGCTGGGGTGACATGCTCGAGCTTGGAGAAGGCATAACAAAGTGTGTTGGGTGTAGGATAGTTCTTCAAAGAGTCCAAGGAGAGAAGTCTCTTAAGGGCGTTTGAGGTCTAAGATTGGCTACTCTAGCCCCAATTTAACTGTCTTGCAGGTCTTCCTGTGGGAAAGAAGTAGATCCTATTGGGGTTGAAGATAGTACAATCTCCTTTCATCGTCCGTGTGAGGGGGCGGGGACGGCGTGGGTTGGACGGCACCCGTTCCCACGGTCAAAATAGGGGATGAGTATCTGAGAATCAGGCAAGTAGAAGGATCTGAGAGTCTCTCCATGCCAATTTTCACAGAGGTTAAGGTGGTGGGACCTACAGAAGGAGCGTGAAAGGGGATGGGGAATGGGGGATCTGTTTTCCGATGGAGACCGTGGGATGCGGGAGGTGTTAGCGCCATCGACTGGGGTAAATGCCGCCCGAGGACTGTCTAGTATCCTATATGGGGAGCATGGGACGGTACTGACACAAGTCAGGGGTTGCACACGTCTTCTTCTTGTTCACTTCTCCACTTACAAGATACTGAGCTCGTACAGTAAAGATATGTTCCACGTTTCGAATCAGTTCCTACAGTCCGCGCGTCCCGAGCATCGGTTCCGTGGTGACCAGCAGATTTTGAGGCCCTCTTGATCCGTCCATTCCCCGTATTACTCCTTCGGGTACTCCAATGTTAGCCGATAGAATCGGGCCAGGACGGCCGAACCGCCGTTAGATTATTACCCCTTCCATCGAATATTTCTTCCTTCAACTTATCCTCTGAACTTTATTCGATCGTCTCTGGTTTAATGCGTGTGAGTGGAATGTGATAAGTATAGAGACATGTAGAATTGATGCATGCTCTTTATCCCCTCTGTATTATCATCTAATTATCAGCAAACAGATTAACAGTCGGAAGTCCACTTACCTCTGTGTACAATAAAGGCAAGTTCCTACTTCTACTCCTCTCATAATGACCTCTGTGTCAACTAAGATTTCGTTTGAGAATCTCCCCAAGTTATCCTACAATCTATCAACGTATGCTTCGTGGAGGAAGGCGATCAAGGTGTATCTACAGATAGGTGACGTATGGAATGTCGTCTCAGGTAATGATACCGAACCTGGTCGCGAAGGGGTTAGGTTGGCAGCAGAGAGGGCGGGATCAGTACCTCCTACCACGCCCGTCGTAGGGCAAGTGGTTGGTAGAAGGATGACTGGAGAAGAGTTGAAGGAGTGGGGAAAGTGGCAAGCGAGGGAGAATAAAGCGCAGGGGATGATCAAGGGAACAGTGACGGAAGCTGTAATGCTTGATTTATCTGAGAAGATGTCAGCTAAAGAAATGTGGGATTACTGCTTGAAAATGCACGTAACGGCCACGAACCGGAATCAGAGAAACGTCCGTCAAGCATTGTTTAGCTATGACTTGAGGGAAGATGCGACGGCCGAAGAGATGGCTAAGCATGTAGAGGATTTCTTGAAGACGATGGCTGAAGCAAAGTTGGTAGGACTGAACTTTGACTCACAGGCACGAGCAGGTCCATTCCTCAATACTATCCTAGCACCAGCATACAGGATCATCCACGTAGAACCAATGTCTGTACCCAAAAAGGACAGGACCTGGGACAAGGTATTGTCGATCTTTAACGCAGAAACGGCGAGACGTAAAGTGTCACAAGGTTGTTTCTTCCTTAACTTCTTAGGACCGACGGCCAATAACTTCGTGGGCTTCGACCTTCACCAACTTCGTGCTCGAGATATGAAATAGGTGACAATAACTTCTGGGTGTAATAACTTCGTGCTTAACTAACTTCTATCACTAAGACAACAACCAGAGATCGTCAAAGATCTCTGGGAACTTCGGCCCTTAAGTACTTCGTCCTTCCCTAACTTCGTCAACGCAGAACTTCGTTCAACCCGACGTCCCGAGCTTCGTACCTCGCGAACTTCGTCCCCGACAAAGTTCGTGCCTTCCTAACTTCGTATCCTCCTAACTTCGTATCTCCCTAACTTCGTATCTTCCTAACTTCGTATCCCCCTAACTTCCTACATGACTAACTTCGTCCTCGACGAAGTTAGCCTCCTAATACCCTCGTGGGTGGTGAAGTTCATGCGAACTGGGTCGTTGATGGCGAACTGATGTCCAAAGGAACTTCGTTTGATGGGAAAGGATAATGTCACGCGGCGCCGCGTGACAGTCGCCCCCTCCTTGAGCGCGAACGTCCTCGTGAGCGAACATCAACGCCGAAAAGAACAAAACAACTCAGCATGAAGTTCGGTTCTCACCCTTCTCCTCAAACCAACTTCCTGACAACGTAATTCCCGTAATGAAATTCCAGGAAAATCTGAAACCTCCTTTGGCCACGACACCGTCCTCACAACAAGATCGCCATATCTCGAACTTCGTAATTTGACTTGTAGTCATTGAAAAATCGTGGGGGAAATTCGTATGTGACAAGAAGATATGACAATGATAGAAGAATTTTATGTATGGGGAATGGGAACCAATAACCTGTTCGTGAGTGCAGTATCCATGAATGTAAGCAGGAAACTCCTTAGCCTGAAAATTTTCTCTCGTATCCAGGGATCTTCGTGGTATCCTGGTCTCCATGAAACACGACGTTGACGACGGCAACGCCCTCATCTGTTGTCAACAGCAACGAAATTCCCTTTATACTCAGTAGGTTGACGAACTTCCCCCCCAACTTCTTCAATTCTAACTCTCTTCTTACGTCTCAACCAACCCGCTCACTAAATTTATCTCTTCGTACACACCATGGCCCCGTCTACCCCCCGAAAACTTGTCAAATCTCCTCCTGCGAGCGTTGCCCGAAGGACTCGAAGCAGTAAGTTCGAATTGCCTGAGAATTTCGTCGAGAAGTTTCGTGTCATGGCTGATGTTAGTGTACCGGGTTCAGTCTCCTCCTCCTGCTCCTCCTTCGTCCTTCGTCCGCCGCCTCGCCAGCTCGGCTGGTCTTCGTCTCTCTTCCCTGTCGGCTGCTCTCCCTTCGCTGTCGACACCGTCCTCGTCCTCCGCACCTCCCGCTCCTCCCGCTCCCGTCGCCGGTCCATCGTCGACCCCGGCCAAGAGACAAACTCCCTCGAAAGAGGCGAGTTCATCAAGAAAACCCTCCATCCTTCGGTCTCCCAAGAAGAGACATCGACGAACTTCTTCACCAATATCGGTGTCCTCTTCCTCTTCGTCCGCTTTGTCCTCGCCCACCCCGGCGCGTATACGGGTACGGGTTGAAGCCCCTTCTTCCTCGCCTGCTCCTCGCTCTGGAACGGTAAGAACTTCGGCGAGTCTCCTGGCCCTCCTCGCGGCCCAACCTGGAAGATGGGAGCTGGCTCCCAAAGGCGAGGAATGTGATCGCTGCCGGTGAGCAAATCAAATTTCTCAGAATGTACAGACCCTAACTTCCAGTGACGAGCAATCTCGGCATCCCAACTTCCCCTGCGTTCGTCCTTGTGGGACCAACCGTGGTACACGATGTGCATCGTGTACATCAGGTGTCTGCTCCTTCCTCCCCCCTTCCCCTGCTAAGCAGAGGAAGCCCTCGACAACTTCCCGCCCGTCGCCCGTCGCTCGTCCGTTGCCCCCGCCAGCTGGTCGTTCGGTGTTCGCGACAGCATCTCCTTCGCCGTCGGACGAACTTCCCGGTCTTCCTCCCCCTCTCCCTCCTTCGGTCTCTTTCCGCGCCGCTCGTCCTGGTGCTCCCCTATGGGAGTTATCTCCGTCCCCACCTCCTCGTGGTCCTCGTCCTCCTCGCGCTCCTCCCGTCGTCGACCTTCGTTCCCCGTCGCCGGTCTTTCCTGGGGCCTTCATTGTTCCTTCCCCTCCTTTGCCTCCTCGTCCGTCACCCGCGCCATCTTTGTCATCGTCTTCGTCGTCCGAGGAAGTTCCTCCTCCTTCACAAGAGGAAATTATCGCGGACCTCAGAAAGCTAGTCGAGGTTCCCACCTTGGACAATTTGAAAACAGAGAAACGGTTAGCAGCTATGACCGTGGTGGCTCTTCGTGCGGCAGACATGATGGACGTACAAGGGGTCATCATTCGTCGTTTCCTCAATCAAATTCGTCTTTTAACCCGGAACTTATCGCAAAAGAGTTCTCATATCGGATCTGCTACTCATAGTTTGCTGCTCGAATGGAACGAAACTCTCCTCCGTACTGGCCGCCACGCTATCTTCGGCCATAAGTTCTGGGGAGAGATCAATGATACCATTGGGCGTCAAGAGCGTGATCTGACTGGTGCCGCGGTTGCTGGACCCAGCACTCAAGGACTGAGGGACGAGGTTCGTGCGGCTAGTGAGACGTTCTGGGATGCTAACTGGCGGATGAGAAACGTGATAAGAAATGATCCGTTGTTAGTGGTAGCCCGTGAAGAGCTTACTGATACTGAGGGAGCCCACTCATGGTGGGATGATAGTAAAAGATGGAGTCGTGATAAAGGAAAAGGGAGAATGGTGATGGACGATCTTGACATTCTTGTAGATGAAGAGAAAAATAAAACTTAGCGATTGTATAACTTCTTGTCCCATGTATCAGTCTTGCTCAGTTCCTAAGTTCGTCGAGCACGAGCTCGACAAACTAAACTTTCCTTCGGTTTCTCAGGGTATCGTTCGTGGAATTCTGTAAGAATTTCATCTGCACCATCAACATTTTCCTTCGGTTCCCAAGAGACAGCATCATCAGTTCCCTCAAATCCCAACCACTCTACTAAATACTCGACCTTCCCAGATCTTCTATTTATCCTAGAGTCTAGAATATTCTTGACTTCCCACGACTCTCCTGCGTCATCAACTTCGACTGGATCAGGAAGTTCTGCCTCCTGTCCCACGAAGTTCGTTGGTTGGAACTTCCTTAACAACGACACATGAAACACATCATGAAGCTTAGCCATCGAGGCCGGCAACTTCAACCTACACGCATGAGTACCAATGCGCTCAATAACTTTGTACGGCCCTGCTTGTTTAGCATCTAACTTCTTACTAGGTCTCTTAGTCCTAATATTCTCAAGAGATAACATTACTTTACTCCCAACTTCGAAAAGCGGTGTTGCTGAGCGCTTTCGGTCATACGCTTCGGAGTATCTCTCATTGGCTAATTTTATGCCCTCAACACATCGTTTGTGTACCTCCTGCAGATCAGTAACAACTGCTCAAGCAACAGGAACTTCTACTTCAGATTCTTTAATCTCGTCTGTCCATCGTGGGTGGTACCCGAAGTTCGCAAAGAACGGGCTCATCCCAATGGCTGAGTGAATCGTGTTATTATACGCGAAGCTAGCTTTTGGCAATAACTGCGCCCAATCGTCCTGCTGGTAAGAGGCGAATACTCGTAGATACATTTCCAAAGCTTGATTTGTTCAATCAGTCTGACCATCAGTCTGTGGATGATACGCAGTGGAGAGATTTAGTCTTATACTAAGACTAGCAGTAAGATCTTTCCAGAACTTCGATGTAAACTTCGCTCCTCTATCCGAAACTATACCTTCTGGCAGTCCGTGCTGAGCCACCACATGTTCAATTACCAAATCAGCTAACCCCCCAGCTGTGAGGTTCGTCGTCGTTGGTAGGAACATCGCCCATTTCGTCAACCGGTCGACTATAACCAAAATCGAGTTGAAACCATCTGACTCAGGAAGTTCTTCAACGAAGTCTATTGAAATACTAGACCAGGGCTTCTCCGCTACTTCCAATGTCTTCAGCGTTCCTTGAGGTTTCTGTCTGTTCGTTTTAGCTCTCTGGCAAACCACACAACCCCCAATGTAGTCTTCAACATCCTTCCTAACTCCATTTCAGATGTAATCCCTAAGTACCAATTCTAACGTCTTCGTGACCCCAGGATGACCGGCCAATACCGAGTCATGCCTGGATTTCAAAATCTTCACTCGCATCTCTTCGATATTCGGAACATATACTCGTCCGTCAAACCGTAGAAAACCTCTTACCGACCACGACGGATTCACGAACATCCCATGTCGCGATCGTCGTCGAAATTCTTCAACTTGCCTTGGCTCCTGACGGTCAGCTCTACATTCGGGGTGAAAACACTCATCGCAGATGACTGCTAACATCCCTTCCCGAACTTCGTTTATCTCGTCATCAACTTCGTATCCTTTGACAATGTCCTCGCCTTCGATCCGATCTTCCTCCCTAACTTCTTTCGTCCCTTGCAAAGCCCGGAGCATGTGTCCCAGGCTTGATTCAGTAACATCTTCCGAGTCGAACTTCGGCAGCCCTTGGACGAAGTTCTCCTCTTGTTCCGTCGTTATTCCTTTTATCCCGGGATGATAGTCCGGTCGTCTTGACAAAGCATCTGGCAGCGTCGCTTGCTTCCCGAGACGGTAAATCATCGTAAATCTGAAGTTAGCCAGTTCTTCTACCCACCTACCTTGTCTAGGATTCAATTGCTTCGGAGCCATCCAATATGTCAGATTAAGATGGTCTGTGAAGACCTTCGTTTCTACCTGTAGTAATAAGTGTCTCTTCCTCCTGAAACCTTCGACTATTGCTAACAACTCCTTTTCCCCCGTGGTGTAATTCAACTCAGCACCCTTAAAAGCTCCCGATTCTATAGCCACAGGGTGTTCTCTACCTTCTTTATCAACCTGTGAGATAATATATCCCCATCCAAAGAACGAGGCATCTGCCTGCATAATCGTTTTCAAGGAGGTGTCGAAATGAGCTAGTACTGGAGCTTCACATAACTTCTTCTTCAGCACTCTGAACGCCTCCTCTTGCTCAGTTCCCCATATGAAGCTTACATCCTTGCGAGTAAGGTCGTTCAGAGGCTTCGCAAGTTTCGAGAAGTTCGGGACGAATCTTCAGTAGTAGCTGACCATTCCCATGAACCCTCGGGATTCTCGTAAGTTCTTGGGTCGAGGAAAATCCTGTACAGCAGCAACGTATTCTGGGTTTGCCGAAATGCCTGATTTTGAAATTACGTACCCGAGAAACACCACCGAAGTTCGTTCGAACTCACACTTAGCCGCCTTCACAAATAATTTAGCTTCCCTAAGTCTTTGAAATACCTTTATCGTACATCTTCTAAGTTCATCCTTAGTCTTAGCATAAATCAGAATGTCGTCGATGTAGACTATAACCCCTTCCCCAAGCAAATCCCTAAAGATGTCGTTCAAGAAGTGCTGAAAAACAGCAGGCGCATTTCACAGACCATCCCTAACTACTAACGATTCGTACATTCCGTATTGTGTACGAAAGGCCGTCAGGTATTCGTACCCTTCCGCGATTCGTAACAACTGATACGCCCCCATCAAATCGAGTTTCGTGAAATAGTTTGCTGTACCTAATTCTTCAGTGATTTGACTGATCAATGGAAGGGGATAAACGTCTGGAATGGTAACTTCGTTTAACTTCCTATAATCCGTTACCATCCGCCACTGTCCCTTTACCTTTTTGGGAACCATGAACATAGGTGACCCATACGGCGAGTTACTCTTGCGAATTCTACCAGCCGCTACCTCCTTATCCAGAATCTCCCTCAACGCTTTTCTCTGATCTTCAGCTAACGAGTACAGTGGGGCCACCTTTAATTTCGCCCCCTCCACTAGGTCCAGTCTCAAATCATAACTTCGGTTTGGAGGTAACGTCTCTCCTCCTACCTTAGGGTTAAAGATATCCAAGAAGCCGTGGTACTCAGAAGGTACCAACTCCAACAGTTCTTCTTGTTCTTCCTCACTAAGTTCGTCTTCCAACGCTGAGTCTCCAAAACTTGGGGCCATTGCCTGGTGCAATTGATACCCCCGAAGGATCAACCCAAGGAGATGATTTTTATCCACCCCTACCTCTTGAACCACCCCCCCTGCCAACCGGATTATCAGAACCACCGACGGTAGGGACAGGTTCAGAAGGGTCGGGACAAACACCGCGACCAAGGGAGAAGAACACGGAAGGTGGACTAAGTTCGGCGGGGAGCGAAGGAGTAGGGAGAGCGGAGGAAGAGGCCACCACTCAGAAAATGATGCTGGCGATGATGAACATGATGATGGAGATGAACAGGGACATGATAGCGGAGAGGAGACGTCGGGAGGAACAGGAGAAGAAGAAGGAACAGGAGACGGTTGGAGGAATAGTTGAAGGGATCTCTGAAGGGGTACGATTCGCCATGGGGAGACAAGCTTCGGCGACCCCAGGCGTGGCTGAGATAGGAGGAGGGATAAAACTTCCCCTCCCAGACCTTTGGAGAGGCGAGAGGTCAAAGCTCACCGCCTTCATCTCAGAATGTGAAGTTCACTTCGAAATCAACGCCCGCAAGTTCCCCACTGACCGAGTAAAAATCTTTTTCATGATCTCCCACCTACGCGATACCCCTCTTCTCGCCGTCCAACCGGATTTGCCTAAAGACGACCCCCCCGAACACCTTTTAGTCTATAAGAAGTTCATCCAATATCTCAAGACCAACTTCGGAGACCCTGATGAGGAGGGAACCGCCGCTAGGGGAATAAACGAGCTTCGACAGAATGGGTCGGCTTCGGCGTACTTCGCCGCCTTTCAGCGATATGTAGCGGTGTTAGGATGGGGCGATGATGGGAAACCTTGTGGACCGGGCAAAGAATGGACTGAAAAGTCACTTGCTGGATGAGATCGCTCGGCACGGAAAGGTCTTCAAGACTGTCCGCGAGTTGATTTGAGTTCGTGGTCCCCATGGACAATCGCTTGCATCAGCGAAGGGTGGAGAAGGAGAATGAGAAGAAGAGGAAGGAAACAAAGGACCAGGGGGAGAAGAAAGGGGAAGTAAATCGGGGAGGGGAACGGAGGAGCGAGGAGAAATGGCAATCTACGCCGAAGTTCGAGGGCACGC